GGGGCGGGTGATGGAAAGCGGGAGAATGGGGCGGGGTGATGGAAAGAGGGAGAATGGGGCGGGGTGATGGAAAGCGGGAGAATGGGGAGGGGTGATGGAAAGCGGGAGAATGGGGAGGGGTGATGGAAAGCGGGAGAATGGGGCGGGGTGATGGAAAGCGGGAGAATGGGGCGGGGTGATGGAAAGAGGGAGAATGGGGCGGGGTGATGGAAAGCGGGAGAATGGGGCGGGGTGATGGAAAGCGGGAGAATGGGGCGGGGTGATGGAAAACGGGAGAATGGGGCGGGGTGATGGAAAGCGGGAGAATGGGGCGGGGTGATGGAAAGCGGGAGAATGGGGCGGGGTGATGGAAAGCGGGAGAATGGGGCGGGGTGATGGAAAGCGGGAAAATGGGGCGGGGTGATGGAAAGCGGGAGAATGGGGCGGGGTGATGAAAAGCGGGAGAATGGGGCGGGGTGATGGAAAGCGGGAGAATGGGGCGGGGTGATGGAAAGCGGGAGAATGGGGCGGGGTGATGGAAAGCGGGAGAATGGGGCGGGGTGATGGAAAGCGGGAGAATGGGGCGGGGTGATGGAAAGGGAGAATGGGGCGAGGTGATGGAAAGAGGGAGAATGGGGCGGGGTGATGGAAAGCGGGAGAATGGGGCGGGGTGATGGAAAGCGGGAGAATGGGGCGGGGTGATGGAAAGCGGAGAGACCATCGAATATGCAATAAAATTCAAGTTGTTGAATGCTTTTCCCTACGCCTATAGGGATTCACGCGCTTTCTAGGCACTTGGCGGCAAAAACGACCGAAATCGTAGGCGCCGAACTTTTCTTCTCGCAAGAACCAAGCCGAAAAGGCTCTAGTATGTGTATTTGAACATGGGCCACTCGAATATGCAATAAAATTCAGGTTGTTGAATGCTTTGCCTGCGCTATAGGGATTCACGCGTTTTCTAGGCACTTGGCGGCAAAAACGGCCGAAATCGTGGGCGCCGAACTTTTCTTCGCGCAATAACCAAGCCGAAAAGGCTCTAGTATGTGTGTTTTGAACATTGGCCACTTGAATATGCAATAAAATTCAGGTTGTTGAATGCTTTTCCCTACGCCTATAGGGATTCACGCGCTTTCTAGGCACTTGGCGGCAAAAACGGCCGAAATCGTGGGCGCCGAACTTTTCTTCGCACAAGAACCAAGCTGAAAGGCCTCTAGTATGTGTATTTGAATAAGGGCCACTCGAATATGCAATAAAATTCAGGTTGTTGAATGCTTTTTCCTACGCCTATAGGGATTCACGCGCTTTCTAGGCACTTGGCGACAAAAACGGCCGAAATCGTAGGCACCGAACTTTTCTTCGCGCAAGAACCAAGCTGAAAATGCTCTAGTATGTGTATTTAAACATGGGCCACTCGAATATGCAATAATATTCAGGTTGTTGAATGCTTTTCCCTACGCCTATAGGGATTCACGCGCTTTCTAGGCACTTTGCGGCAAAAAGGCCGAAATCGTTAGCGCCGAAATTTTCTTCGCGCAAGAACCAAGCTGAAAATGCTCTAGTATGTGTATTTGAACATGGGACACTCGAATATGCAATAAAATTCAGGTTGTTGAATGCTTTTCCCTACGCCTATAAGGATTCACGCGCTTTCTAGGCACTTGGCGGCAAAAACGGCCGAAATCGTAAGCGCCGAACTTTTCTTTGCGCAAGAACCAAGCTGAAAATGCTCTAGTATGTGTATTTGAACATGGGCCACTCGAATATGCAATAACATTCATGCTGTTGAATGCTTTTTTTTTTTTTTTTCTACGCTTATAGGGATTCACGCGCTTTCTAGGCACTTGGCGGCAAAAATGGCCGAAATCGTAGGCGCCGAATTCATGCTGTTCAATGCTATTCCCTACGCCTACAGGAATATTACGCGCTTTCTAGGCACTTGGCGGCAAAAACTGCCGAAATCGTAGGCGCCGAACTTTTCTTCTTCGAGCAAGAACCAAGCCGAAAAGGCTCTAAATCTGTGAATTTGAACATGCTGAAGCAGCGAAATAAATGAACCACTGATATGCGAAAAAAAATATAGGTTGTTGAATGTTTTTCCCCTACTCCTATAGAGATTCACGCGCTTTCTAGGCACTTGGCGGCAAAAACGGCCGAAATCGTAAGCGCCGAACTTTTCTTCGTGCAAGAACCAAGCCGAAAGGGTGGTTTGTGCATTTGAACATGAGCCATTCGAATATGAAAAAAAGAATCAGGTTGTTGAATGCTTTTCCCTATGTCTGTACGGGTTGATGCGCATTCTAGGGCACTTGGCGGCAAAAACGGCCGAAATCGTAGGCGCCGAACTTTTCTTCTCGCAAGAACCAAGCCGAAAAGGCTCTACTATGTGTATTTGAACATGGGCCACTCGAATATGCAACAACATTCAGGTTGTTGAATGCTTTTTCCATTTGCCCATAGGGATTTACGTTATTTCTAGGCACTTGGCGGCAAAAACGGTCGAAATCGTAGGCGCCGAACTTTTCTTTGCGCAAGAACCAAGCAAAAAAAAAAACTCTAGTACGTGTACTTGAACATGGGTCACTTGAATATGCAATAAATTTCAGGTTGTTGAATGCTTTTCCCTACGCCTATAGGGATTCACGCGCTTCCTCAGCACTTGGCCGCAAAATACGGCCGAAATTGTAGGCGCTGAACTTTTCTTCGCACAAGAACCAAGTCGAAAAGGCTCTAGTATGTGTATTTGAACATGGGCCACTCGAATATGCAATAAAATTCAGGTTGTTGAATGCTTTTCCTTACGCCTATAGGGATTCACGCGCTTTCTAAGCACTTGGCGGCAAAAACGGCCGAAATCGTAGGCGCCGAACTTTTCTTCGCGCAAAAACCAAGCCGAAAAGGCTCTAGTATGTGTGTTTGAACATGGACCACTCGAATATGCAAACAAAATAAGGTTGTTGTGTCAGAATGTTATTATTGTCTAGCCTGTAGTGGGGTGCTCTATAGCGAGTACAACCCAGTTAGGGTTTGCTATATGTACCCCAACTGCTGCTAGTGAAACCCCTCTCCTTTCATTCATTCTTGCCTAGTTCTTCTAACATGGTATTCAGAGCAGGACGATCCAGATGGGTCGATCCTGTGGGTGGGCCCCACCACCTGCTTCCGCTGCTCCTACTACTCTTTGTGTCGCACGCCCCGTGGCGTGCGACGGATTTTTCATCCCGCCGCGCGCTCGGGGCGTGCGGCGGTTTTCTCCCCGCCGTGCGCACCGAGGCGCACGGCGGTTTTCCTACTGTGGGGGACGCCCGCGGCCCCCCGATCCCGTCGCCCGCGGCCCTCCGGTCCCGTCGCCCGCGGCCCCGCGATCCCGTCGCCCTGCCCCCCCCCCCCCCCCCCCCCCCCCCCCCCCCCCCCCCCCGATTTCCCGTCGCGCCGCCCTGGGGAGCCGCGCGCGACCCCCCGCGGCCCCGATTTCCCGTCGTGCCGCCCTGGGGAGCCGCACGCGAACCCCCGCGGCCCCGTTTTCCCGTCGTGCCGCCCTGGGGAGCCGCGCGCGACCCCCCGCGGCCCCGATTTCCCGTCGCGCCGCCCTGGGGAGCCGCGCGCGGCCCCTCGCTGCCCCGTGGTGGCGTCCTGGGGGCCGAGCGCCGTCCCCCTCGCCGTCCCCCGCGCTCCTTCCCCCGTTCCGCCCGTTTTTAGGGTTTGGGGGTGAGGAGTGTGGGGGTGGCAGCTATGGGGGTGCCGTGTGTGTGCGCCGTCCCCTGCTCCTCCTCCTCCTCCGTCTCCCACTGCTGCAGCTGCCGCTGAGGGGGGTGGATGTGTGGGAGCCGAGGTTTAGGGTTTAAGGGGGGTGTCGTGGAAGTGGAGCTAGGGTGTCAGCAGGGGGTGTGTGAGAGGGGCGTGGGACGGTCGGGGGAGGTTGCGTGGAGGTAGCCGTCGTGACGCCAGCAGCGCCAGTAGTCCGGATGCCCTCGCGCGTTTCGGTAGCCCAGCGAGCCTGCTTCGCCAGTCGCCTGTGGGTCCGTTGCTCCTGTGTGTGCTCGTCGTAGCCGCGGAGCCAGATACTCCCGTAGTCCGGTGCCCTCGTGCGCTCGGTAGCCACTGTGCGCGCCGCTCCTGTTGCCCGTGTGTCTGCAGCTTCAGTCGGCGCCTTTCATCTTCTCGCCCTCACAGTTTCTCCTCCTCCTCACTTGCCCTCTATGATCACCTCTAGCTTTGCTTATAATTGTGAACTATTGCTATGCCTGCTCATTGTACTGATTACACCCCACTTTGGCTATGGGGGTGTGTCAGAATGTTATTATTGTCTAGCCTGTAGTGGGGTGCTCTATAGCGAGTACAACCCAGTTAGGGTTTGCTATATGTACCCCAACTGCTGCTAGTGAAACCCCTCTCCTTTCATTCATTCTTGCCTAGTTCTTCTAACATGTTGAATGCTTTTCCCTACGCCTTTAGGGATTCACGCGCTTTCTCAGCACTTGGCGGCAAAAAAACGGCCGAAATTGTAGACGCCGAACTTTTTTTCGCACAAGAACCAAGTCGAAAAGGCTCTAATATTTTTATTTTGTCCAAACATCACTTGCCCCTTCAATCACACACTACACTTCATGCCGTAGTTACCAATACTTCAAAGGAGCTTGCAGACAATCAGTAAAACAGATCTAAAAGAAACACCCACGCTCCATATCATTTTCATCCAGGACGGTCCACCGTCCACGTCTCATGGACTCGCTGATCATAGGGAGTCATACACAAGGGGCTTGTTATGAGCTCGAACTTGCAATCGACCTGTCATTACAAAGTATTAAGCTATGAATTATAAATACAGGGCTGGCGGGTTCGCAGCCTCCCTAAGAGCAGGACCCTGGGAGGCCACAACTCACTTGCTCATCCACCCAGTCATCCACACACCTAACTCCCAAGCCCACCATACAAAACCCTCCTGCCCCATGCCTCCTCGACTCAACCTCCCACCCACCTATGCTCCCAGCAACCTTGAGCCACCTTTGCACCCCCTCTGCCTGTCATCTTCGAGCAGAAGACAACACAGACGAGACCCGCGGCCGCCCCTTAGGGCTCTTCCGCGCCTTCTCCGCAATCTCCGCCACCTCAGCGTCCCTTACCCACCACTCCACCACCTCCCCTGGCCGAACCTCTCTCTGGCACGCCTTCCTCGTCTCCTCCGTCAGCAGTGGGTACCGGTTGAACCGCGCCTCACTAGCGTCCAAGTCGTCGCCGCCCATCTCGGGCACGCTGGTGCGGTGAACCAGGACGGTCATGACTTGTCTTGGATCCACGGCGACTCGGCGGTAGCCGAATTCCCCCAGGCACATCTCGGCGCGCGGGTACTCGTCCTTGTTGGTGCAGAACAGCTGCGGCCAGTGGAAGCGCATGCGCTCCACTGCCCACACCGGTGAGGCTGCTGGGGGCGGCTCGGCTGTGGTCACTGCTGCTGTGGCTGTGGTGATGGTGGTGGTGGCTGTAGCGGCAGCAGTGGCGCCAGCCGCACCGGCTGTACCCATACCAGCAGCAGCACCGGCTCCACCACCAGATGCACCAACACCACCACCACCACCCCCTGCAGCACCCGCAGTACCACCACCAGTACCACCAGCAGCACCTGCAGTCCCAGCAGTTGCAGCATCACCACCGCCGGCAGCACCAGCAGTAGCACCAGCACCTGTGGTTCCAGCTGTGCGCGCAGCATCACCACCTGCACCCGCACCAGCTCCCGTGCTATTACCCACCGACCTTAACGCCGACCCTCCTCCACCGCCCCCGCCCGCCACAGCCAGCAAGCTCCTCCCTCCCGCACCCCTCCCTACCCCTCCCCCCGCCCCTCCCCCTGCCCCCTCCACCTGAACGCACTTCTCCAGCGACCACCATCGGCTGCCAAACGACACGTACGGCCGCCCCTCAAACCTACTCAGCACGGCCGCCATATCCTCCCCGGACCTGGACGAGAAGTACTCGCTCATCTCGGCGAAGAACACCCACTGGGAGGTGAACGCGTGCTGGTGCACACAATCATTCATCGCGAGCAACCTCCCAGACTCCCAGATGTCAAACTGCTCCACGCGCCGCATGTCCACGATCTGCACGAACCCGCCCTCCACAAAGCCCTCTATGAGCCCCATGATCTCGGGGTCCAGCGCGCCTGCATCGTACAGCACCACACGGTCCACCCCCACGTGCAGGTGGTACTCTATCCACTCATAGATGCGCATCGGGATGAGCTTCGTGGCGAGCGGGGGGGAGCAGTAGGTGAGGCGGTGGGGGTACGGCGGGGCGGGGTTGGCGGAGGGGTACTGGCCCTGGTCCTCGATGTATGCGACGATGTCTTCTTTGTCCACTGTGACCACCAGGATTCCTCCGAAGTCCTGTGCAGTGGACTCCTCTAGTTCGCACACCAGCACCACCGCCTCGTACCGCTTGTTGTGGTCGTCGCCTGGGTAATAGGCTGGGGAGGGGTGGGAGGGAGGGGAGGAGGGAGGATGGGGGGAGGTGTGGGGTGAAGGGGGAGAAGTGTGGGTTAAGGGGGAGGAGAGGTGTGGAGTGAGGGGGGAGAGGTGTGAGGTGAGGAGGGGGGAGTGGTGTGGGGTGAATGGGGGAATGGGTGTGGGATGAGAAGGAGGTGTAAGGAGGATGTGTAGGTTTTATCCAAGATCCATCCAATCCCCTTCAGAAGCGAGACTTCTCTCTCACCCCCCACCCTCAGCCCCCACTCACCCACGAGCTGCCCCATGGCTGGCCCTGTGACCCCTTCCTTTCCCTTCCACAGGCACCACCCGCCATCCCAGTGCCTTACCTCAACCTTATTGCACCATTCCCTCTCAGCCCCATTCCCCCCTCCCCCTCCCTTTTCCCAACTCACCCACGAGCTGCCCCGTGACCCTGTGGCCGCCGTGCTTCTCCTTCCACAGGCACCGGCCCAGTTCCCGCGACGTCTTGAGCACGCGGGACGCCAGTCCCACCACGGCGAACTTGCTTTCGCTCATGCGGTAGCTCGCGAACTGCACGAACCCAAACGTGGGCATGTGCTCGCGGAACACGTTGTTGCGCGTCACCTCCTTGGCGATTTTGGAATTTGGGTCCTCCAGAATCGCCTTCACCAGTTCGCGCCGCTTCTCCGTGTCACTCAGGTCGGATTGCGGGTCGAAGTGGCTAGAAGCGCCTGTGTCTCCCCCCGCTGCTGCTCCCGCCGTCCCTGCAGTGGTCCCCGCTCCCCCTCCTGCCGCGCCTGCGGCCCCTGCTGCGCCTGTTCCCCCTGCTGTGGCCGCCATGCCTCCGCCTGACGCCTCTGCCCGGCCCCGCCGGCTGCCCCCGCCGTCAGTCCCCCTCCCGCTGCCCCTGCCGTCAGTCCCCCGCCCGCCGCGCCTGCAGCTTGAACTTGCTGCTGCTGCGGCTGTGCGCCCCCTTGCTGCTGCAGCACCCGCGGGTCTACTGGAATCTTGGCCGGCGCTGGCACTGACTGCGCTTGCCCCGCCCCCCCTTGCCCTCCGCCCCCCTTCCCTGCTTCCGCTTTCTCTCCCGCTGCCGACTTAGTCCCTGCCCCTGCGCCTCCCCTCCCGCGCCCGCCCCACCTGCTGCGCCAGTCCCCCCATTCGAGGCTGGCGCAAGCTGTTGCCGCCGGTTTTGAATAAGTAGAAGAATGAGCAGAACGGCGATGACTATATAGGGAAGGTTCTGCTTGATAAGCGCCGAAAGGTAGTGCGATCTGCTGCTGCTGTACATGGCACGGCGCCGCCTCAGCATGGCGATGTGCGGATTCACGTCGCTCGCTCTGTGGTACGACGGCGGCGAGTCGTGGGCCGTCGGATCGTCCTCCATCTCCACGTACGTCGTCTCGGGTGGACTATCGTACGGCGCTATTCCCGACGCCGGTATTCCCGAGACGTACCCCCCACCGGCCCCCCACCGCCATTGCTCTTGCGCGCCCCATTCCCGCCGCGGGCCCGCGCCTCCGGCATATGCGCCGTACGGGCCGCCGTACGCCGCGGGGCCTCGACCGCCGCGATGCATGCCCCCGTCGCGCATGCCTGGGTCGCGCATCGCCATGGATCGCAGCGCGAGCTCACTCAATCCTGTATCGCGTACGACGCCCGGCCCCTCCCGCGCGCCCGGGCCCCGCATGCCCATATCCCGCATGCCGGGCCCGCGCATCCCCATTCCCCCATGTTTCCCCCCCGGCCCATGCCCGCTGCGCGCATGTCCGCCTGCCTGAAGCTGCCATGCGGGGAGTCTAGAACCGTTGGGGAGGCAGACGGCATTTTTGCCGCATGCGCGGATACTGGAGCTGACTATGCGGCAGCAATCAGGGTTGACCAATGGAACTAAGGAAACAGAAAGAACGCCTACCGAATTGGAGAAATCCACTGAGCTGCACGCGACTACCGTGAATTCTGAAGAGGAAAAAGATCACCCAGACGGGTAAGCAACTGACAAGATGCCCTCAGACGTAGTGGCGTATAGACGGCCTACCTAATAGGAAGAAGCATTTGATCAGTGTGTTCTGCCTGCAGCGAAGGGGATGGTTTGCTGTCAACTAGCCGCGCCGGACAGTTGCTCCCTCACTTGCTGCCTCACTTTCGGTAGGTCAATTTTGAGGTCGCCTGAAGTACACCGGAAACATTTTTTTAGAGAAGAAAAGAATTCGGCTACAACTTCAATACAGAGGCGCGTAAAGAGCGTACGCAGACAGGGTTTCGAATCCACTCGCGAATCGCATTGACGAAGGTTACCGCACCAGCACACCCAGCCACTACCCGTGCGACCATCGAGGAAATCAGCGTGCTAAACCTGGTGGCGAGAAACGAACCGACTGCCATCGTGGCGTCATCACATTGGTTATGATGATCGTGGCGACATCTGTTCGTGGATAATGCAGTTTCGCCCATCCAATTCACCCCCCCTCGAGGGACCCTCTCTTTCGTTTCTCCTTGGGATCTACTCTGGTTGCCTCCCACTCGGTCCAAACTGATTTTCTTTGGTAGCATTCTTGGTTTGCAGGTGTCTTCCTAACATCCCGCAACCATGGCTGCCACCACTGTCTCCGCCAGCCTCAAGGCCGCGTCCCTTGTGCAGCCTAAGGTCAATGCCGCCTCCCTGAAGGCCGCTCCCGTGTCTCAGGCTTTCGGCCTGAAGACTGCCTCCTCCAAGGTGTCCTGCTCCCTGGAGGAGAACGTCCGCGGCTTCGTGCAGAAGGCTGCTGATGCCGGCAAGACCGCCGCTCTTGCTCTCGCCTCGACCGCCCTGCTTGCGTCGGTTAGTGTTACTGTCCTTACTCTTCTGTAGATCTGTTTATTCTTTGGAACGCAATTCCTGTCCTAAAATTTCGCGTTTATGTTTAAACAGGCTGCCCAGGCTGAGATCCCCAGGCTGACCTTCGAGGAGCTCCAGAGCCTCACCTACTCTGAGGTGAAGGGCAGCGGCATCGCCAACCAGTGCCCCATCATCGCTGGCGGTGTTGATGGCTTCGCCTTCAAGTCGGGCAAGTACCAGGTCACCAAGATGTGCCTGGAGCCCACCTCCTTCACCGTGAAGGCCGAGTCCCAGTTCAAGGGCCAGGGCGAGGATTTCCAGAAGACCAAGCTCATGACCCGCCTCACATACACTCTGGACGAGATTGAGGGTCCCCTTGAGGTCTCCGGCGACAAGATCAAGTTCACCGAGGTTGACGGCATTGACTACGCCGCTGTCACCGTCCAGCTGTCCGGTGGCGAGAGGGTGCCGTTCCTCTTCACCATTAAGGAGCTGGTTGCCTCTGGCACGCCCGACAGCTTCGGCGGGTCCTTCCTGGTGCCGTCCTACCGCGGTGCCACGTTCCTTGACCCCAAGGGCCGTGGTGGTGCCCAAGGGTACGACTCTGCCGTTGCCCTCCCTGCTGGTGGCTTCGGTGACAACGAGAAGCTAAGGAAGGAGAACGAGAAGTCGTACAAGTCCTTGAGCGGCAACATCACCTTCAGCGTGGCCAAGTCGAACGTTGAGACTGGCGAGATTGGCGGAGTGTTCACCAGCGTGCAGCCCTCTGACACTGATATGGGTGCCAAGGTTCCCAAGGAAGTGAAGATCCAGGGCATCTGGTACGCCCAGGTGAACTAGGCGATCGCACCATTGTTCTTGTAAATCAAAGAAATATCAGAACATTTTTCCTCTTATATGAATATTCGCCGACAATTCTGCTTTACTGTAAGGTTCTTTCTAGCTGCTTGATAGCATTGGCGTCATTAGCGACCACAGGCTTAGAGCCTAACAAAGCGACATTAAACGTAAATATCCTGATAAGCAGTAGTTCCGTCTTATCATACGCAAACCAGTTGGCTTCGGCAGTGAAACGGTGATGGCAGAAGTTTATAACCCCTACAGAGCCAATTGTAACCAGCTGATGAATTTCAATCTTCGTGTTTTCGTTCTCGCAAACTGATAATGACGAGGATTTAAGTGCCACGTGGCGATCCCTCTATCCACCAATCACACGACCATCGGCACCGTTGCTTTCGCTGCTCTCTCGCTCTCTCCCTGTTTGGCCACCTCCCAACCGACTCTACGCCACAACCTCCCGCACCTCTCTCCCGCTGAACCATCTCAACTTGAACAAGGCATTCCTGAAGCTCCGCCTCTCCGCCATGGCGTCCCTCCTTGCTTCTTCGTTCTTAGTCTCCACTCCCGCAGCTTCCCTTGGGAGTTGCGCGACTTTGACAGAGTCTTCTTCGCAGGTTTCCTGCGCAGCTCCCGTGAACCAGGATGCGCTGAAGGTTGCGGGATTTCCGCAAGGCAAGCGTTTTAGCTTTCACATTGTGCGATAGCTCTTGCAATCCTCTCATCTCATTTGGTTTTCATATCACAGCAGCATATTGCGTTCAGAGGAGTTAGGTTATGGGTGGTGTCGAAACCTCCCTCGCCCGTTATTTCAGAAAAGGAAAATTCGTGACCTGGTGTTGTGGCCTCGGATGATCGTTCTGTGCAGTTTATTGTGGGCGTGGGGACAAGCGTACCGCGAAAGGAAAGAGGACACGTGGATCTTTTGGCAACGTAAGCTAAGACTTAGTGTTTGGTCTCTTCTGCAAATCCATTTTTCCCCCAGGATACACAATGTTCTGTCAAATGTGTAAGCCATCGACAGTCCCTTTTCCCTCACTCAACAAGTGACTGCCCTTCATTCCCCTTCTCTCCTCTCAGTGCCGGCCGAAGTCTTCGAAGGGCAAGAGCCGCCTGGGCCTGCCTCTGACGCCAGTGCCAGCTGGGAGCGGCTCACGCAAGCGGCTGGAGGACGACACAGAGTACATCCACATTGACCTGGACGAGGAGATCAACCGATAAGCTGTTGACGGATAGGTTCCGTTGAGCATGTACTCTCAATGTTAGCGCTTGTTCAATGCAGCGACGTTCTCAACCACCATTGTCCTCTCCCTGACACAAGTGTTTTCTGTCCACTTTTTCCCTACGTTTGGACTGGAAAAGTACCACGTCTCTCTGGGACCAGAGTATGGCCAATGCCATGGCTCTCATAAGCTGCCGTGTAATGCTGGGTTTTTGGGTTTTGACCTGTCACACCCTGGTGCAGATGTCATGCCCTTGGTATCTACCGTAATTACTCAAGGGCTTCTTAGTGTTCATAAACGCTTTGGAAGGCGGCTGTAACTAGACGTTCCTTTACAGCCAGAGCAGAATAAAGTGCGGCACGGATAATGCATACCAGATAATGCATACCAGCGTACCATGTTTTTGCAAGACAGCACTGAAGACCCTTGATTCTGTTTCGGCGAGTCACAGACGCTGCCAGCCATATCACGTAAGGAGCAAACTGGACCAATTACCAGCAGTCTCTTGGCAAGCCGACATGCATCATGTGTTTCCTAGTCGCTCCTATGCGTCAAGGATGTTCGCTAGCTAGCAGCATTTGTCCCGCTTTATGCCAGAGAAATCTTAGGAGGGCGTCATGTAGCGTGGGGCCGCAGTGTCTTGCTTTCGGCCGGGGACGATCCGCGACCTTCACATGTTCCAATTCGCAGCAAATCAAGCCGACAGGCCACCGTTGGGACTTCATGTCCCCGCTTCCCGTCCAGTCCGGGAAAATCGCTCCTCCAATAAAAAAACATGGACATTTGTGGATCAGAGCTGGCCATGAGATGCAGCCGGAGAGCGCAATTCGACATCTTGATTCTCCCAACAGCTCCGCTTCTGTGCGTGTGGCGGCTATAGATTGCGGGACTAATGCGCTTAGACTCCTCATATGCGAATGCGGAGAAGGTATTAGTTCATGTTTCCCAAGCAGAGAGCTGGTTCGCGAAACACGGTCAGTGACTCTTGGAGCTGACGTGGCACGCAATGGTACCCTTTCTCCTGACACTGTTTCCACGTGCCTTGATATCCTGAGGTACTTCGCCGAGCTATGTCGCGTTCACAGGGTCTCGCGAACGCGCATGTGCGCTACGTCAGCTGCTAGGCGTGCAGTCAATGCTGCAGATCTTCTCATCCCAGCCGCACAAGTGATTGGTTCAACTCCAGAAGTCATATCAGGGGAAGAAGAGGGCAAGCTGACATTCCTTGGCGCCACCGCGGCAGTCAGCAGATTATTGACGGAGGAAGTGAGGGGAGCACCCCTTGCAGTGATAGACATCGGCGGTGGTTCATCAGAGGTGGCCTTAGGCACTATCTTTCCTCCGTTCAGGGATGCAGTTTCCAGTTCCTCCATTTTGACCTCGTCTTCACCCACTATCTCTGGCCCTCACACTGTTGTCTCAGTTGACATCGGCTCCTCCTCTCTATCACGCTCCTATTTCCTCCACCTCAGCCCCACCTCCCCATCCAGCATTGAAGCTGCTCGTCATGCTGCCAGGGAGGCCTACCACTGCAGACTCTCTCCTGCACTGTCAACGGACTGGTTCAAGCACGTTGGTAACCATCAGCCACAGAATATTGTCATAAATCATGTAGGAGGGAGTAGTTCTGGAGTGGCAACACGTGGAGGGGAGGGAGTGGTGGTGGGCACAGGAGGGATACTGACAACACTTGCTGCCCTTGCTCAGGGCGTTCCATACGCAAGGGAGAAAGTTCATGGTTTTGTTTTGGATGTGGAAATGGTGAAAGGGATACTGGAGAAATGCAGCGTAATGACACGAGAGGACAGAGCTCACTTACCTGGCATGTGGGAAGGGCATGTGGACGTGATCATTGGGGGTATTTGTGCTGTGTTATCAATAATGGAAGTGCTTCAGTGCACAGCATGCATTGTGTCAGAGTCGGATCTCCTGGATGGGATGATTATTGAACTATGCCCCTGTACGGAAACGGTGTAATGATGACGTTTTGTCAAACATTGTGGAGTGCACATTTAGAAGTCTGAAAGGGTGATTAACATTATTTCCATGGTTGCAAGAAATAGCAGAAATAAAATGCTTGTTTATTGGAATATTTTCCAGTCGAATTTCTACTGTACTGGCTGTAGCTGCTCACGACCTTAGCGAAATTGGAACCACCTTTCTGAATTTCACGTCGTCAGCGAAGAGACCTTTTACAGCGACCGGAAGCCAAGCTTTCCTGCTTTCCACAACTACTCTGTGTTGCTGTTGGTCGCTGAGCACTTGATTGCAATGGATACCTCAGTTGAGCTTCAAATTCCTAGACTGTAAATCCCTTTACGTGGTGGGAAGTATTTTCTCGTTAGGTAGGTAAGTGGTGCTTTAAAGAAAGCATCCTTATGGCTTTCGGTTGTGGGTCATTTTCCGCTTCATCCTCGCCAGCAGTCGAATCCATACAGCCACACCAGGTCTCGGTTGTCTTGTTAAGCAGGTAAGCGCTTATTGCACCGTATTTTTCCCTATTGAAAGTCGGATTGACACGCTTCGTTTTCTCAAACAGACTCGGCGTATCCTCTTTGCGAGATTTAGAACCTGATTGCTGCGCTAGCCTTTTGGCGAAGCTCCAAAAGGAGGAGGTTTTTACAGGATTACTGCTTGATGGCGGTCTGGTTATCACAACCCGTTCCGCTGTGCCTTCTAAAGAGGCAGCAGCAGGCTTGCATTTGCTGGCGTTCTCGGCTCCCGTTTTACGCAAGAACAAGAGAGGAGCTCACGCGACGGCTCAGCTGATTTGCGCACCCAAACCTCTATCTCCAGAGAGGTTCGTGTTGGAGTGAATGTCTAGTAGGCTTGGTATCAAACAACTAATATATGCTACCCTGACAGGGCATTTGGAACAAATGAGGCGCTCGGTGTTACAATCGTTGCATGCGAACACCTGTCCTGTGGAGAGGAACATGCCTCAGTCGCGTGCAATGTCTCGTCATTGTCTCGAAGTCTTGGAATCGGCTCGAATGCGGTTCTGCTCGTCTATTACTTCACTGCTCTACGTCTTCCACGAGGAAACGCGTCAAAGATATCTTCTGAGAGCATGCCACCCACTGCTCTTTCATGGAACCTGAAAAAGGGTCGCATAATGGAACCCCACGATTCCGAAGTGGCCTCGAATCCGGTGGAAACACGCAAAATCGGTATTCAGTTTTCTCGCTCTCGCTCTTTTCTGTCAAGCAAAAATGACAAGTCAGGTGGCCAGCGTGACTTGGTAGTGCCAAGCTGTGTTTTGTTCAACAACGATGGTGAAGTTTCCTCCATCGTGGACCATGGTATGTTCCTTGATGTCAATGCTTCTTTGATGCGAGTGCGTACACTGAGTGAGTGTGTACTAATACCTCTTCATTTTGTGACAATCAGACGCATTAAGCAAGGCGCAAGCTCATGCTACGCCTATGAGTGCGATTCTTGAGTGGATTTTAAGTATGTATGACATGACTGGCACCAGCATAAGGCTTCCTCCCATCGGCTTTCCCAACGAAAACGTCACCAGTGAGCATATCTTGCCAGAAGCAGCAGTAGAGGAGCGGCTGACGGAATCAGTACCAGTGACTAGTTACGACGCCACCCCAGAAGCTGCATCTGACTCTGTGCCTTGTTCCTTGAACACAAGCGTGGAGCAAAGGGTTGAAGATTCGGTGGAGGGTGATTCATCAGCTCCTGATGCTGTGAATGCAAGTTCACCAACCGATCAAGTTAACGAGACCAATGTCACTGCAAGCTCTGACACTGGCCTGGGTGCTGCTAACTCAACAGGTGATGATGTGGAATGCCATCCTGTGGAAGTGACTTCTACTAATCAGATGGCGGCGGATGACGTGGAGAGTGCTCATGTCGACATCATTGCTCCCATGCAATCCGCTGAGAAGCAGAAGCTGACTCATGACGAGCTCAAAGCACGCATAATGGGTTATGGCAACACGAGTGGTTTGATGAAGAGACAGAGTGCTCGAGCAGACGTTTCCAGGCATGCGGAACTAGCTAATATAGCAGCTGGAGTGCAGATATTGTCAGGTGGGCCAAAAGAAACCACCTCCAACAGCTCCTCTGCAAAAGGGAGAGGTTCTGAGGGTGGCTTCATTGGGGAGACAGGCAGCACCTCACGTAAGCCCGCACTTTGGCGATTCGGATCGACAGGGCAGCACGCAGCTGCAGCCACAGCAGCATCAGATGGAGCAGGCCACGAGGGAGTCTCTCAGAATTCTGCATTGAAGAATCTGTCATCCCTGCAGATGATCGTTGCTGCTCCTGTAGCAGCATTTGTCGAACTGGGGTCAAAAATGAGTGGTGCAATGGTGGATCTTGGTGGTGCATTCAGGAGAAACCAGGAGAATGATGACCACATGGCTGAAATGAGTGAATTGGACAGGAAGAAGCTACAGGTATGAATCTATTAAGCATGCAAGGGAAGATCCAGGCCTATGTCATTGGGCTGACGCTGTTTACTTGTTGAGTGCAGGAACAAGAGGTGCGCAGACAAGATGCATACAAAAATGCTGCTGCATCCCTCTTTAAAACGAGTCACCATCAGGAGAGGCTATCTACCCCAGACCCGCAAGCCCTCCCACCTGATATGGAGCACCCTGAAAACGGTTCATGCCTGGACCAAGTTGCTGACGTTGAGGTTGATGATGCAAAAGGCTTGGAGTCACAAGCGAGTGCAGAGGATGGTTGCAGCGTTCTGTTTGGAGCAAAACAAGGTGATGAGAAGGATGGAGATGGTTCCAGCAAAAGGAATGGGGCCGCTGAGGTTAGTGGGGATGGGGTCAGTGAAGGGAGAAGACCATGTGAGCTGGATGGAGGTGCCTATGCGTGTGATCATTCAACAGCCTTGAGCGGAAGCCTCAGCATGGAGTTGTCCAAAGAGTTGAAGGGCGAGCACTCGTCAGAGATTGTTGTCGGTGCGAGATCCAGTGACGGGTCAAGCAAATCAAGTGAGCAGTCCAGCCACAGCCACGCCAGAGACAGCACCGGCAGCAGCAGCTCCACCGACCATGTCAAAGAGAAGTGGCCTCTTGCCACCCAAACGAGCGCTGGTGGTAGCACCTCCATGGGCACACGGCGCCCACGGGTCATATTGGATGACCACTGGTGGAAAACAAAGCTGGTCAGTGAGGAGCCAGGGCGCCGTTTGGTGGCTGCTCAGCTAGCCAGGGAGGCAATGCTGATGCGAGGGGGGTCAGGTAATGTCTCTCGGCTGGAGGGGCGCATTGGGGGACTGGAGGCGCCTACTCCTCTTGCTTCACGTTCCAACTCAGGAGTCCCACCTACCATAAGGAAGGGAGCCATCACAACAGCTCTGCATGACAAAGGAACAGATGTGGCTCAGGGCTCCAATGCTGAAGGTTCCGAGCCTGAGGGGGAAGGAGAAGATAAGTCTGATGGAGCTGATGGTGCCTCTCAGCGCCTTGCTGAGAAGCGTGGAACTGACCCACCAGGGGGTGCTGCTGATGGGGCGAGTGCATGCATGGACAAGCCGTTGGATGATGTTGGTGGTAGTGATGGCATTGGATTGCATGGAGCGCAAGGGAACCATTTAGTGGGCAAAGGATCTGCAGCAACAATGTTGGGTAAGGTTGAAGTCACGTTATCCAGCTCCCCTACTCAGGCTGAAGTGCAGGCACTTCAGCAGCCATCCCAGACTGCAACTGCCAATCAGGACCCCTGGTGAGTATTTTCTGTTCGTTCTGTCTTGCCATTCGTCACTTCCAGTCCCTCACTCACGGCTGTCAGGGCGAGCAAGGCGGAGCACAAGACCCCAGTGAAGGCAGTCCCTCCTCCAGTGGACAAGCGGCTGCAGTCAGGCTTTGACGGGCTCATGCAGGCAATTGAGTCGCTGGCCACCATGAGTGTTTCCCGCTCTCCTGGAGCCAAGCCATGGGCCTCAAGCAACCGAGGAACAGACAAGGGAGTTAAAAGCCAGAACACGCAGTCCTCAAGCCCCGTGCTGGCATATGACGGAGCAGTGACCAGTCAGGGGAAGCGCCAAACTGAGCCGAGCCAAGCTGCAGCTGGGGCAACAAGACAACCAGCAATGTTTCCAAACACTCCAGGCGCTTCAACCGGTGAGAAACATTCAACTGCATTGTGTGCGTTTTATCATCCCTTGCTGTTTCTGCCCCTCACCATTTCATGTCCTCTATGCTTGACTGGCAGGTCACAGGCTCCCTGCTGCATCACCAGAGCACACTCAAGAGTACGCTCACAGAGCAGGGGTGCTGAGCTTGCAGCAGCAGGCAGCGTGGCTGTGGGACAGTGCACAGCACATGGCTGCAAGGGGCACAAGGGCCAGCTCTGCATCAAGCGATGGGGACTCCCAGGCCAGAGGTAGCGGTATAGAGCGTGACAGGGTGAGTGGAAGGGCGAGTGATAGGGTGAGTGGGTTGTCAGGTATACCAAGTGCCAGGACCAGCTCGAATGTGAGGAGCAGTGCTGGAGGAGTGGGGGCTGGGAAGAGCCCAGCGCCTGTTGCTGACTTGATTACTGGAAAGCAGGCTTACGAGTATTTGAAGGAGCATCAGAAGGAATGTGCACATATGGGACCTCGTACTCTTCATTGACGTATTTGTAGTGGAGTGGAGTGGAGTACGGTGCTTGCTTTCGCATCAGACCATGAACCAAGGATTTCCGTACTGCATGTGTGAACATTTATTGAAGCAGACTGGCCCTTTTGATCTGAGGCTGGTGTTTTTGCTTGTGGTTGCTCTTCACCTTGTGTTTTTACTCATAAATTCCAGAAACCAAAAAGCTGGTGCACTTACGGTATTTTTCTATGTGCATGTGGTGCAATGAGAATCTGAAGTGTGCGTGTGCGCCATGTGGAGCACAGAGCTGTTCCACTGCTTTGAACATGGACTCATTACGTTGATCAGATTTACACTCATTACCTCTTTGTGATAGTGAAGTAGGCAAAGCTGCCATTATGACATCACCGTCAATTGAGAACACTTTTGACGAGGCAGTTTTGATTGATGCCCAGCAATCCATCCCCCCACACTGTGATCATCACTGATCAGCTACAGCAAGGACTATTTTCCAGGCACGCCGCTCAATCCGCCGAGCTATGCGGGGTATCATTTCGAGCTTATCGCTCCACCACCCACGTCACCCAATCAGACTCGAATCATCCGCCTCGCTACACACGAACCACCCAAACACGGCGAAACTAGCGTATCACACAGTATCTCGAGGATTGACGCATTTCCCAACCCAGCCGCATCCATTCCCGCCGGTCCAACTGCGTTCCGCGTCCCCCGGACGTTCCCACCGTCCTTCGTCCCGTCTCGTCGTTTGCGCATCTTCCCGTCGCGGCGGATCCCGACCTGCGCCGCGCGGGTTTTCCGCGCGCGAGGCGATGCGCGGAGGGGTGGACTCGGAGGGGCGACAGTATGCGTCGGCGGACGAAATGTGGCGGCAGGAGACGGGGGAGCGCGCAGTGAGCGCGGGGGAAGGGGGAAGCGGGGAGGGCGCAATGGAGGCGGAAATGGGCGGGAAGAAGCGCGAATGGTACGACAAGGGCGTCAAATACTGGGAGGTGCGCGCTGCCTCTCCCCTCCTTCCGCCCATCTCTCCTCTCGTTCTTCCTCCCTCCCTCCTTTTCTCACAACTGCTTGCCCTCCCTGCCTCCCCTCTTCTCTCCCCTCCCCGCTCCCCCCCTTTCGTGCATCTCAGGGCGTGGAGGCGAGTGTGGACGGCGTGTTGGGGGGGTACGGCTCGGTGAGCGCAACAGACGCGGCGGGCAGTGCGGCGTTCCTGCAGGAGGTGTACGGCGCACAGCTCGACGCTGCCCGCTCTCAAGGCCGCCCGCTTGTCGCTCTGGGTGCGTGCTATGAGAGGGGAGGGGGTGGGGAGGAGGGGGTGGGGAGGAGGGGGTGGGGAGGAGGGGGTGGGGAGGAGGGGGTGGGGTAAAGGGGGCAGTGCGGCCTTCCTGCACGAGGTGTATGGCGCACAGCTCGAGGTGCACAGCTCGAGGTGCACAGCTCGACTCCGCTCGCTCACAGGGCCGCCCGCTGGTCGCTCTGGGCGCGTGCTATCAAAGAGGAGGGGGTGGGGAGGAGCGGGGGAGTAAGTCACAGGCTCGGGCATGGGGTGACAGGCTCGGGCATGGGGTCGCAGGCTCGGGCATGGGGTCACAGGCTCGGGCATGGGGTCACTAATTTGAATCCACTCTCCATCTGCCCTGCGCCCTGCATCACAACTTCAGCTCCTGCCTGTTGCATGCTGCACCTCCCCCCTTTCACTTCCTCTGTCTTCCCTTCACCGCCCCACCATCCCGCGTGGCAGACTGTGGAGCGGGCATAGGGCGAGTGACCAAGGAGTTCCTACTGCACGTATTCAACGAGGTGGGTGGGGTGGGTGTTCACACCACACTGCATTCCAGTGTGCCCGCGTGACACTGTGACTGCACCTTATGGACCGTTGCATGTTCATGTTCAGTTGATCTGATTTCCCCTCTGTGCCTGCACGCGCAGGTGGATCTAGTGGAGCCGGTGCGGCACTTCATAGATGCCGCCCGACACCACCTCACCTCGCCACCCTCCTCTGCTGCCTCACCTGCCGCCTCCCACCGTGCCGTCAACTTCTTCTGCTGCCCGCTCCAGGTGCTGCCCGCTCCAGGTGCTGCCCGCTCCAGGTGCTGCACGCTCCAGGTGCTGCCCGCTCCAGGTGCTGCCCGCTCCAGGTGCTGCCCGCTCCAGGTGCTGCCTTCCCAGGTGCTGCCTTCCCAGGTGCTGCCTTTCCAAAGTAAACCCGCCTTTCTGCGTGTTACTTAACATGAATTGTCGCTTCCGTCCCCCTCCCAGCTTCAGCATCAGCATCAGCATCAGCGCATCAGCATCAGCGCATCAGCATCAGCGCATCAGCATCAGCGCATCAGCATCAGCATCAGTATCAGCATCAGCATCAGCATCAGCGCATCAGCATCAGCATCAGCGCATCAGCATCAGCGCATCAGCATCAGCGCATCAGCATCAGCATCAGCATCAGCATCAGCGCATCAGCATCAGCATCAGCGCATCAGCATCAGCGCATCAGCATCAGCATCAGCGCATCAGCATCAGCATCAGCGCATCAGCATCAGCGCATCAGCATCAGCGCATCAGCATCAGCGCATCAGCATCAGCGCATCAGCATCAGCGCATCAGCATCAGCATCAGCATCAGTATCAGCATCAGCATCAGCATCAGCATCAGCATCAGCATCAGCGTATCAGCATCAGCATCAGCATCAGCGCATCAGCATCAGCATCAGCATCAGCATCAGCATCAGCGCATCAGCATCAGCATCAGCATCAGCGCATCAGCGCATCAGCATCAGCATCAGCGCATCAGCATCAGCATCAGCATCAGCATCAGCATCAGCATCAGCATCAGCATCAGCGCATCAGCGCATCAGCATCAGCATCAGCATCAGCATCAGCATCAGTGATCAGCTCGCCCTTTGCCTAATTTTTTCGCCCTCCTCTTCTCTCAACCCTTCTGACCGTTCTCTCCCCTTCTGCACCCCTCACACGCGTCCTTGCACCGTTGCTGCACGTCCCTCCCTGCTGTGCCTGGTGGGCAGGAGTTCAGTCCAGATGCAGAGCGGTACGATGTGGTGTGGGTGCAGTGGTGCATCGGCCACCTCACTGACGCTGACCTCATCGCCTTCCTCCGCCGCTGCCTCGTGCGTGCTCGATAAACAGTCGAGCCTTACTTGCTTTGAATCTGTTACCCAGAAAAGTGGTGCTGTTTTTGCTGCTGTTTCCATTCCACCACTCCTCCACTCCCCACGTCACCTGCAACTCTTCCCTTCTCCGCCCCTCTCTCTGTGCGTACTCTGCCCTTGCCCCGCTTGCAGGCAGGGCTGCGGCGGGGCGGCATGATAGTGCTCAAGGAGAACACGTGCCAGAAAGGTAACTCTGAGTGGAATGTAAAATCGTAGTGGTGGGGGAGAGCACGTGTCACAATGGGCACCCCAGTTTCCTCGTCCTTCCACCCCACGCCAAGTCATGTCACCCCATTCGTGCAATACCTGACTCGGGGTTTGTAGCTGTTGTGGGGTGTGTTTTCATCCGTCATAATTAAGCCTGACATCATTGTTCTCGTGCGGGTGGGCGTTGCTTGTGTGGGTGGGTGGGTGTGTTGGGGGATGGGTGGGTGCGTTTGGACTGTATGTCCTCATGGATGCATGGTTGTATGGACGTATGCACGTCTGCATGGGCACATGCGTGCATGCATGTGTGTGTGTGTGTGTGTGTGCAGGGTTCGTGTTGGACAAGGCGGACAGCAGTGTGACGCGCAGCGATGCATACTTCAGAGACCTCTTCAAACAGGCCAACCTGCAGCTCCTCAAATCCAAGGTACTCACACTCAGGGTGCTTAAAACGAAGTCACTAAAATCCAAAGTACTCGCATTCAGTGTGCTTAAAACGAAGGCACCAAAATCTAAGGTACTCACATTCAGTGTGCTTAAAACGAAGGCACTAAAATCCAAGGTACTGAAGGTACCGATTTGAAGGTTGGAACCATCCAAAGGTATCCAAGTGTTATTTCATGGGCTCCCAGCACGAGCTCTTGCTGGTTTGACCCTTGCAGCCACTAGTAAGTACAGCTTCCTCCCTCTTCTGCTCGTTGCTTCCCTCTGCTTCTCCCAGGTGCAGCGTGGGTTCCCTTCGGAGCTGTTTGTGGTGAAGATGTATGCACTCACAGCACAGCCCACGGCAGCTGCAGGAGTGGCGGGGCGCACACGGCAGCGCTGCAAGAGGCCCAACCAGCCCGCAGTCATCTACTGACGTGACATGACATGACACTGCAGCTGCTGCCTGATTGCCGGCCCGCCTGGCTGGCTGGCGATGCTCTTGCGGCCGTTCTATCTTGTAGTGAGCGCACGTGCAGTATGGCCTGTTATGCATCCTGTTCAGTGAGAGCGTGTGTGAATTGCACCGGGTTATGCTGCTTGCTGCACCTGTATGTCAGATAGAGAACTATGCTTTGTGATGCACAATTCTGATTTGAAATGTGTACGTATGCATCTTGTTCATAGCATCACTGGTGAGGCACAACCTTCACTTCAACATGAGAAAGCACAAATTGCACAAGTATCCAGGGTGCCCTGGGCGCATCATCAAGTGTTAGCATCACATCACATCACACTGCACCATTAGTGCGCCATCAGTGCCCCAGCGCGGTGTCATCTCTGCATCCACGCGGGCTTCTTGAACTCAATGCTCATCTTGCTGAACGTGCTCTTGAGCACGTGGTGTGCATGTGCTATGTTCTGTGCATGCACACTCTCCTTCACTGCCGGTTCGTTCAGAGGCAGCCAGAAGCTCCCGTCCTGCTCCCGCTCCTCCGCACTACCCCCACTGCCATTCCGCTCCTCCCTCTCTTGCTCTCGCAACTCTCCTGCTGGTACAGTCCCTGCTACGGCGTCTGAATTACCTGGAGCCGCACCCCCTACAGTCACACTGTAGCCCTCATCAGCCCTGCCGCCGCTCTCAGCATCAGACAGAAGCGCCCCGGCCTCCTGTCCCCCCAGGCTCTCAGCCCCAGCACCACGTGATGACAACCCTGCCTCTGCTCCCACCTCCCCGTTCTCTGCCTGTCCCTCTGCTGCTGCACGCACACCACCCTCACTGTCCCCTGCTTCTCCTTCTCCTGCTCCAGCTTCTGCATCTGCCGGCACATCAGCATCATCATCATCATCTGCTGCCGGAATCACAGGATCCCTTCGTCTGGGGCTAGCAATGACAGACGCAGGGATGCCCCAGAAGGCCTGCGCGCGGGCGTCATCGGCGCGCATGGCCTGGCTGTACGCCTCCAGCTCAAACGCCCACGTGGAGCGGCCTCCAAAGCCCTGGTCTAGCTGCTCCAAGTCAAAGATCTCTTCCAGCTTGGCGATGGTGTCGGGCTTGCTGGGGTACACAAATAGGATCTTCCTGAACGTGTTGGGATCCACAAAGGGCCGCACCATCTGGGCGCGAAGAGAGGGCCGTGCAATGCAAGAGGGATGTCCAGGGGTGTGACCATGGGAGCATGTAATGTGAGCATGTGGCATGGGAACAATTGAGCAAGTAAGCACGGAACAATTCCTTTCCCTGAACCCCAAGCAGCGCAAACCAGCACACCCGGCATTGAGCATTCATGTGCAGCGCTCCAAATAAACTCTCAAACCGCCCCCCCCCCCAAAAAATGAAAATCCCAACTCGCATGCCCCGCAGCCCACTCACCCCCCTTGACCCACCTTCCAGAAGGTTTCAAAGACGGGCGGGGGGTCATAGACCACAGCCTGCCCCAGCCGTTCGGGGTAGTGGTTCTGCAGGATGGAGAGCACCTCCCGTGACGTCTTGAGGGGCGGCGCCTTGCGCAGCGTCCAGCCGCGGAAGTCGATGAACCACACCATGCGGCTGTGCGCCGTGCCCAACGGCAGGTGGTTGATGGCGTTCTCCAACGCGTACACCAGGTGCCGCACCTGCCCCGCATGCCCCACCGTGTTCTGCGGTCAAAGGGCGAGTGTGAATTGGGGGAGCGGCGTTGGATGGATCAACCAGCACCTTTCCTGTGAGTCGAATCCGTTGAGATAGGCTGCCAACTCGGAATAAGCAGTCCGACTGAACGTCGCTTCAGGGAGCGTGAATGAGCGGGACAAAGTGTGTGATCAGGCTGATCTGAAACTGGAAAGGCTGTCGTCCCGGATGAGATGTGCGGGCAGATAGGCTCACCTGGCGGCCGGCGGACATGACAATGACGGCGCGGCCCTGCTTGTCCAGGAATTCCGTGCGATACACCTTGCCTGTCGCCGCCTCTTCCGCCACGTCCTCCTGAACCAACCAACCACACATCCCCATAAAAAAACGCTCGTGACCAGGCTGAATTGAACATTTATAGTTAGGAAAAGTGGACGGATTTGCGCGAGGGGCTGTCCTAAATTCAGGAAGCGTCTAAGGGGTAACTGCGGCCGTACCCACGTGATCTCTTCTGGTCGGTACACGTGTCGCCAGCGAAGCGTGTCGCGGAGCATCTTCTCCGCCTTGGGCACATTCCAGCCGCGCGCGCGCAGGTAGCGCCGCAGGCACGCGTCCGTGCAGAACAGCTTCGCGCGCCCCGCCAGCGGACCGATGGCTTCCCGCAACGCCTTCACCTGACCAGATTCCGAAGAAACATAGTCGGGAATATGGTATCGGATGAGACTGTCGAGAGCAATCGTGTCGCTGATCTCTCAAGATCGATCTAGGCCTGTCGAGATTGCAAGGCGGGGCGCGGAGCGGTAGAGACTCGGTCCTGGCGGCAATGAAACCGTTACCTTTGCTTCCTGCTCCTCGGGAGTGTCGACCGGCTTTTCCGGCGTAAGCAGGTTCGGGCTGCTCACGGCGGCTCGGAACGACGCGAACTTCTCCTGGCTGAACGCCTCTAGCTTGTCCGCGAACGTCGCTGGCGCTGGCTTTTCTGACTTCTCTGGTACGACTGTTTTTTGGTCGGATTGATCGGCTTGTGACGTCATCATGACTCTGTCAAGTACTGAATCAGGCAGAAGGCACCTATTGATCACCAGAAGCTATCGTGCAATTCGTAGCGTGGCTTAGGAGAAGCTATTCGGAAAGATACCGGACTATCTCGTTCAGCTATGGAATCTGCATGATCCGATAGGAGCAGAACCATTGGTGGAATCAGTAGTGCCAGCCTAGATTCCTCAGGGTCGCATTGTGTCGTCGCTTCAGTCGCCCAAGCTCTGTTACACCTCTCGGGCTCGTTGACGAAGCCGTACACCGTCGCTTGGCAACGTGCTTGACTTGTGCGACGTCAGGTTACAACCCTTCAAATTGACGACGGTTCTCCAACAGCCCAATTTCGTGAGCCTGAGGAATCTAGGTTCTCCCAATTTCGCGGTATTCGCCAAACAGCCCAACCCCGAGGTCCATCCCATCCCATCATCAAACCCTTGCTCCTACCAATTTTCCTGACACACAGCTGCTTTCAGATCCAACTTCCCGCTCAGCCTTGGCCCCTCCAGCACTACCTTCCAAGACCTCACCGCCAATATTCACCCAAGGTGGTCCCTCCTAGGTGTTCCCAAGAAGCCGTTCATTTGCCGCCGATTCCAACGGTCGAGGCTTTGAAACCGTGTCGATTTCGTGTGGGAATGGTTCGTCGGCGATGCTTCTCGTCTCTTTTTCCGTGGTTAGCCACGCATCTTTAAAACAGCAGTTCATCCTCCCCCTAGCATTTCAACTCTCTGCATTGTGCTCTTCCATCTCCGCGACTTAAACCTTTGTCCGCGTTACTCACCTTCTCGTCCGAACCTGTCGTTGAAGCCGCGGCTGTCGTTGCAAGTCGCGGCTGTTGGAGATCCGCGAGCTGCTTAAGCATCTCGACTCCAGCTCAAGGTAGATGAAGCTTCAAATCTTCAATTTCGTGTATATTACCGACCTCAATGGTTTCGTGGCTTCACAGCATAACCTGTACTGATTTAATTTACGTTTGCATTGTGCAGTGAGGCATGATGAAGACGGTCGTCGACTTCGCAAGGCGTTCAGCCTTCGCTTTGCAGCATTCATCACGACGATTGACAGCGCGACCGTCCAGCCTTCTTCGCTCTCAAGTGCATGGGATTTCGCCATCCTGAGTTCTTCACCAGCCTCTTGTTCAACTTTCCAGCTAAGTGCTCCTTCCACTACTATCAGAGAGTTCTTTCCCGTTTTTTAATTCGTTCGTGCCGTTTATTTGTTTTCCAGCCAAAGCGCCACGCGTAGAGCTCCCTGTCTCCTCCCCTAGGTCTGGCTTAGTCTCTCTAGGTCGGTCCAGCGTCAGTGTCGTTAAGTCAAGCATAGCTGCGTCGGTCTGTCTGAGCTCTGCGGTGTGGTTGCTTTGGCTGGAAAACATTCCCCCGTCCCCCACGCTACTTCGTCGCATTTGTCGTTTAATGGCGTCCTCTCATTACTTAGACTGACTTCTTTTCTTGTTGCTGGCAGGTACTCCTCTGATGCTTCTAATCGACTGGGAGAAGTCCAAGCAACGCTGGATGAGCTCGAAGGCAACGCTGGGAGGCAAGACAATAAGACATCTTCCAAGCAGAGACTTTCAAGACATCTTGCTAGCCAAGGCTTCAAACGAGACTTGCAACCCCACGTACAGATAAGTATCGTTTTCCTCCTTGTTCCTTCATTTCCGTTCATCACTGTTATGCTTTTTCATGCGCACCATGCTTTAGCGCTTACCACTACTGCTGCATGAACCATCCCCCTTAAAAGGTACAGGTTTTTTTTTTAAGGTACCCTTTTCTGGTGAGTCCCTAGGTTCTCTTCTGGTATTTTTTTTGCTACTTGGTTCTTGTTGGCGATGGTGGTGAGCGCTTTTGCTGCATGCATCTGCATCCATACATACCATTCATCATGCATATGCTTGCCTTTTTCGTCTGGACCTTCCAGTGCCACTTATACAGACCCCCCCTCCTCCCTCCTTGGATTGGCAGGAGCCCGTCAGCTTCATCAACAGCATCGGAGCTGCAAGGCGCTTTAACACTTCCAGTCAACGTTGAAGGCTTTTTCAACTCAAGACTTCTTCAACTCGTGTCTAAGCTCTGAGGCCAACTCTGCTCAACCCCTGAAGACTTTATGAAAAGCTAAGTACCGCTCTTCTCTTGTTTTCTGTCATGTTTCTGCCATTTCAAGCCATGAATCACAATTTCGCCTTACATTGCATGGCGTTTATGCTTGAGCGCTCACTATTACCACCATCAGAGCTATTCCCCCTTTCTGGTAAGGTCTTTCAGGTCTCTTCAGGTTTTTTTTTTGGTATTATGGCTCTTGTGGTGTTATTGGTGAGCGCTCTTGCATTTATGCCGGTGCATTTTTCACCCATCATGCTCACGCACATGATTTGCTCCTCCGGACATTCTAGTGGCACTTTATTTATTCACCCCCTCTTCTCCTCCCTTGATTCGCTTTGCAGATTCCTCATCATTCAAGGCTTTCAATGGACGCTGACCTCTCAGGATGGTCAACACTTACAGATCCCAAGATTTCGTATTCCAGGATTTTAAGATTTCATATCCCAAGATCTCAGGCCCCCAAGGTATGACCTCAGTCTTTTGGCAATTCAAGTTTGTGGGACATAAACTAACTTTTTGCTTTCTTCCCGCAGGTCCGCCAACATGTCAACGTACACTCAAGGTGCTCAACAGTCACTTACTTTCAGCAGTCAAGCATCTGAAGTTTTTCAACGTAAGCTCTCTATTATATCATCATTTGAATAAATACTTGCTGTATTCTTGCACATTCTGGCTGAAAACTGACCTTCGTTTTGTCCTCTAGCAGGTAACCTGGAGGCGAATGCAAGATGCATCTTCCATGAAGTGATGGCCTAAGGCATGAGATGGATCCAAGGTCCTTAAGGTAAGCCTTTAATCTCTTGGCAGCTTAAGTTTTTGACGCAGTGACTAACATTTCTGTTTCCATCCTGCAGGTTCTTCAACATGGGAGAGTTTCAACAGACATCGCCACTCAACATGCTCAACGATCTGTGACATTCAGTACTCAAGGATCTGTAGTCTCTCAAGGTATTAATTTTATCCATTTAGCACTTGAATTTTATGTGTTTTTCGTTCTTGCATGCTCTGGCTGAGGACTGACTCTCTTTTTGTCCTCCTGCAGGTAAGGCATAAGGAGGCAATTCATGGTGCTGAGGGCCCTTGGGGTTGTCTAAACACTTGGATCCGGGCCATACAGCAGACTGATCTGTCGGTACAGAGCTGACTGCAGCAGCTCTGTATCGGCAGATTCAGTCTGTGAAAATGGGCTCCCGCATGCCTTGGATTTACCGCAGTGCCTCTAAGTGTTGGCCAGTCCTCCCTGTGGTGGGGGAGGATGGTTATGCCTCCAGCAGCCAGTCATGATGCCTCCAGCAGCCATTTCTTTCAGGGCAAGACAGTATCCATGTGAGTCGTTTTGGTTGCTCTAGGGTTTCTGCTTCCACCTTATGCCTGAATACTAACGCTTTCTTTGGTGCCCTGCAGGTACCTTACATTATGATGCTTTGCCGTAGCAGCAACTGTAGTGGCCCTACTGAGTAGCAGCAACATGCTCTAGGACATGGTAATATTCTGTAACATCTTATGTATACTGAACACGTTAGTGTGTTCTTCTATTCTTCCTTGAAAGCTGAAAGCATATGTATGTAGAACTACTGCAGCTGAAAGTTTAACCAAAATTCTGGGATGCAATTTCAGGTGGCGAGGAAAACAATTTCGTTGACATCAGTCTTTGCAAAGCAGAGAGACAGCGAGTGATTGTACAGCAAGATACATCTCAAAGCAACCACACCGCACTAACATTTACTGGTATATTGCTCCCCGAAATCTCATGGCTAAGACTCCCGCCAAGTGCGGCCATACGTAGTCGTCGACCACCATCACCCGCTGACCATGTCGGACTCTGTCGATCCTGTCGCATCCGTACCCTCTGTTGTGTCCTCCACCGACTTGCATCTTCGCACGCGGTTAGGGACTCAATACAACTATGCCTGTCCTCCCGTCAACTCACGCGTTGCAGAGGGGACCGACGAAACTCGCGCAGATCCCGGCAGCAGCGGCGGCGGCGGCGGCGGCGACGGCGCAGCATGGACGCCGTTCCGGCGGGACCTGCTGGTGCTGGGCGCGGCGTTTCTCGCGCTCTTCGCGGCGTACAGCGCCATTCAGAACCTCGAGACGTCGCTGCACCCGCGCGCCGGCATGGGCGCCGTGTCCCTCGCCGTGATCTACGGCGGCATCGTCGTGTTCGCGCCGCTCGCGCCCGCCGTGATCCGTTACTTGCGGCCGCGAGGCGCCATGCTGGTGGGCATGTCGGGGTACTGCGCGTACATCGCCGCCAACGCCGTCGACTCCAGGTACCGCCATCGCCCGGGCCGCGCTCGCGAGGCAGGCAACACGCACGAGTAATTCTCAACAGCTTCTGTAGCGAACGATTGCTTTATTCCGCGAGCCTCGCCTCCTGCCGAACCAAGCGCAACGCGCGCTTCTGTGCGTCCTCAATGTGACGTAATTTGCTTCCTTGCTCCGACCCTCCGGTCTTCCCCCCTCCCTTGCCCCCTCGTCCCCGTCAGCGCGCAGCTGGCTGCTGCTGTTGTCCGCGGGGTACCTGGGCGCGAGCGCGTCCGTGCTGTGGGTGGCGCAGGGGCTCTACAGCGTCATGCTCGCGCGCGGACACGCCGCCGCCGCGGGCGTGGCGGAGCAGGCGGCGATCGCGGAGTTCAGCGGAACCTTCTGGGGAATCTTCGCAGCCAATCAGGTGGTGGGCAACGCCGTCACCTTCCTCGTCTGCCAGCTCATGGCGCTCCTCTTCCCCCCCGCGCCCTCTGCGTCCTCTGCGCTTGCTACTCCTGCTGCGCCTTCCCCTGAGAGTCTACCTCCCGCTACAGTCACGGTGCTGATAGTCACGTTCTTGCTGTTCCTGGCGCTGGCCGCGGCGCTGACGTGGCGGCTGACGGACCTCTCGGAGGACCACCCCCTCTGCTGCCCCGCGCCTGCGCCTCTCGTGGGTGGTGCGCTGGTGGCGGAAGTGAGAGGCGGCACTACGGGGGAAGACGAGGAGGAGGGGGGTGAGAGGGGGGATGAGGGGGAAGGGAAGGCTTTGCTGGGAAGCCAAGTGGTGGCAGGGCGATCAGAGGAGTGGGGAGCGGTGGAGGAGTCAGGACCAGCAGGCGGGGCAGGGGACGGTGCGGGCAGCGGGGCAAAGGGGGGTGGCAGCGCGTGGGAGCTGGTGGGAGAGCGGCGACTGCAGCTACTGCTGCCACTGCTGCTGTACATCGGCCTGCAGTCCGCCTTCGTTGCGTGCGTGCCTACCCCATGCCCATGCTCATTCCCATCTCATTCCGCCCTGCCACTCTCCGCCATTCCCTGCCTGCTGCGCCCTGTCACGCTCTGCCAGTAGTATCCTGACCATCCTTTTCGCCTCTGCCCAATCCAGGCTCGTGCGTTGCTTCGCATGAACCGTCCTCCTCCCCCCCCATAGCTGCCTGTCTCATAGTGGATCCTCCTTTCCCCGTCCTTTTCCACCGGCTCCCCATCCCCCCATCGCCCAACCCACCAGGGCGGACTTCACGCTGTACGTGGTGCGCCCAGCGCTGGGAGTGGCGTGGATCGGGGGGGTCATGTCCGTGTTTGGCGTCGCCAACAGCCTCGTGAGCTGCCTGCCTGCTCGCCTGCTTGCATGCCATACCACACGGCCATTTCATCACTGCACCCCTCCGTATGCCCACTGCATGCACATGCCATCATGCTTGCACGCTGCGGAGAGCATCGTACAACACACTCCCTCGCTTCATCCTCCCGCTCTCACCGACCCGCGCCCGTCCCCTCTCAGGCGTGCATGGCAGCGGCACGCCTCTCCTCGGGACTGCACTCCATCCTCGCCACGCTGCTAGTCGGTGCCGCCTGCCAGATCGCTGTGCTGCTCTCCCTCATGCTCTTCACGCCCTTGTCAGTGCCGCCCCATGCCGCGCCATGTATCAAGTATCACAACCGTACCGTATCTTTACTGCCATACCTTGCCGTACTTTCTCGCGCATTGGAATTTTCCAGAGTGTTTCAGGTGCTACAATGGAACGTGGTTAAATTCCCTACCCAACTGCCCTTCCCCAATGTGACCGTTCGCCCCCACTGCTCTCACGTGTCCTTGTCCGTTGTTCCCACCTCCCGTCCTTTCTTCACCTCCCTCCTCTCGCCCTCCTGTCTATCCCAGCACCGTCACTTCGTGGGTGGCATTCACGGTGGTGTTGGTGCAAGCAGTGCTGTGGGGGGTGGGGGATGCCGCCTTCCAGTCACAGATCAACGCACTGCTGCCTCTCGTCTTCCCTCGAGACATGGTGGGTGGGTGGTTCCCCACACCCAGTGCCTTCGTAAACCTTCATACCAATCCCACCCACGCTTCCTTTCATCTGTCACTTTGTTGCCACCCATCTCCTTTCATTGTCCACCACGCATCACCACCCACCCCTTCTCCCATCCCCTGCCCGGCCCGTTTCCTGACACATTGACTCGCTCCCATCCATTCCCTGTTAGTCATAACCCATCCCGCACCATGCCGTACCGCTCCTCACATCCCGCGCCCTTCCCACTCCCACGACTCGTTACAGGACGCCTCGTTTGCGCACATGAAGATGTGGACCAGTGCTGCCTCCTCCCTCATGTTCCTCCTCAGCCCGCACCTCTCCATGCCCGCCAAAGCAGTTTTTCTCACCGCCTCCTGTGCCGTCTCCCTGCCTCTCATGCTCGCTGTCGTGCACGTGCCATAGACCGCACCTCCGTGCTGCCTCGCTGTTTCTCTGTGTTGTATTTGCACATCAAGTGTTTCCAGTGCTGCCACCATGGTAGGGTAGGGTGGTGGTCGTTGACATTGAGTGAGCAGATACCAGTCTGGTCGAGCATCCACCATTGGAGCTGTTTTATAAATACTGTAACATACAGTGGGCTAGTCACAATGTCATGTCAAGTCAGGGGGGATGGGAGCAGCAGTCCTCATCACAAAAGCCAGTGATGCAGACGATTGTCCCTCTCCTGTCCTAATAAATAACAATTGTCCCTCTCCTGTCCTAATAAATAACATCAGCAGCAGCTTAGCTGCTGTAGATTATACCGTACATAATATACACTGAGCTTATCTTGATGAAATGTACACATGCGGATTTGCGCCTCATTCACTTGCCGCGCCGCGTTTCGCCTGCTCTTACTGCTTCACGCGGACGTCGGCACCACACCTCCTGACGCTCCCGCATCAGCGCCCCCCGCAGTGCGGAGCTGCTGGAGCACGGGCGCGGCGAGGGCGCGGCGCACGACGCGGCCGCCGAAGGCGTGGACGAGGATCCAGGGGTGGGAGAGCAGCTTGGCGGCGGAGGGGCGTCGGCGCGGGTCGCGGTGCAGCATGCAGCGCAGCAGCCCCTTGGCCTCCGCCGACACCCCCGCCCACGCGCCGCTCGTCAGGTCCAGCGGCGCCTCCAGCACGGCGCGGAACACGCCGTTGTCGTCCGCGCCCCAAAACGGCGCGCTGCCGCTCAGCAGCACGTAGAGCACCACGCCCAGCGACCACACGTCCGCCTCAAACCCGTTCTCGCCCGTCAGTACCTCCGGCGCCATGTAGAACGGAGAACCTGCTGCGCCGTAGGCTCGCTCGCCCTGCTTGAGTCCGATTGCGAGGCCGAAATCGGCGAGTTTCGCGCAGGTTACGTCTGTACCCGAAATGTTCAGTTTCGACAAGAGAATGTTCTCCGGTTTGAGGTCGCGGTGCATGACGCCTTTGGAGTGGCAGAATGCAACTGCGCTGGCAATTTGGCGGAATAATAGGGCTGCTTCTTTTTCTGGTAACCGCCCACGTCGCACGACTTCGTCGAAGAGCTCGCCACCGTCGCACAGGTCCATGACGAGGTGTACCTGTTGCTCGTCTTCGAACACCGCGCGAAGCTGCACCACGCCCGGATGACCCGCCACGCTCCGCATTGCCGCCACCTCGCGCCGCACCTCGTCTCGCATGCGCTCGTCCACTAACTGCTCCTTGCGAATCGTCTTCACCGCGAAAGTTTCGCCTGTCGCACGGTCCGTGCATTGTCGCACGACGCCGAATTCACCCGACCCGAGCAAATGCGCATCTGAGGCGAAGTAGTTCTCGAATCGCGCCGTCGACACGCCGAATATTGACGGGCAAGAACCAGCATCGGTTGCAACCGACGACAATTCCGCTGCATTCTGGAGCTCTAACCGCCGTTGATGCTTCGCGCTCTGGGAGTCGGCCGACGGCGTTTCCGCCGCGTCCGCCTTGCGTTTCTTGGGCGCCTCTAGAGTGCGCGTTCGCCTGTGCTCTAATGTTGCCGTCGACGCCTGTGGGAGTGGTGAGACGCTCGAGCCTGACTGCGCCATTGAGCCTGACCTCACGGCCGAAACTTATCGACGAAATGTGAGTCGTGTGCCTGTGTTCTGTGTGTCGCAGCAGGCCTATGAAAAAACGCGGAGATTGCTTCTACTTATATTAAAATGGGCACGTAGCAGACTTTGGAGCTTAAAAAGGCGGTGGCGGTAGGCAGCGGCGGGAAGGTTGGAGGTGGTGGACTGAAAGCGGCGACCACGCAACACGCATCTGTGTCGCACAGGGGAACCGCAAGGGCCGCAACTCGACTCGCGTGTCGCACGGGGCAGCGACACCTGAGCCGAAGGCACTGAAGCACGTTGCCAATGAACACCTGTTTACGTTAGCCCCCCTGGCGTGTGGGTGTAACTCCCCTGGCTTGTTTATGTTCCGATTCTCATCCCCGTTGCTTTCCATTTCACGCGCGGGTTGTTTTGCTGGTGAGTAATGACGAGTGAACAGCTGCAGGTGTGGGGAGTGAGGAAACCATGGTTGGAAACTGGTGAGTGGTGCTTCGCACTTGAATTCCCGAATTTGCCCGAAATGCACCCGTACGTACCGATATAAACAAACTCGTGCTCTGTGAAGCGAACCGCTCTGCGGCAGAGCAGAGAGCCAGATTGCTAGGCGTGGGCATCCACGTGATGTGAACACGCAATTAGAGCCACAAACGACTTCGGCACAGTCGTGCGACATGATGCGGTTCCTAGAAATCAGTGAATCCCTGCTTCGACGTCACGCTTGCTGAATGCCCGGAGTGACGTAGGTATCACCGACATAAGTGGGGTGAAAGCTTCAAATTCCATTATCCAGTCAATTTCAAGGCTCTTTCTATATCAATACAAGCACCGCACGAAGGAAATTGAATAATTTGTATCATACGTTCTAGACATTTTCAGGGCACCGCACGAAGGAAATGCTTCATTCATGATATTTCACGTGGAAAGCAACCAGAATGCTTGAGGCACGTGAATTGACTTCAGTCGCAGATGCGCTACGGTTTCCCCCAGCTGCCAAAGACTCAAGCGTGCAGACAAACAACCCCAACAATCGCGGAAGGCATCGGTCTCGCACGGTGACAGAAACCCCCTATAACAAATTCGCTGAAGTTCAAAACGTTGTTTCCAAAACTCGGAACTAATTTACTGCCATCAAAATGTGTAATTTAAAGGAGAATATTACACTCATAAAATTTATCATGAAGTGTATCGTGCAGAATTACATATCATAAGTAATTCCCATGAATCTTCACATCGAACACCCCCGGATGGCATATGCGGACATGAGAGCTGTATTAAGACAGCATATGAGCTTTCTCTTGAAATCATGGCATTTCATTTCCGGAAACCAGATTCCAAGGTTGCTGTAAGTCTATGTTATAGTCTGTATTGCCAGGAATCTGGTTTGTAATGTGATATGCATTCTTTTCATTCTCAGGCTGGGGGGGAGCAGGAGCCGCAGGCTGGGGGGGAGCAGGACCCGCAGACTGGGGGGGAGCAGGACCTGCAGGCTGAGAGGGAGCAGACGTTGGAGTTGGAGATGGAGATGGGGAGGCAATGGGAGCTGCCTACTGGAAGGCAGCAAAAGCTGCAGGCTGGGGGGCAGCAGGAGCTGCAGGCTGGGAGGCAGCAGGAGCTGCAGGCTGGGAGGCAGCAGGAGCTGGAGGCTGGGGTTGAATGGGACCCGCAGGTTGGGAAGGAGCAGGAGCCGCAGACAAAGGGGCAGCAGGCTTTGGAGGCGGAGATGGAGATGGGGGGGCAGCAGCAGCTGCCGGCTGGAAGGCAGCAAGAGCTGCAGGCTGGAGGGCAGCAAGAGCTGCAGGCTGGAGGGCAGCAGGAGGGGCCGGCTGGAGGGCAGCAAGAGGGGCCGGCTGAGGGGAAGGAAGACCCGCAGGCTGGGGGGGAGCAGGAGTCGGAAGTGGACATGGAGATAGAGATAGGAATGGTAACGGAGCAGCAGGTCGAGAGACAGCTTGGGCTGCAAGCTGAGTGGCCGCAGGTGTTGGAGGTGGAGATGGAGGAGCCACAGGAGGAGGGGGGGGAGAGCGGCAGGGAAGCGTACAGGAGGGGTGTCAAACGGAGAATCAGTCTCAGCCGCAAGAAGGGGAGCAGCAAGGGTGTCGAGAAAGGAACCGGCCCCAAGAGCGTAGAAGCATGCAACTTGAAGAGCCGATCAGTGGGTTGCAAGAGCAACAGGCGCGGGTTCAGCAGGGGGTCGCTAGCCCGGGCGGCGCAGGCCAAGCGAAAAGGTCGCGAGCTCGGGGCCGAAGAGGGAGACGACACGCAGCCAAGTTGCAAGGAGCATCCCAGGGCGAGCAGCAGCCAGGGGGTCAGCAGGGGTCGACAAGGGCGCCTCAGGGGGTGCTGCAGGCCGGGGAGGTGCCGGAGGCGACAGAGGCAACCCAGGGAGGGTGGCAGACCGGTGGTCGGGCGGAGAGGACTAGGGCACCCCGGGGAGTGCAGCAGCCAGGGGGGCAGCCGGGGGTGACAGGGGGACCCCATAGAGCGCCCGGAGCACCCCAGGGAGCGCAGCAGGCAGGGGGGCAGCCGGAGGTGCCCGGAGCACCCCAGGGAGCGCAGCAGGCAGGGGGGCAGCCGGAGGTGCCCGGAGCACCCCAGGGAGCGCAGCAGGCAGGAGGGGAGCCGAGGGTGCCCGGGGCACCCCAGGGAGCGCAGCAGGCAGGAGGGGAGCCGAGGGTGCCCGGGGCACCCCAGGGAGTGCAGCAGGCAGGAGGGGAGCCGAGGGTGCCCGGGGCACCCCAGGGAGTGCAGCAGGCAGGAGGGGAGCCGAGGGTGCCCGGGGCACCCCAGGGAGTGCAGCAGGCAGGAGGGGAGCCGAGGGTGCCCGGGGCACCCCAGGGAGTGCAGCAGGCAGGAGGGGAGCCGAGGGTGCCCGGGGCACCCCAGGGAGTGCAGCAGGCAGGAGGGGAGCCGAGGGTGCCCGGGGCACCCCAGGGAGTGCAGCAGGCAGGAGGGGAGCCGAGGGTGCCCGGGGCACCCCAGGGAGTGCAGCAGGCAGGAGGGGAGCCGAGGGTGCCCGGGGCACCCCAGGGAGTGCAGCAGGCAGGAGGGGAGCCGAGGGTGCCCGGGGCACCCCAGGGAGTGCAGCAGGCAGGAGGGGAGCCGAGGGCGCCCGGGGCACCCCAGGGAGTGCAGCAGGCAGGAGGGGAGCCGAGGGTGCCCGGGGCACCCCAGGGAGTGCAGCAGGCAGGAGGGGAGCCGAGGGTGCCCGGGGCACCCCAGGGAGTGCAGCAGGCAGGAGGGGAGCCGAGGGTGCCCGGGGCACCCCAGGGAGTGCAGCAGGCAGGAGGGGAGCCGAGGGTGCCCGGGGCACCCCAGGGAGTGCAGCAGGCAGGAGGGGAGCCGAGGGCGCCCGGGGCACCCCAGGGAGTGCAGCAGGCAGGAGGGGAGCCGAGGGTGCCCGGGGCACCCCAGGGAGTGCAGCAGGCAGGAGGGGAGCCGAGGGTGCCCGGGGCACCCCAGGGAGTGCAGCAGGCAGGAGGGGAGCCGAGGGTGCCCGGGGCACCCCAGGGAGTGCAGCAGGCAGGAGGGGAGCCGAGGGTGCCCGGGGCACCCCAGGGAGCGCAGCAGGCAGGAGGGGAGCCGAGGGTGCCCGGGGCACCCCAGGGAGTGCAGCAGGCAGGGGGGCAGCCGGGGGTGCCCGGGGCACCCCAGGGAGTGCAGCAGACAGGATGGCAGCCGGGGGTGCCCGGGGCACCCCAGGGTACGCAGCAGGCAGGGGGGGGATCGATGGACGACCGGGAACAGCAGTTGGAGGAGTGGTGCCGACTTTTGGAGTTTGATACCCCCATGGCGACTGCGGAGGAGTCAGAGGCGGACGGAGAACCACCCAGTCCGCCTTCCCCATGCCCCCGTTTCCCGTGTGACACGTGTTTCCACACGTTCGCCACGAGAGGGGCCGCTGCGAACCACATGAGGGTATGCCGGGCGGCTGAGGCGGAGAGACGCGCGCAGGCACTTGGCTCGATCCCGTCTCTGGTGGAGACCGACACACAGGAGCGACCGACGCCGCGGGAATTTGGGGACGAGGCGTGGGCAGGGGTTAAGTCATGGGAGTGGGAGGCATTTTTCTGTGTGGAGGCGGTTGGAGGGAGGACAGTGCGCCGGATCCCGCAGCGGGCCCGGTCCGGGGTCTTAGACGCACTCTGTTGCATCTTGAAGCGGCTGAAGAGCCGACCGGGAGATGAAGCTGCTACCCTCCTACTCCTGGCGTTTCCGCGCCTCATCCTAGCCGTGCCTCCCAAGCCAGGCATAGGTCAGAAGGCGCTGATCATAGAGCGGCTGGGGGCCTTCTGGGAGGGGAGGTGGCGGGAGTTGTTCGACGCTGCCATGGCGGCGGCACGGCCAGCAGTTCGCCCACTTGCCTACACGTGCTCTGACCAGGACCCGGAGGCCATCCGCCTGTCACGGTGCCGATCTCGGTGTAAAGTGGGAGAGTGGAGCCGTGGTTTGGCTTGCCTCACAGCAGGAGAGTTGGCTCGACCGTCTGAGGCTATGGTGCAGTCGCTGCGAGGGAAGCACCCAGCTAGCAGTGGCGAGGTACCACCGTGGGTTCGTGAGTTTACTGTCGACGCTCCTCAGCGGCCTCCACTCACGACCGACATCCTGGCTAGAGCTATCCACACAGCTGCTCGCGCCTCAGCTGCAGGGCCATCGGGATGGGTCACAGAGCATCTGCGCGACACTTTCCTCACGGAACCTTCCTGCCTCTCCCACCTGCTGGAAGTGTTCAACCAATGGGTGGCGGGACAGGTCCCCGAGCGAGCTCGGCCCTGGCTCGCCGCATCCAACCTAGTCGGGCTTTCCAAACCCAACGGTGACGTCCGGCCGGTGGCGATCGGGGAGGTGCTTCCGCGTATCCTCGCTCGAGCTCTCTGCATCTCGCTTCGCCCTGTGATGGCTTCTTATTTTCTGCCGTGTAACCAGCTGGGAGTGGGCACCAGGGCCGGGGTGGAGATTCTTACTCATTCTTTCCGGTCAGCGCTGGCCACTCACCCCGACTGGTGTGCGCTGCAGATAGATGTCGCGAACGCCTTCAATTCGTTTCTCAGGATTGATCCCATTCTTGCGTGTCTTCTATGGGACACCTAGCGACCTGTACCTCCGAGCGGGCCCTTTCGTACAGAGTCTTGAGTCGGCACGAGGATCGCGACAGGGGGACCCGCTCGGCCCTTTTCTTTTCGCTTTCACGCAGCAGCAGGTGCTGGGGACGGTGACTAGAGAGTTCAGGGACCTACTTTTCTTGAGCTATGCAGACGATACCTACATCCTGGGACCAGCGGCTAGGATTCTGGAGGCTTTTGGGGTGCTGCGGGAGAGGTTGGAGTGGGTGGGGCTGGAAGTGCAGGCGCACAAGTGCAGGTTTTGGGAGCGTGGAGGTAGGGATTTGGAGCGGGCATTGCCTTTGGGGATGCAGCGGGAGGAGGAGGGTCTCACTGTGGTGGGCGTGCCTATTGGGGAGGAGGATTGGGAGGGGGCCCGATTACGGAAGCGGCTTCGCGAGTTGCAGGCGCCATTGCCGTGGCTCCCCCTGCTCGACCACCCCCAGATGGCCTCGCATCTCCTCGCTATTGCAGTTTCAGCACGGCCGATGTACCTGGCCCGGACTATGCCGCCGCGGCCGGAGGTGGTGGAGGCCTTTAGAGAGTGGGACAGCTGTCTGGAGGATTGCTTTGAGCAGCTTTTCCCCCCTGGCACTTGGGAGCAGGACCCCGGCAGGTCTAGGCGCGCACGCATGCAGCTGCATCTCCCTGTGCGCCTCGGAGGGTTTGGGATCCGGGCGGCGGCCTCTTTGAGTCCGCTCTCCTATGTTTGTGGGTGGGCGCAGGCCGCACGGGATATTGCACATTTGGGGGTGGCGGGCGAGGAGGCGATGTTCGCAGAGTACCTCACCACTTCGGCGGGGGCGGAGCTTCTTGACCCGTGGTTTGCCAAGGCCATTGAGCAGTTGCCCGCGACTATACGCCAGGAGCTGCCGGACTTACCCCTGTGTGTGGCGGCCCCTCCTTTTCGGGTTTTCCAGGCGCGGCAGCGGCAGTTGGCTGTTGAGGAGCTCCAGGCACTCCGCCGCTTGGCTCGTGACGATGCCACCCTGGCCCGTTTCACATCCCTTCAGGGCCCGGGGGCTGGTGCATGGGTTTCGGCAGTTCCGGCTCATTCAGATCTCACATTCACTGCAGCGGAGTGGGGCATTGCTGCTGCTATACGGCTTGGTCTCCCAATCCAGCAGCTGCAAGTGGCGGGGAGGTGTGTTTGAAGCACAGCGTATGATGACCCAGCAGACCCGCATCATGCGCTGAGATGCAAGCACCAACACGGTCCATCTCGGGTGCATGATGAGGTGAAGTTTGCGGTGGCAAAGATCGCTAAGGCGTCAGGGGGGGTGGTGACGATGGAGGATAGTGCGGTGCTGCCGGGGAAGCGGGTTGACGTAGCGGTGCGACGACCAATGGCTGGGGAGGCTCATGCTTTAGAGATTAGTGTCGCGGACCCGCTATCACTGTCTCCATCTCTGCTAGGGCAGTGCGGGCGGTCTATAGGCGTGGCGGCAAAGGAGTGGGAGCGTCGCAAAACGGGGGATTACGCGCCTCTTCTTGCACGGAACCGAGGCGTGCAGTTCACCCCTTTGATAGTGGAGACGTGGGGGTGTCTCGGCGGTCGCTTCCGGCGGTGGCTTCGACAGCAGGGGGACGCGCACGTGGGGCTAGCTGTGTCACGGGGGGCTTGTCGGGAGGATGACACTTCGTTCTCGGCTTACCTTTTGGGGTCTCTGAAGGCGCTCATCGGAGTGGCGTTACAACGGGCGCAAGCTCGTGTCATCCTGCTTCGGGCGGCGTCTTCCATGGGGGGGTTGAATGTGGACTTGGTGGATCGGGAGAGGGACGATGTCGAGGTGGAGGGCGGGCCTCTTTGGGTGGAGGCCCCCTACATGGTGGATGTGCAGATGTGACTTGGGGGGGGAGGGGGGGGGCCGAGGGGGAATGGGGTGCGAGATGGGACGTCTGGTAGGGGATCCGGGTTGGGTTTTTTTCTTTATGGAGTATTTTTATGGGGCTTTTTATGGGTGTTGCGTTTGAGTTGTTTCTGGTGTCTTTCTTTCCCTTTTCCTTCTCCCTCTTTCCATTTGCCGTCATGACGTGGAGGCAGAAAAATCACATCATGCTGTGTTGGATAATTCTGTCGAATCTTGTCCTAGCTTACAGAACAAATGTCCTCTTGAGGTAACTCAGTGTACAATAGTACCACTGCCAATCAGCAGTGCTTCTGGCGGCAAGCCCATTCAGCTAGGCTGTGAATTCGGAATCCCCGAATGACGGCGGATGGTCAAGTCCAGTCTGACTGATCAGGCTCTCCTTATGAATCCATCTCTGCGGTGCCTCTGCTTCCGTTGCGTGCTCTTTCCTCCTTCACTGTGAGGTGAAGGCGTTGATTTTCCGCTTTCAACGTCATCCTAAGTGCCGCCGTTGTATTCATGTTTCGTATGAGATCGGAGGCTGCTGGTGGTCGACAATGCCATTAAAAGCGTTTTGGCAATGAACTTTTTTTTTCTTAGCCCTGGAGACTTTAGAATGGTCATCAATCTCAGAAGAGAGTCAGGTTCAGCCCGCGTCTAGGGCTCAAGGAAAGTCCGCCTCATTTTTGCGACTCGGTCGCACCCGTGAGCACTGAATTCTGCGATTCACTGAACCTAACTCTTGGCTGCAGTATATCGTGACCCCCTGAAGGTGCCTGCATTGGCTCCCATGGCGACGAATCTCATGAAGGGTGGTCTCGCAGGCTTAAGGACGAGCTCGGTTTTCGTTTTTGCATGCCTTGTAGCAGCGCTCGTGCCGGCATGTTCGTCGATCGGCCCCAACCCTAGCATCTCGTCGCTCTCCGCGTCTCGCGGCATCGCGTCGCCATCGCATGCGGCGCCCAAGGCGGGTCCGCAGATCAGCAGCCTGCTGCTTCTTCTACCACCCCGCGCGCGTAACCCCGTCCGATTCCATCTTCTCGGATCCAACGGCTGCTTCACTTGGTAGGAAACGCGCAAATTTAATCGCTTAATCCGATCCGTTCGTTCTTACGATCCTTGCTTCCTTCCCGTTGGCATTATCAATCCATGCGATCGCCAGCAGCTGTAGACGAGCGTAGTTCGCTGTCCACCCCGTTGGTCCGCTCTTCTGATCTTCTCTCCCCCCTTGGTAACGCGTGCGTGGGTGCCGTGCAGGTCATGGGACCATCACGACCTGCTGCACGTGCAGCCTCTCTTCAACACCTCCGATGACGTTCATTCGCCCACGCCAGTAGCAGCAGCAGGAGCGGCAGGAGGGCAAGCGTGGGGGTCCCATGGCAGCAGCAGCAGTGGTAGCGGCAGTGGGGCGCGCGGGGGTGGGTGTTCGACGAGCGCGCTGATCTCGTCCATGGCGCCGTACTCGGGTGCGCCGCGCACCACGGCCGTCATAGCCACGGACCTGCTCTCCGGCCAAGTGCTGCGCTGCGAGGTGCGCCCTTCCCTGCATGTGTATGCACGTGGGCGCGTGTGCTGTCTCTCCTGACCGACCCACTTCTCCCACTCACCCCCTCTCCCCCTCCTGTCTCCCCCTCTCACCCTTCCTGTCTCCCCCTCTCCTTACCCTCTTCCCCACGCCCCCTGCCTTCGCCCCGTGCCCCGCGGCCCTCGCCCCGTCACCTCTGGCTTGTCACCCCTCGCCCTTGGCCCCTTATCCCCTGGCGAGTGCCGCCACAACTCCCTCCTCTTTTTGGTGCCCCACAGGTGCGAGTGGACGTGGTGCAGCGTGTGGCCATATTCCACCGCAGCCTTAAGATGGGCCTCTCCTCGCTCGCGGATCTCGAGGTGCTTGCTTTCAACGACCACGGTGAGCGCGCTGGGGGAGGGGGGGGGTGTGCAGGGATCGGGGTGCGGGGGGTGCTGGGTCTAGGGTGCATGGCGTGCGGGGGATGTGTGGTGCGTGGGTCACAGGGAGGCGGTTGTTTGCCGGGTGGGAGTGAAGTGTGCCTGTGCGTTTATGTCAACGCGAGTGTCTCGTTTCGTCCTTTGTAACCCCCTCTCGATCTCCTCCTCCTTGCCTCTCTCTCACTCAACTCTTTTCCCGTCCCCCGCTCGTCACCCCTGCTTTTTCCCACCGCCTCTTGCCAGCCCTGGGCCCCCCTTCTTTGCCATGCTCCCCCTCAATTCTTGCTTACACTCAATTCTTGCTTATTCTTAACCGTTACTTCCTCCCCTCAATCCCTGCTTTTCCCCAACCCCTGCTTCCCCCTTCTCCCCTGTTTCCCCCCACCCCTGCTTCCCCCCTCTCCCCTTCCTCCCCCTACCCCTGCTTCCCCCCACCCCTGCTTCCCCTCAACCCCTGCGCTCACCTGTTGCCCCCCGCCAGGCGACGTGTTCTCATCAGTGGCGGGCCTCACCTTCCGCTGGACCCTCACGCCCCTCGGCTCGCCCCTCCCCGCCCACCGCCAACCTGCGGCCTCCTCTGCGCCACGTGGCGAGCAGGCATTGGAGCACCGCCTGCAGCACGTGCCCCTGGAGGAGGCGGCGCTGCTGCTGGCAGGCGGAGAGGAGGGGCGCGGCGCTGCCAGGGACGACCTGGGGGTGCGTGGTGTGGGTGCTGGGCCGGGGGGATGAGCAGTGGGAGAATTGTTTTGTCAGGGTGGGTTCTGTGGGGCCGGTGTGAGGAGCGAAGGCAGGAGAGTATGGAGAGGGACGGTTGTCAAAGAAGGCCAAATACAGCCGGGAGGTAGCAGCAGGAGCAAGGCGTCAGCAGTGCAGTGGGTCATCATGCGCCTCTCATCCTCATATCGCCCGCCTCTGATCCTGTGCCCGCATATGTGTCTGTGTATCCATCACCCAATCAGGTGGAGCGGTCAGACGTGTATGTGGTGAGGGGTGTGGCGCCGGGGCAGGAGAAGGTCTCCGTGCAGCTCATGGACGCTGATGTCACCGCCGCAGGAGCAGCAGCAGCAGGGGGTGCAGCAGCACTGCCATCGGATGCCATAACGCTGACGGTGGCGCAGGCCTTCTCCCTGCAGCCGCCCTCCCCCGTGCTGCTGCTGCCTGGCGCCCGCCTGCCCTTCCGCCTCCTCACCTTCACCCACAATGCTCTGCACCGTAGGTCGCCCGTACCTGCCCACCCCTCGCCCTCCTGCACCTTGCCCCTCGCCTGCCCCCTTTCTCTTCCCACCCCTCCCGTTTTGCCCACCCTCCGCTCCCTCCCCTGTCCACCCTCCTCTCCCCCTCATCATGCTGTTTCTTTCTGCTGCCGCGTCCCCTTCCCTTCATCACCCTCTTTTCCCCCTCTCCCGTGTCACCCCCATCCCAACTTCCTTCCCCCATCCTTCCAGCGGTGCAGCTGCCCTCCCCCAGCTACGCGTGGGCAACAGCCAACGCATCAGTGGCCTCGGTGCACCCCTCCCAGGGCGTGGTGACAGCCCTCGCCCAGGGCGCCACCACGCTCACCGCCACTGACGTGCGTGTCGCCGACCACCACCAGGCCGCCTCCATCCACGTCGTCACGCCTGGCCATGTCAAGATCTTCCTCGCACCGCTGGCGCCTCTCCCAGGGGGGAATGGGGGCACCGGTGGCGAGGGGGAGGTGTGTTCTGGAGCAGGTGCAGCTGGGGGAGGGGGTCTGCCTGGGGCTGTAGCCTGCAGGGCTGTGGCGGAGCCTGTGGCCAGTGGGGGGGACACGTGGCACCTTGTGGTTGGTCGGGAGTACGCTCTCTGGGTGCAGGTGTTTTCCCATGGCTGGCCCAGCCGGCCCGTGCTGCTCACACAGGCGGACACACTGCTGCTGCGCTTCGACCACCCACCCCTCTGGTCTGTCGTTGGGGAGGATGCTGCTGCGGTTGCCTCCCTACCGGCACAGGCGCCTCCTGCTGTGGAGGGGGGAGGGGGTGGTGGGGAGGAGAGGAGCAGGGTGGTTGTGGTGCGAGGGGGGCAGCAGGGGCAGGGCGAGGTGCAGTCTGAGCTGCGGTACCGAGAGGTGCAGAGCGGTGGGAAGGGGCGGGAGGAGAAGGTGGTGGCGGTGCAGGCGATTCGTGTGTGCGACCCCGTGCTGGTGCACCTGCCCTCCCCCACAACCCCCGCCTCTTCTTCATCTCCTCCTCCTGTGGACCCTGTCCACGTGGTACACCTGCCGTGGGTGCCGCAGCTTGACTCTGCGCCACCACCGCTGCGGCAGCACCTGCTGCTGCTGGCGTCGGGAGGTGAGCAGAGTCATGCACTGTGAGAAGAATGCATGGTAGGGAAGACATCATACATGTGCCAGAGCAGGAAGAACGTTGGTCAGACGATTGAGAAGAGTTGATCGAGGAAGTCAGACGCAGGAAGTTGCAGTGCATTGAGGAGCGATAGAGTCAGTACAGCAGCTTCCCTTACTCTTGGAAGCCATTTTGAAAAGCTTACCATCGCAACCCATTGCTCGTACATTCCCGAATGGACCAGGGTGTGGCGAGCGAGCTGCTGACTATGTGTGGACCAGCTCTGACTCCACTGTCATCCACGTGGCGCCCTCTGGTTGGCTGACGGTGGCCGGCCCGGGTGTTGCGGTGGTGCGAGTGGCAGCAGCAGTGGATGGCAACAACTACCACCAGGTGCGGGGGGGGGTTGATAAGGCCCAGCCAAGGGGAAGGGCGGGAGTGGAAACGAGAAAGGGAGGGATGAGCGAGGTGGGAACGTGGAAGAGGAAGGGAGGATAAGAAGAGTGTTTTGCTGTTTCCAGTGCGTCGTCTCTACCTCGTTTGGAGCTTAGCCCACCATGCAGTCACAGTCACCTTCGTACAATTTCCAGACTGCACATGCGGCCATGCATGCACCACGCACATGCTCATATGCACACTCATCCATCCCCACCCATGTGCGTCCGGCCCGCACCTGCCTCTACCACCATGGCATGGGAGCAGGTGGAGGTGCGGGTGAGTGAGCCACGTGTCATGCAGGCAGTGGGCGAGGAGGAGGGCAGCGCGCTGCAGCTGAACGTGGGCGTTGAGGCGCTTGTGGGCCACTCCCTGCTGCTCGCTGCCCGCCTCCTCTCCTCCTCAGGTCCGCTGCTCTGCCCACTGCTTTCCCACACCCTTCTTGCATGCTTGCCGACCCTCTCTCCTGACCCTCTGCTCTATGCCTGGGTGCCCTCCAGATGTTCCTCCTTATGACCTCTCCACTCTTTCCTTCTTTTCGCCCTCGTTCTCTTCCACCACCCTTCTTTCTCAGGCGAACCGTACACCAACTGCACCGCGCTCAACCCATTCGTGCAGTGGCAACTGCAGCCGCTGCTCCCTGCCGCACCCCCCTCCTTCACTCTCACCTCACCAGCCCTCCTTGCCGTGGTACCACCATCCGCCCTCTCGCCCATCTGTGTGTGGACCTCCCTCTCCGCCATAGCCCCTGGTCGCACACAAGCAACAGCCCTCCTACCATTGCCGCCACGCACAAAACCCGCTGATGCTGACGCCCCTGACAGTGCAGAAAAGGCAGTGGGGGGCGCAGAAGGTTCGAGTGAGGGCGTGCAGGGGGAGTGGGCGGTGGCGGGGTATGAGGCGATGCGTGTGGTGCAGGCAGGGGATGGGTGGCGCCAGGGCGGCTATGGGCTGCCGGACTCGCTTGCTGCCTCTGCTGCATCTGCCATCCCTGGAAGGCAAGCAGACTTGTCCGCAGCAGCAGGTGCGGATTCCCTACCATCAGCAGCATCAGCATCAGTACCGGGAGCAGTAGCTGCAGCGCTGGGCATCGGGGCAGGGCTGTCAGTGCCGGCTCTCCTGCTGGCGCCAGGGGCGTCCATGGCCCTCGCCCTCTCAGGCGGGCCCGACAGGTGGATCCCAGGCAGGCAGTTCCTGGACCACGTGCATGTGGCGGCCGTGGGGGCGGAGACGGGGCCGCTGGTGGCAGACGAGGCGGAGGAGAAAGGAGGGGAGGGGCGGAGGGAGGGCGAGAAGGGAGGGGAGGTGGAGGTGGAGCAGGTGGGGGGGCGGGGTGGCAGGGGGTATGTGGTGCGGTGTGGGGGCAACGAGGCGTTCAATGGCAGCTACGTGAGTGCCAACTGTGCCCTGCCTCCTGCTCTTGCCTTCCCTCCTGCTCTGCCTGCCTTGCTTCCCCATGCAACCATCCATGCTTGCACCCATCTACAAATCGCCGCCTGCCGCAGCATTCACCCCAAATGTCAATCAATCACTCATCACCAGTCCCTTTCCTCTGTTCCCTCGTGTGTCCCCTTTCCCCTTCTCCCACCCCACCACCCTCTCCAGCGTGTGACCATCACCAGAGGCCACCAGCCGTCCTCGCATGCCTCGCCCGCCACCCTGCCCTCCGCGTCCATCATGCTGCACTGCGCGCTGCCTGCTGCTGCCGCCATCCTGCTCGATGACTCCAGTGCGTCCTGCCCGTCCCTGCCTCTCATGCCTCCCCCTGCCTCTCATGCGCCCCCCTGCCTCTCTGTCACTCTCGTCTTGGGATCCCCTCACTCACTATGCTTTCCTCCCCGTACTACCTCGTTCCCGTCTGGCCTTCGTCCCTCTCAGTCCCTGTGCTGTGCCTCCTCCCTTTCCGCTTTCCCCCTCACCACCGCAGCTCGCCTCCCTGCAGCCATAGCAGCATCAGCAGCCTCATGCCATCCACCAACGGGAGAATGCCACGTGGCACCAATCACCCTTGTGACACATCAGCACGTGCGGCTGGTCGCTGCAGCCCTCTCCTCCTCCATTGCGCCCTTCGCCAACGCGTCCAGCCAATGGCTGCATGCCACGTGGCAGCTGGAGGGGTGTGATGACATGGCATGGTGGGGCGCGGACGAGAGCAGCAACGGGGGAGTTGGTTCAGGGGAGGAGTGGAGCAGATGGGTGCACACAGGCGACAATGGAGGCGAGGTGAGGGAATGGATGGGCGGGAGCGGAGGGGGCTGTGGGAAGTGAGTTTGCATGAGATGAGTGCAATGCTGAGGTTCTGCTGGCAGTGCCATGGATGGCTTACTCACCTTCGCCTCTGCTCTTTCTAATGCCCTGCCGTGCGCCTGCCAGTGTCGGGTGCATGTGGATGTGACGGCACCGCACGCCAAGGGGGGCTGGCTGCACATGAAGCTGGAGGGGCAGCCCGCACATACGGACGCCTTCCATCTGCGCGCCTCCGCCCTCCTGCAGGTACCCTCCCCTCCCCTCCCTACTGCTCGCCTCACATCTTCTCTCCTCTCGCCGCACCTGTGCTTTGCTGCTCGCCTGCTCTTTCTTCTGCTTTTGCCTACTTGCTAACCCTGTTTGCTGCACCATCTATTGTGGTGTTGGCTTGGTCGCTCATGCGTGTAGTCCCCAAATGCCCGCACACTGACTCGAACCGTCTCCTATTCCTAAATGTGATTGCCCATGCCCCTGCGTGCGTGCATGCAGGTGGTGAAGGCGCTCAGGCTGGAGCCACAGGCGGTGCTGCTCGTCAACCACCCTCACGCCCATGTACGTGCCCTTCGCTTGCCGCTCTGCATGCCACTCTGCATGTTTGGACCCTGTTCGCAGCAGTCCTGTTTTGCTCGTGCAAGCATTCGCCTCACACCTCCCAAACCATCGTCTATTCCAACGCCCATTCATGGTATCCCATTGCGTCTTCCGCTCATGTCCCCCAGGCGGATGTGACAGTAACGGGGGGTACCTCCGAGCTTCAGTTTTTCATCTCCGACCAATCAGTGGCTGCCATTCTGCCACGTGGCACAGCAGCAGCAGTCCAGCTGGCAGCGCGTGCACGAGGCGATGCCACGTTGACAGCAGTGGACGCTGGCCTCTCCCATCCGCTCTCTGCCAACGCCTCGGTACCTCCCCCATCCCGTTGGCACCTCATGTGCCAATACGTGCTCTGCCTGCCTTTCTTCCGATACCCACTCCCTGCTGCTCTAGTATCTTCCTGGTACCGTGCCTTCATTTCTGTGGGCAGGCTGTAGGGTCATCCCTGTCATGCCTCCTACACCTTCTCCCTGCCTGCCCACACCCTCCTGTCTCACTCTCCCTTCCCCTCCTCTCTGCCCCCACATCGCCACCGCATGACCCGCCAATCAGGTGTCAGTGGCTGACGTGGCATGGGTGCGCCTGCATCCCGAGGGCGCTCAGCCGTCCACGTCAGCAGGGGCGGGCGAGTGGTGGGTGCAGGTGGGCGCTGTGGCGCGCATCACGGTGACAGTGGGGGACGACCGCGCCCGCCTCTTCCCCGCCTCGCAGGTGCGCTCACCTCCCTCACCTCCCTCACCTCCCTCACCTCCCTCACCTCCCTCACCTCCCCCACCTCCCTCACCTCCCCCACCTCCCTCACCTCCCCCACCTCCCTCACCTCCCCCACCTCCCCCACCTCCCTCCATGCTTCACGATGCTGTCTTGCTCCTTACAAGACACATCATCCTGCGTCTTGCACACTCAACTTAACTCTGTGCTCCTGCACAGTCTACTATGTGCACTTAGACGCGTAGAATAACCCCTGTGCGTTTGTCCTCTCTCCCACCCTTTGGTCCGCGCCTCTCAGTTCGCATGGATGGGGTTGGAGGCGCACGGCATGGCGGGCGTGGTCGCCCTGCACTTGCCCTGCTCACGCCCCTCTGCTGCTGGGGATGACGTGGCATGCTCTGATTCGCTGGAGCTCACAGGGACTGCTGTGGGGGTCACCACTGCCTTCCAGGTCCTCTCTTTCCCCTCCTCCCCCCATTTTTACCTCCCCCTTCCTCTCCCTACACACACTCCTGCTGTTTCCTTGATCCGATTGACTTCCCCCTTTCCCCACTCCCCGAACCCCTGCTTCGTCTCTCTCCCGAGTCCCCACCCCACCCCATGCGTCCTTTCACACACTCATTAATGCCCTGTCTGTCACCTGCTTGATTGCAACACCCACAACGAATCTCCCATCTCTCCCAGGGGCCCTTATTGCCCCAATCCCCTCTCCCTTCCCTCTCTTCCCCTGGCTTCCCTGCCTCCCGCCTGGCCCCTTTCGCCCCTGTCCCCCCATGCACCTACGGGCGAGCAGGTGAGCGCGGGCATTCACGCGTCCACACGGAGGGTGTTTTCAGACGCCGTGCGCATCACCGTGTATGCGCCCCTCGCCCTGCACCCACCCTCGCTCACCCTCGCCCCGGGAGCATCATACATGGTTCGTGCTCCTGCCCCACCCCCACTCCTCCCTGCTCCACCCCTTCCCAACACTTTCCCTTTCTCCTTTTCCTACATGCCCTCTGTTTCTCTTCTTGAGCAAGCATGCATGCATGGTGAATAATCAATGTCTGCCTGCTTCTGTTTTCTGTGGTATGTTTTCGCTTCACCTTGCTCTTACATCCATCGCCGCCCATCCTCCCCTCCTTGCCCCCTGCCACGTCATCAGCTGCAAGCCACAGGCGGTCCCTCCTCCCCAACCACGACCATCGCATTCGCCTCCTCCAATGCTGACGTGGCGCACGTCGATTCATCTTCTGGCCTCGTCGCATCCCGAGCGCCTGGCACAGCTGTCATCCGAGCCATGGCGCTAGGCTCGGCAGGGCAGGTGTTGAGCGTTGCCGAGTCTCGGGTGGAGGTTCGGGTGATGGAGGCGGTGGGACTGAGTGTGGGCAGCGGGCAGCTGGCAGTGGGCGAGGAGATGGCCGTGTTTCCCACCGGGGGGCATGAGGTGAGACGTCAAGATCTGAATTGCTGTCTTCTTACCCCTCTTCCTTGTCTCCCTCTTCACCTCATCTATCCCTTTTCCTCACCATCTTTCTCCTCTTCTTTCCCGCATTTTCTCCCCCACCATCAGGGAGAGGATTTGCTCTCATTCGCACGTGTGTGCCACGGCTACCAATGGAGCGTCAGCCACAACCAGGTGAGCCCACCACCCACGCCATGTCACGTGGATAGTCTGTGTGGGGTGCCATCCCTTCCACCGACCTCGCCTATGCCTTTCACACCCACCTCGCCTGTGCCTACTCTCTCAACTGGCACGGTTCGTATCGTCCCTCACGCCACTCCTCATCTCCGTCCACACCCCTTTCCCCACACAGCTGCTGCAGCTACAAACGGCGCCATCGCTCGATGCGCAGGTGCCTGCCAGCACCGCAGGGGCGGCCAGCAGCAGCAAGCGCGGGAGTGACAGTGCCACTGACAGTGGCGGTGCAGCGGTAGACATTGGCTTCTCAGCGCGAATCACTGCCAGGTCAGCTCAGCTGCACAGCAACGCAGGAGCAAGTGCCTCTGCTGCTGCTCCTTTCTTTTTCCGCGCTTCTTCTACATTCCATGCCATGCTCTTTCTTCTTCCTCCCGATCCCACCTCCCTGCCGTTGTTCTCTCATCCTCCCCACCACCTCTTTCACCTCAGGGCGCCCGGCACAGCCACAGTGTCTCTCACCTTCGTCTGCTCCTTCCCCACCTCCTCCAAGCCCTCAGCAGCCCCCCTCCGTCGCTCCTACTCCGCTTCTGCCTCCGTCTCCATCGTCCCCACGCCCCCTCTCGCGCTTGGCATCCCTGCCACGTGGCTGCTGCCCATTGGCTACACCTCCTCCCCTCTCCTCCCGCCCTCCCTCACAACCACCGCTTCCCAAGGAGCACCTGCTGCTGTTCCGCGCTACACCTACTCCTTGCTGCAGGACCAGGTGACCGCCCTTCTCACCATTCCCTCCTGCTCTCCCCTTTCCTCTTGCCTATCTCCTGCATTGACCACGCTGCACCGCTCTCAGCACCCTGTCCTTCTCTCCCTTGTACCCCGCCCGTCAACCCCCAGTCACCTCTGGGCAGCGGGCACGTGTCGCTGGCAGCAGGGGGGCGAGTAGCAACGGGCGAGCGGGCAGCGTTGGGGTGCATTGCAGTGGCCGACTCTGCCAGCGGCCGCCACGACATCGCTGCCTGCGTGCGCAGCGCTCAGGTGAGGCTTCTGCTGCGCCCAGGTGGAATGGAGGCCTGCCATTGGTGTCTCCATTCCTGTAGCGTGTGCTGACTGTACGACGTTCCCTTCGCAGCTGTGTGTGTCGCTCTGCTGTGGACAAGTGACAGCAGTTGTGAGTCACCTTTACTGCCTCCCTGCTCTCCCTCGTCTTCCACTCACATTTTCGACTCCCATCTCCTGCTTCTCCACCCTCTCTTTTCGTCCCTCGGCACCATTCACCCCATTCCCTCCCTCCCCTCCCGCGCCACCGCCAACCCCTGTGCGCCATGGCAGGCAGCACAGCTGACGGTGGGCGACAACGACTTCCCCTTCCATGCCGCTGAGCTCTCTGTGCCCGCCCACCAGCTCTTCTCCGTTCACCTCCGAGACAGCCTCGGTAAGAAACAGATTAGGTGAGATGCAAGCACTGTGGTTGCCCGATTGATCATAGGGAAGGTTACAGGCTTGCCGGCCTAGTGCCGCCGGCCTAGTGCCGCCGGACTAGTGCCGCCGGACTAGTGCCCCCGGACCAAGGTGCGCCCCCGGACCAAGGCGCGCCCCCGGACCAAGGCGCGCCCCCGGACCAAGGCGCGCCCCCGGACCAAGGCGCGCCCCCGGACCAAGGCGCGCATTGCCAGTCGGCACTGTCAGACGTCACCCTCCAACAGCCAACGAGTGCGCTCACCTGTTGGAGGCGAGCACCGTAACACTTGCTAACACATGTTTACGGTACCGTACTTGAGACTGCCGATTTTAGTCCAAAAACTCGTTACTTCACCACACCCCATACTACTGTATCCTCACCATGGCACCCCCAACAGAGATCATAACACCTCAGGGCAACAATTCATTACCATTCTGAAATTTCAGGGCCCTCAGGATGCACTATCCTGAATTTACAGGGTGAAGTTTAGCCAAATCCTGAAACTCAAGGGCACAGTACCTAGCAACACCCTGAAAATCAGGGTATCGGAATCTTTTATCCTGATATCGTAACGCCTGCTACCCTTGCCCGGTTTGCACTGTCTGCAGGAGTGCCCTTCCTGGAAGCTTCTGATGCGCGGGTGGAGGTTGACGTGGACAGGCCTGACGTGGTGTCAGTGGCCGTGGTGCCCAGCCTACCAGGGCCTGACACGTGGCAGCCTGCCAACATGACTGTGGTGGTGAAGGTGCGTGTGCGTGTGCGTTTGGGGGAGGGGTGGGGGGACAAGGAGGTGCATGGAAGTGGGGAAACAAGGCAGAGAGGTCGGTGCAGAGCATCTCTCGTCCTGGCTGCCTCCCACTCACCACCACCCCTGCTCTCTGTCTTCCCCTCATTTCCCTCTCTTTCCTCCTCACCCCCCATCCCCCCTACCGTCTCTTCCCCTTCCGACCGCCCCTCTCCCCTCCAGGCGGTGCAGCAGGGCACAGCAGTGGTGCGCGTGAGGGTGCAGCCAGGGGCAGGGCGAGGGACACGTGGCAACCTGCCATTGGTGGACTTTATCACTGTAAGTGGAGAGTGGCCATGGGAAGGATGCTGGCGTATTCACTCAAGCACTGTGTTCTTCACTCACTCTCTCGGCAACCACTCACTGACTCACACTCACACTCACTCACTCACTCACTCGCTCTGCCTGCCATGCCATCCCACCAGGTGCAAGTGGGCGCGTACGTGTTCCCTCGGGATCCCCTTGTCCCTCTGGGTGCCTCGCTCAACTTCTCCCTCTCACACCGCCACCATCACCAAGGTACATGCCCACCACCTTCCATATGCCATGCAATACCATGCCATGCCATGCCATGGGCAGGAACGCAGAGTCAACCTGTTTTGTGATTTCCCCTCTCCTCCCCTCCTCTGATCCTCTCGGCCCGCCCTTTTCCAGCCATGGGGGGCAGCAGGGGCGGCAGGTGGGAGAGTGGCAACAGCAGTGTGGTGGCAGTGGATGGCAGCACGGGGGAGGCACGTGCCGTGGGGGAGGGAACCACTGTCGGTCAGTTACCCCTTCACACCCGATGCGTACATCCCCTCCTCACTCACCACTCCTCTGCACGTCCTTGCACCCCTCTGTCTCAAGAGTAACCTTCTATTTTCTTTACCTTCTATTTTCTTTACCTTCTATTTTCTTTACCTTCTATTTTCTTTACCTTCTATTTTCTTTACCTTCTATTTTCTTTACCTTCTCCTTTCTTATTGCCGACCTTGTGTCCTTGCATTTTTAGCCTCCTCTTTCCCACAAGCACCCGCCTCTCCCTGTCCCCCATACCCTCCTCATTCTCAACTCCCTCGACTGTTCCCCCAGTGAGCTTCAATGCATCGCGCCTGACGTCATACACGAGGGTCACGGTGCTGCCAGTGGCGTCACTGCTGGTTTCCCCTCCGCCCTCCACGCTTCTCCTCTCCAACGCGCCTCCTCTCGCTGCGGCCGCCCGCCCCTTCCACTTCCCAGTCCAGTTCAGGTGCGGTGCGGTGCTGTGCGGTGCGGTGCTGTGCTGTGCGGTGCTGTGCTGTGCTGTGCAGTGTGTGGCAGTGCTGGGTACCAACATTTATTATTGCTCTCCTATGATCCTATGACTCCACTGTATGAGCGCACAAGTTCTTGCCCACTCTGTGTCATTTCCCACTTCTGGGTCCATGCTTCCTCCATGCTCCCATGCGCCCATGCCTGTCGCCCATCCTCGTACTCACAGGGACTCGCGAGGCCAGCCCATGGGACGACCCGTGGGGTCCCCAGACGTGCCCTTCTCATGCCACGTGGCCCCCAGCATGCTCGGGTGAGTGGCAACACTGGTGTGCGCAACCACGCTTCCTTCACCCTCTGCACTACTCTCTCCCTCCACGGTACCACCACAATCACTCCAACTGCCCTCGTAACGGCCGTTCTTACTCCCCTCTCCATCTATGCCCCACACCACAGTGATATCATGCCCTCACGTTCCCCTCCCGTACCCATCCCCCTTCCCTCCCTTCCCCCTCTCCCTTTCTTCTCCCTCCCCCCATGCCCTGCAGCACGGCCGTGCCCCGCTTTGACACCGCTTTAAACTCCTACATCTGCTCCTTCACCTCCGCCTCTCCCACTCGCATCTTCTCCGCTCTCACCCAAGCCTCCTCCTCCTCGTCATCGTCAGCACCAGCAGCAGCAGCAGCAGCAGGGGGGCGAAGTTGGGAGGAGCGAACAGAGACGGGGAGGGCAGTGGGGGAGGGGCAGTGGTGGTGGTGGTGGCGGCAGTGGTGGAGGCAGGGGCAGCGCAGGGTGCTCGCCCGCCTGTGAGAGGAGAGGCTTCTGTGCCGTTCGTGGGGGGCTTTGATGTGCTGGGCGCAGGCGAGGTGAGCCGCACTAAACAGTGAATGGCACATCACCGGGAACAAACAGTTTCTGCCATTCGCATTCGGGCTTAATGTGTTGAACTTCCCCCCTGTATTTTTCCTTCCCTGCTTGGAACGGTTTCTCCTTCTTTGCTTCAGCTCGACTCTTCCTCTCTCCACCTGACGGCCTTTGCATGTGTGTGCATGAGTGTGAGTGCAGATCTCTCTGTCTCTCGCCGCCAACACCACCACCATTCGCCTCGTTGGAAACACAAGTGAGATCACTGCACTGTTGCTAACTCTATTGAAATAGCGTCGATCAATTGCCTTGCAATCAAGCTGCTCACACGTGTCAGATTGAGGGCATTCGGTGAGCTCATCAGAACACCTCTAGCACCAACAACGATCAAGCTGGACGTTTGCATTGCTGCCCTCACAGCAGACTGGTTGTTTTCCTGTCACTCCAACTTCATCCTCTCCCCCACTGCAGACTCGGTGCAAGTGGCATGGAGGCAAAGAGCGTCACTGGTGGTTAGGAGGACAGGCCCTGTGTCAGGGCAGGGTGTGAAGGGAGGCAGGCACAGCACTCGTGCTGCCAGTGCGCTCCGCAGCACCTCACCTGCCCCAGAAGGGCTTGCGGCCCTGGCAGATGAGACAGTGTTTGCCGTCCAGGTAGGCTTGGCTTGGTGTGAGCATGTTGCTTGTGTGACTCCGGCACGCCACACTCCCCTGCACGTGCGCTGCTGGTTTCTTTCCTAGTTTTCTCAGCCATTATTGCTTCTGCCTCCTTAGTATCCTCATCTGTGCCCCCATCTCTCTCCTCTGCTCTCTTGCCTCTCTGCTCTCTGCGCTCTGCTCTCACTCCAGGTTGTGCTGGGGGACCATGCTGACCACGCACGTGCATCGTTTGAAGATGACGTCGTGTTCACTCATCTCGGCACAGGTATTTCACCTGCAATCATGCCACTCGCTGTTCTGCTCCAGCCAACGCACCACCACCACGACTTGCCAACACCCACTGCATGCCACCCTCTGCATGCCACCCACTGCATGCCACCCTCTGCATGCCACCCTCTGCATGCCACCCTCTGCATGCCACCCTCTGCATGCCACCCACTGCATGCCACCCTCTGCATGCCACCCTCTGCATACCATCCAACCGCCGTCCCCACCACTCGTACCTCCCCACACCCACTGCAGGGCAAAGGGAGACAGTGCATGTGACCTTCAATGCAGCTGCTGCCCCCGCCACCCTGGTCCCCCTCAACCTGCTGTGGCTCGCTGCACTCACCGCCGTCGTCGCCTCGGCCATCCTCCTCCTCCTACACCTCGTCAGCCCCGCCCAACCCTACATCCCCCACCCACAGCCCCCACCCTCGCCTCTCCCCACGCCGTCTCCTCAGCGCCCAGGGTCTGCGTTCCACACGCCAGGGTCCAGTGCGTTCTCTCCAGTGTCCCCTTACAGCCAGATGGGGTCGCCGAGTCCCGAGTATGTGAGCTATGCAGGCCGCACCATTCACCGCGCTCCAGGGTATACCAATCCTATGGAGGACCCTCGTAGCATGTACTGATTTGTTTTGTGAGACTGTGGGTGTACTTTTTTGTGTTTGGTTGGATTGGAAGGTGGAAACATGCCACCAGATGTGTGCTTCCATGAACATTCATGCACGACTATTGCTGTGAAAACGGCTGCCAAATGGAGCAGTTCGAGGCAAAAAGTCTGGAAACAACTATAACGGAAGGTAGGGCTCATTGGCAAAGGTGTACTTGATTTCTGTGTTTCTAGGTGACCATTTTTCACTTGTCAAAATTGAGCCACACAAGTTGGCGGCCAAGGGGAAGTGCTGCTGGCGTGGCGTCGTGTCAAGAGTTTTCAACCGAATCCGCCCATATGCTGCTCGTCGATCTTCTCGTCAAACAAGTGGCTGTTTGACAAAAAGTGCAACGGGTTTGCCGGATAGATGACGAGTCGTGAGTTGGCAGCCAATGAGGAAAACAAATGACAGTCAGCCAGCCAGTGATAGAAGCCACAGTGGACAGACGATATTTGTGGCCTCGCTGCATCTGCCTGAGGTCATGGGTGTAGCAGTCGAGTCTGACATTTTGACGCCCAATGTAATTCACAGCTCGAGTATTCTGGTTAATGTCGGGTTCGCCCCGAGTGGTCGAGGGGTCGGTTTGTGGAGAGTGTGCCCCGGCTGGGTGAGGAAATCTCGTGGCTTTCCCTTGGAAGTCTGCCGTTCTTTCTACCACCAGTTCACCATTTCTCTTTATGCAGGCTACGCACGCACCTTCCGATTCCTCAATTCGTCTGCAATTCGATCCTTTCCCTACCGAGTTGAAGCTCCGTCGGATTGCCTTGTTGGAGCCCAATAGTCATGCTATTCCGATTTTCCAATGCTCAGTGCTCACGCCTCTTTCCTAAACTCATCGGGTGACTTCGAAGACGAGTCTAAAATCATAGGTGAGTAGGGTGTACGGTATTCTGAGGTACTGGGTAAACACGGCCCCAACCAGGACACAGCCCAACTCCGACGTTTCGTTGTGGACGGAAGTCTCTTGAAGAGGCAGGATTCTGGTTGCCCATGGCTGTTGGATTTGTCCTTGTCGAAACGTCGGGACTCGGTGGCCGGCTGTCCACCGAAACGGAACGTTCGGAGACCGACTCCCGCTGACTCGGAACCACTTCCCATCGAGCTAGGGAATCTAACAACACGGAAATGAACCGTTCGATGAAAGCTAAAAACGAGCCTTGACGGTCAGATTATCGCGTTATCGTGCTTCGATGAAAACTCTCGCTTCCAGATCAGATGAGATGATGTTCGAAATATCTATGGATGAGGTCGGCTCTGGACTGGATTGACGAACCACACACGCTACTGTTTGGTCAATCTGGTTTCTCAGCCAAACGGGGCAACCAGACTTGGCTGCATAGTAATGCTCGATTTTCCTATCTTTTGCACTCAAAAACAACCCAATTTCTGAAGATATATATCGTACAGGTTACTGTACGTAGAATGGTGTTGGGGCTTACGTCCAAAACACCTGAACCTTGGTTTCGTGTGACATCGCATGCAAATGCAAGCCTTCGATTCACCGCGTTGCGCGCAGATTCCCTGCGCTACGAGCAGCCAAAGACCCCTTCCCTTGCTCGTGTTTCCTCTGGTTTGGCTCACTCCCCCCATCCCACGCAGCCTATATCCCCATCAACTCCAAAGATATTTTCACCATTCCTGAGACTCCCAGTCTCTGACCCTGCTCTTCAATCTAATCTCATCACTCATGGCCCGGTCAGCCTCCGACGACTCACTTCGTGAAGCAGCGCCTGGAATTCGAAGAAATCAGTCACTCGACGGCTCTAGGAAACGCAAGATCGATTCCTCGCTCGTTGAGTCCGAATCGCGCTCCCCGAAGCAGACGAGAATTGCCCAATTGGACTATTCCACTCCATCCGCCTCCTGCCCAATCTTCAACTTCCACACGGGAAAGCTTGAGGATTATTTCACTGTGGAGTCAGCGACGCTTGGCGCAGGACAATTCGGCGTTGTGAGGCGGTGCGTCGACAATGCAACGAATCAGGCCTTCGCGTGCAAAACGATCAATAAAGACCGATTGCTGACGTCAGCGGCGAGAGACGAGGTGCGGCGCGAGGTGGAGGCAATGCGGAGCGTGGCGGGTCATGCGGGCGTGGTTCAATTGCGCGGTGTTTTCGAAGACGAGCGACAGGTTCACCTCGTCATGGACCTGTGCGACGGTGGCGAACTCTTTGACGAAGTCGTGCGACGGGGGCGGTTACCGGAGAGAGAAGCCGCGCTTATTTTTCGCCAAATCGCCTCCGCCGTGGCGTTTTGTCACTCGAAGAACATAATGCACCGTGATTTAAAGCCTGAAAACATCCTCCTCGCATCCTCAAACACCTCACGACTCCCCACCGCCAAGCTCGCGGATTTTGGATTCTCAATTCCCATTCCCCCCGGCCATCGCGCGTGTGGCGTCGCCGGATCGCCGTTGTACATGGCGCCGGAGGTGCTCGGCGAGTACGGGGTGTCGGCGGACGTGTGGTCGCTGGGCGTGGTGCTGTACGTGCTGCTGAGCGGCAGCGCGCCGTTTTGGGGCGCGGACGACAACGGCGTGTTCCGCGCCGTGCTGGAGGCGCCGCTGGACCTGACGAGCGGCGCGTGGGCGGGGGTGTCGGCAGAGGCCAAGGGGCTGCTGCGCTGCATGCTGCACCGCGATCCGCGCCGACGCCCCTCCGCCGCCAAGCTGCTCTCCCACCCCTGGATCCTCGTCCACGCCTTCGGCGGCCGCGTCGTGCGCCGCGTCCTCGCCGCGCCCGCGCTGCAGCAGCGGCGCATGGGGGGGAGCGCTGCTGCTGTTCCGCTCTCCGCCTGACAATACTTCGTGACAGAGTGCCGCAACGTTATTTTTGGCGAAACCGCAATGACCAATTTTGGGGAAATGACACCACGACTGGAGCACAGGGGGATGCCAACCCAAGCGTTTTGACGTTACAGGGTTACATACACAAAGAGCTTAGAGCCTTGCAAAGCCCTCAGCTGCTACCTTCTGCAGCCAGGAGGCTTGGCTTGGCATGCTGCCTGTTAGATTGCTAACCATGTATTTTCCATCAACATTGTTGATGCTTGTAATGAGTTGTTGCAAAGTGCAAGACCACATCCTTGCGATTTGTATTCCCCAAACACGGTTGCAATGTCAGAACCAGTTGGATTTGTGGAAGTCTCGGAAGCCTCTGAGGTAGTTTTCCATGGACTCTCTTGTCCTCTTCCAATGCACCTCCTGAATCACATCGTCTGCACTGCGCTTCCTCTCCTGTGGGGAACAAGCCAAGTTGGCATGATGAACATGGACAGAAAAATGGTTTCTAGTTTTTAAGGATGTATGGTAATTGACTGGTAAACAGTCAGTGGCAGTAAGGGACGGGCAGAAAGGGAAGAGAAGGGCGATAACTCGGTGGACAGTGAGGAGCCACACCACTGCATAAGGCCACCAGGTCACCCTGAATCCCACCCATCCTCACCGTTCCGGATTCCCCCCAACCTCACATGGCCCCACCTTCTCACCTTGGGAATGATTCGGAAGGTGGTGCCGTCGTCCCTGACGATGAGAGTCTCGTTTCTGCGGTCGCGTGGCTGGTCCTCTGGCACATCCAGCTGTCACAGGGGAGGGGATGGGCGGTGGATGTGAACACAAGAATCATGCCGACCATGATCAACAGTATCAGCAGCAGAGCAACCATGATGGATGGCCGATAGCGGGATGTTGGATCAACAGTCTCATTTCTGCGGTCGCGCGGCTGGTCCTCCGGCAGGTCCAGCTGGCACAAGGGGGCACAGGAGAGCGGATGGGTGCTGGATGTGAGACAAGAATGATGATGACGACGAGCATGAGAACTAGCAGCAGCAGCAGCAGAGCAACCGTGATGAATAGTCAATAGCGGTATGTTCGAGCACAAGGGCACATGCGAGGAGGATCAAGACGGTGAGGGTCGTACGATGACGTTGGCACGGCGCAGTGTCTTGTCGTGGCCGTCAAAGACGTACACCTCCTCAAAGTCCAACACAAACTCCCTCGTGCCGTAGGCCGCGTCGTTCAAGTGCCGGATGAAAAACACCTGATGGGCAGCGGCAAGGGAACAGGGAGCAAATGCATTCCCCGGAGTGCGAGGCAGGTTGATGCGTATGAAGCATGTTCGGCGAATGAGTGAAGAGTGAGGGAATAAGAGTCACAAATGGGGCACGTGCATTGTGCCCACGTGGCCAGTCGCCGCCACACTCACTTTGGTGACCTCCTCGATCTCCTTGGCGCTGGGCTTGTACGGGTCGGTGGAGTGCGGCAGGAACTTCCCCGCTATGTACGTCCACCGCCCCACCTGGCATCTGATTGGCTGAGTGGACAGACAGGGCGGCGGGACGGCGGGGCGGCGGAGCAGGGGAAAGAGGGGGGTCGTGGTAGCAGTCAGTGCAGGAAGTCGATGCGCGGTCTGGCGATGCATGCAAGGCGGTCACATATGTCACATCAGCGGGCATGTCTCACTTCAGTGGCTTCACGGCGCTGCCTTTGCCCGCGTACCTGAGAGGGCAGCGGTGCGAGCTTGCTGGGAATGGAGTAGACGTCACTGCCGGGCGGAGTGAAATACACCTGCGCGGGCATGGCACAGCGCACAGTGAGAGAGGGGGCAGGGAAGGAAAGGGGAGAGGGAGGGTGGACATGGTAGCATGGGTAAGAAGGCGTATGCAAGGGATGCGGGATGCGACGAGGGCGGTGGAGGGGGGAACTGAACAGAATGGGAGACCTGAACAGAACTGAACAGCTGTGCAAACGAAGCACAGCTGCTCAGCGAAGTTTATCAACCATACGCCAACCGTCTCTCCCGCCTTCCCACCTAACAACCCTCTAACACCCTGCCAAACCCTGTCCCCCCAACCCTGTCCCCCGAACTCCAGCCCGCGCCAGTACCCCCCAGCCCTGCACCCCAATCCTGTATCCCCCGCACCTCGGAGAAATCAAACACGTCGTTGTCGCCGGCCTCGCCTCCTCGTCGCACGAAGAGGTCGCAGGCGGCCACGGCGATGCAGTGGAACGCCGCCTCCTCGATCCTGTAATCTACGCGCACTACCGCTCCCGCGCCCTCCCGCTCCGCCACCGCCAACCCTCCCCCCGCGCGCGCAAGCGCCGCGTCTCCCGCCAGACCCATTGCCCCTGTGTCGAGACCGTACGCGGAGGGATCGTCTAGCATGAAGAGATCATCTCGGCCGTCCATTTCGACCTCGAGCTCGGCGTCGAGATCGAGATCCTCCGCGTCGAACTCCATCCCCTCGTCGTCGTCGTCGCCGTCGAAGTCGCCCGCTCGCACGACGACTAGCCTCCGTCGTCTACGGGTCGCACAGACTGGGTCCAATGGAAGGCTTAAGCGCGAGCGACTCCGTTGTGAATGGACAGAGCAGGCGAGGCTGAGAGATTTTGACGAAGCACGAAGGGGTGGCGTAGGCAGCCCAAGATCCCGTGCCGCGACATTTGGCGAAGAAAACAGCGAGTTTGGGCTGCACCCGCAACGTACGGCGGCTGTACACGTTGACATAGCCATGCCCGTCAACGCTGACACAACGTTTTGTGACTAGATGCTATCGCTAGGATATGTTGCGATGGTGTTTCCGTTGAAGCGAGTGACTACGAACTGCGACGCTAGGACGACCTCACCTAGAGACGGGGCATTACGACGCTGGCTCGGAAAATGAAGCGTGATGTGGGCAAGCGATGCCGTGAGCTGAAGAACTGTTCACCAGACTCGCTACGGTGTTTCAGTCAGACTCATTTCCGTTAAGAAAACTCAGGCACATACATACACCGATTTCGGTACAAATATGACTTCAGGAGGACCTACCATACAGGCATTGGCTACCTGACTATGTGCTGACACATAGCAAACCTTGGGTCTAATATATGCAAGCGTGGCACACACAAACCACAGCTCTCCTAGCCTTCACTCAGCTCGGAATAAGGTGATCTCCTGCTGCTTGAAGTATCGGCGATCCTCCTCGTCCACAAGCACTAAGTTAAGGAAGTACTTGACTGAAAATTTGTTGTTGATATTGCGGTAGGTGGGTGTTAGATCATATGGGCTGAGGAAGAGCCGGATGGGTATACACTCGCCTGTACACACAACAAAAGCATGAACGGGTAAAGGGAGGAAGAAGGGGCAGCATGCGTGAAGCAAGATGGACCGGTTGGAAATGGAGTGTAAAATAATTGTCCGAGAGAGGCTGCGAGAGATTACAATCTACAAGGTATTGAGAGAATTCAAAAGCAATTACAAGAACAATCCTGAAGACCCACCTCTTACTGGAGCTCCATCCATGACTTCATACTTGGCAAGAGTTTCGCTCTCATTGTAAGTATTCGGCCCTGAACCCGTTGATTCACGTCGCCTTATCTCCAGCTCCATGTGCTTTATCTTGATTCTAACCAGTAGAAAGTAGATTTTTCCTATTACTACATCCTTCAGGTGGTACCTGGTAAGTATTAAACACAAGAATCGCAAGTCAGATGGCTTGAACTGACAGTAACACCTGAAACAAAGGACCCCCAAACAATTACAAAGGCTTACTTCGATTTGTTGTACTCAAACTCGATGTGTAAACAGTCCTCAATGCCAACCTCCATCTGCACAAACACGAAGCAGGGGCTCCTAAGAGCTCAGGCTGAGTCGGGAGGGCTGCAACCCAAAGCACAAGTTTATGCCCACCTTGATTGTGTTGTTGATTTCTGGCTCTTTCAAGATATTCCGTACCTGCAGAGATTGCCATTAGCAAAAGGTCACAACAAGCCCTTTGCTAGAAGGAAAGATGAGTCTAGCAGCATCTCACATACCCAGAAGTCCTTCTCCTTGACAATGTTGGAAGAATAATTTCGACTGACAGTCACTCTCAGAATGTACCTGAACAATATGAAACACTAAGTGGCATAATCCAAACGTGCCGAGGAAATCCACGTGTGGCCACAAGCATTACAAGGTACGTGCCTCAGTCTAACGTTGACCCCGTTGTACGACTCATACTGCATCTCCACGTTTTGAAACTCAAAAGGGTAAATCTTCCTCTGGGATATCTCGCCAGGAATGTCGAGCTCTCTCACTGCAACAACCACGCTCCAGCAAATTCGTGTCAGTTTGCTATGAGAGACGGCCATCTCCGAATTTTTAACTTCCCAGATGGTACTCACCGAGAGAGGTAAAATCGTAGAAATTTCCGCGATCAAAGAAAAGCTCTGCGGAAGTACAAGTGAACCAAAAAATACCTCTGTAAAATACCAAAAAGGGAACCACACGTTTTACTGAAGCTAAAAGGGCACAGCACTGACCGATTTGGCCGATCAGCTCAATCTTGACTCCGGTGTGTTCGATTTTTTTCCCCGGCAAAGGCTCTATCCTCACCTGTCACATTACCCGAGTATCAGTTAGACATGTATGCCTAGTATCAGAACCAACCAGCCAAAAACGTATAGATTCGATTCTACCTCTCCCGCGACCGTGTCTTGGCCATGAAACAAGGGCACTAACTCTGTTTGGCCACTCTCCCGCTTAACGGATGCCTGCAGATACCCAAACATTAATAACGTTCAGATGACGGATCTGAGCTCCAATAAAAAAATTGGGGCAAGACTAACGCGCTGGAACCACCTACTTGTTTTCGCGTCTCTGCGTCTTCGAAATTTATAGCGATTGAGCACGGTGGACCAAGGCCAAAGAGGCCGGACTGCAGTAGTATGCTCTGCGCGGCCAAGAAACTAAGTCAGCACGTGGAAGTGACGCAAACACGTAACAACTTGACGAAACGTCACGAACCATTTAAAGTACTCTGTTGAAGAACCGCAGTCTGAATCGCTGTGTGTGACACTTCGGTACACCTGTTCGCTACGGTTCGTTGCGGGAGCACAGAAAGCCAATAGATCGAAGTAGCTAACTCGGCGAAAGACTAACACAAAAAGACCGGAGGTCGAGGCAACGGGCATCGGATGAAAGGTTCCAGGTCCTGGAACCGCACAAGTAGATGTAGTTGACTAGGCTAGACCTACGTAGTCCACTTAGGCTGTTGATGCAAAGCAATCGGAATGAATGCATGAGTAAAGAAGTGGATTTTTTGGGTTTTGGGCCATAGTCGAACTGACGTTAACGAAACTCAAATTGTTATATACACGTGTAGCGACCATGCAATAGCGTGGATATAGAGTTCACTGACCAGACCATCCCCTTCGCCGCACCCTTTCAATCTTGTCAATGCAAATCTCCCTATACCTGTTCCCTAGCTTCAGCAAAGCCGCACTTGCTTCGAGTGAGCCGCGCTAGACTCCGCATGCACGGCAATAGGTCTTCGTTGTCTGAAGGACATTCTAAGCACCCAGTGAATCTTTTTGGATGGAAGTGGTATGCGAAACTATCTGCAGTTTGCTTCTTGACCGGCGCTGCCATGGAAGCTTTCATGATCAAGACTGGTTTTTGTACGTTTATCTCCGCCCGCAGACTTCGGCCCGTCTAAAACCACGATATGCTTAGTTTTTTTCGTTTTCGCTTTGCAGATGACAAGGTGACCGCGATAGAGGCGCAGCGGCGGATAGAATTGCGAGAACGCAGTACGGTAATGCCTGGGCATATTTCCATCGTGCTGGATTATCACACTGTGAAAGGCCGTTGAATACTATTGGGGCCGATGCAGGACCAACCTAAGCACTGGAGTCAGACTTTGTGGCCTTCGGACGAGCAATCTAGCTCTAAGTAATATGATATAGAGGTACGGTCAATGCCGCAGATTCAATTTTCTTGGTGAACCAGACGTGCATCGTACCACCAACGGTTCCGCCATCACTCAATCAAAAGGGACCTTTGAGCTAAGCTGAAGCCAGCGCATGCTGCTTGTGCAGTGCTTGTACTTACTTTTCATTACGTTGTTCACTGCACCGTGGTCATAGCGTATGTTCTTATTCACTCCTCCCTCATCTGTCTTGCAGCTGTATCTGTAGCCCTGGTCCAATGGGCAACATGGTACGACGGTGCGTCAGCAGATTCAAGATGGTTTAGTTGCTATTCGTGCAAACGGTTGTCACAGCAAGCTTGTCTAAGCATTTTGGTGCCACCCCATAATAACACCATGTCCACGTAAGGTGCATGCTGATGTGGAAACAATTGCATAGAATAGAGAGTACAGATAACATACCGTAACCACTTGAAATTGTTGCAAGTAGAGGTAGGCAATACATGCTAACAAGGCCCACCTGCATTTCAGCTTGGGGGTGGAGGAGAGTGGACCATGGTAGTTGATTGCAGTGCATGTTTAATACCGAAATATAAATGGAAGCAATGGGAGTTGTCACGCTGTAGCGAATATTTCAACCTATCACTCCGTAACGAGATTACGTTCGCATCGTGGTTCGGCGAGAATTCGAATCATTCATCAACCACGCTTGGCATGGTGACGAATGGTCGCCATCGAGGCACGTGGCACGCTAAAGATTGTTGTTTGCTTTGTATGGGTGGTGCAGCAAACGTCAAGCAACTTGTACGACATCTCGAAAATATCTGATCAGATATTTCTCCACGCGCCGAGCCTTTGGCTCCACCTTACGGGCACACTCGGAAGGGCCTCTTCGTCGCCTCAAGACCACGTGTTGATTAATTTGGAAACCTTTCAAGCAAGCAAGCAAGAAATGCAAGCTTAGCAAGAAATGCTAACGCAAGCTTTTATGATGGCATCCCATTTTAGTGGGACGGATGTGCTCCTACTCTAACCCGCAATCTGACCAATTCAGGGGAGCTCGAAACCAGAAAAACAGGTACAAATTTTGGGCAACGCTACAAGACAAGATCAGGCTGACGTCCGGTCCACCCCGCATCTCTTCCTTCCTCTTTTCCCTGTGCTGCCTGCGAAATGCTCCGTTTTTGCGCGAATCCTGCGCCAAATTGCGCGACTTGCTCGCTCAACAGCTGTTTTCTATCTCCTCCCAATTCCTGTCTGCGTTTTCATCCCCTAACAATCCCACAGCATGGAGTTCTATTGCTGCTGGTGGTTGAATGCTGCTGTTCTGCCTTTCGCGAACATATGTTTTTTTCGCCGTCACGCTCAACCACCATGTCGATGTTCCACGTGAATGTGACGCCATGCTCGATCAACTTGCCAACTCACGGAATCTTTTTCTCGCATCTCGTTCAACTTCCTCTGGGCCTGGCTTGAGTACGCTCGACAAATGTCTGCGTCACTTGCTTTTTCTGTGTGCAAAGCATAAAGCACGCCTGGAAAAGATCTAGGCTGATTCATATTCATTCTTCGCTTTGCTGATATTTCTCCGGATCCCTAGCTTCTCAAACGTCTCCCATTACAAATCGTCGAGTCGAGTCTAGGCCGATACAGCCACTTTCATTCAGCCTCATCCAATAGTTCCCGGGACATTCTCCGCGTCTTCCTACATTTCACTTTCTTGAGATTCGCGCTCACAAGGATCTCAAATAGCGCGTCAGGCGTGCTGATTCGTTGATCGGTTTATCGCCACAGCTACTAGCGGTATGGACGCGCTCGGCAGGGACCCGATGGGGTGCGCCGATCGTGACGAGTCGATTGCTGCGATCGAACGGTCGATAGAGCAGCAAGTGCAACAGATCATGGCGCATAAGTAAGCTGTCGTAGCGCACGAAAGGCTCAATCATTCAGTCGAAGCTTCGACAATTTTACAATTTCGAGCAGTTCGTCGCAATTGACCGAAAGATAATATTCCCTCTCTCGTCCGTGCCCATGTCTCGCAGGATGCTCATGGCGACGACCGGCTCTGGCGACTCCAGCTCCGTGGACCCACCGCGCTGGCTTCCCGCCGCTCATGCCGACTCCGCTGCTCAAACGCCCTCACATTCGGCGCGTTGCTCCCAGCCGGCGCTGCTGTCAAGCGCGCCTGGCGTCGCCGCGTGTCACGGTGGAAGCGCGACGCGCTTATTCCACCCATGGGTGCCACGCGAGACCGCACATCACGGCGTGCAATTCGGTATCCGCGAACCGATGGTCGTCTGGTCTCCGTACAGCGCGCAGCTCTACATGCACCCTCCCGCCCTTCCCGCCCTTGCGCCGAACTTCCCCGGGATGGCCGCTCCTCCTCCGCTTCCCCCCCTTCGGCCCTGCCCCCCGCCTGTTCCGCAGCACTCCCCGCCGCTGTCGCAGTGGTCAGCGGGCCCCTCTACCGCTTCCGCCAAGTCCGCGCATGGCCCCACAGAGCACACGGGCGCATTGCTGGATACGCAGCCCGGCCATTGTGATGCCGGCGTGAATTGCGGCGAGAGAACAGGCGTGGTGATGCCAGCTCGTTGCGCGGCGCCAGAGCTCCTGAAGTCGCGCGTAGTAGCCCCTTCCGCCGCTAGCGCGGTGGCATGCGGAATGGCGCCGCCCTCGGAAGCAGGCGCCAATGACGCGGACCTATCGATGCGCTGCACGCCGACATGGGAAGCGGTGGCGGAGAGAATGAGCGCGCCGGCGGCGCAAGGGATGACGCAAGGGGTGGCGGAAGGAGGCCTGCTGGGGGAAGGCGACGACATCAGCGCGTGGTTGAGCCGCCTCGTGGGCGGCACGGCTGGCCCTGGCCTGCCGGATGCACCGACGATGGAGCTCACGCAATTACAAGGAAATGAGGCGACGCGTGGCCACGCGATGCTGACGTCAGCTGGAGTCGCGTCATGTGGCAGTGGCACCGCAGCAAGTGCGGGACGTGGCACCGCGTACAGTCACAACGGCGTGCGTGGTGATGTGACGCGCTGCGATAACGTGCCATTCAACAACCCCATGCCCTGTAACAGTCTCGGCGCCATGCCTGCTGCACCCGCACCTGCCTACATCTCAGCGCGCGCTCTCCCCTCCGCGCAGCGACATCCCGCCCCTGCTCCTCCTGCTACGCAAACGGGAGGAGGGGCTATGGGGGAGCAGAGAGGGGAGTGGGGGAGGCGAGGGGTGGGAGAGGAGGAGAGCGATGAGGGTGGGGGGGTGGAGGAGGAGAGATGCATGGAGGGCATGACAGTAGAGCAGATTCTGCAGGAGAGGCGAAAGCGCAGGTGAGAAACTTAGCATGCTTTCCAATGTAGCTCGGTAAGGATCCTCCACTGTTGTAGTCTGCACGTTGGCCTTGTACTGTGTCTTTGCTTTTGTTTGCAATTTTTGCCCGTGGCTCATAATTTTTCTCCCTTGCTGCCATGCAGGATGGTCTCTAATCGCCTGTCGGCCAAACGAAGCCGTCAACGCCGACAGCAACTGCTATCACATCTTGAATCCGATGTAAGGAGTATGTTGGTAGATGGTGTTTTGACATACTGTCAGCTGTACTTCTGATGCCTCTGTGATTGTGTACACACACCATGGTAAGCAGAATCTCTCACTCGCTATCTTCCTCCCATCCGTTTTATCTTGTGCAATGTGCAGGCTACCAAGCTAAAGGCGGAGCGGGAGCAGTTGAGGTCAAAGCTTGCACATGCTGCAAACAGGCTCACACAGCTGCAAGAGCGGCAGAAGAAGCTGGAGCACGAGAGGGATACAATAAAAGCAGAGATAGAGGCAGGCAGGAAGAAGATGAACAATGCACGCAGGACATAGAAGCATGTGTTCTGTAGAGTTTTCTTGTATTCTTTCTTATGTAGGAAGTGTAGGAGAAAGCACTTGAGTGGAGTTATTTCATTAAGAGTGTTTGTTTGGGAAATGTACGGCAAGCAGAAATGACTTACAGCACCTCTTGTGAATTAGATTCGACATTTTTGCGACCCACCTAGAATCCTCGCGCATTTCGTTGGCCTGATCCCCCTTATACCGCCAAGGTGGTTCTGTACAACGAGGAATTCCGCGTCTCCCTGCCTTGTTCCCCCGTGTGAATCGCCGCCATGGCCGCCACAGAGGCCGACGAGCGGCTGTTAGAGGACGAGCTCGAGGCGCAGCTGGCCGCGCAGCGCGCCACGCTGGCGGAAGTGGACGCGCTTCTCCAGGCGGAACCCTCCCCGGAGATCGCGGAGGTGCGCGGAGAGCTCGCGGAGGCGGTGGCCGCGAGCGAGGCGAGTCTGCTGCAGCTGAAGCGGCAGCGGCTGTTGCGCCACGTGGACAGACTGGCGGAGGGGCTTTCGGCGGAAGGGGCCGCGCGCGGCGCAGCTGGAGAAGATCGACGGGCAGAAGCGGCCAGCGCGGACGGGACGGATATGGGCGGAAGGAACGGAGGGGAAGGGCGCGCGGAAGGCGGAGGGGGGGAAGAGCCAAAGAGGAGTGAAGGGGAGGAGGGGAACGAGAGGAAAAGGGGAGAGTGCGGGGTGAGTGTGGGGCAGCGGTGTCTGTTCCGCCACGTGGACGGCAGGTGGTATGCGGGGGAGGTGCTTGCGCTCGAAGGGGCGGAGGACGAGCGGGGGGATGGGGAGGGCGGAGCAGAAAAGGTTGCTGGCAATGGGGAAGGGGAGTGTGGGGGAGACATTGGGAGGGCGGAAGGAGAAGAGAGGGGGAGTGAGGGCGCGGGTGCAGGCGAGGGAGGCGCGGATGGGGAGGGTGGCGGGGAGGAGAGAGTGGGGTTGGGGTACGTCTCAGGGACAGGTGAAGAGGTTCGAGGGAAACAGGCGGAGTGGGAGGGGAGGGGGGAGGAAGGAAGAGAGGGGGACGGGCGGGGGAGAAGGGGGGGAAGGAGCAGCAGGCGGGGAGGGCGGCGACTGGTGCGCGTGGGGTTCCTGTACCCCACAACCCGTGCGCACCAGCTGTGCCGCTTCTTCCTCTCGCGCACCTGTCACTTCCACCATCGCTGCCGCCACTCCCACGGCCGCCTCCTCCCCCTTTCCTCCCTCCGCGCCCTCCCCCCTCCCCCCTGCCCGCTCTCCCTCCCCCCCGGTTCCTCCGTCCTCGCCTCGTCCCCCCCGCCCCCACTGACCCACGCCCTCACCCGCCTCTGGGAGCAAGCAGAGCTCCAATCACATCACGCCACGTGTCCGGGAGCATCAGCAACATCGGCACCACAGGCATCAACAGCCGTGCACCTACCGACATGCGCCTGCACATGCACAGTCACTCTCGTGCGCGACGGCTCTTCCTCCTCCCTGCCCCTCTCCTGCCTCGTTTCCCTCTCCTTCCTCCACTCCCTCCCGCATGCCGCTGAGACCGCTCCTCCGTTGGTCCCGGGGTCGGTGGGGGACAGCCGTGGCTCTGGTAGTGACAGCAGTAGCACTGGCAGTGGCAGCAGCAGCAGTGAGGAGAGTGCCGAGGGGTATGAGTCTGATGACGAGAATGATGGTGGTGCTGGTGGTGATAATCCATCCGCCGTGTCCCCTTTTGCTGCTGCAGCATCGCTCGCTGCCTCCCTGCAGCACGCGCACGCAGCAGCAGCAGCGGGCCCTCAGAGCGAGACAGTGGCGTTTGCAGCGTGGGAGCAGCACACACGCGGTGTGGCATCGCGGCTCATGGCGCGCATGGGCTTCCAACGCGGTGCCGGGCTCGGCAGGGACGGTGGGGGCATCACCTCCCCTGTTGCCGTGCGGGCAGGGGGAGAGAGGCGAGGGGCGAAGGGCGGTGCGGTGGGTGGTGCTGGGTTGGGGGCGGAAGAGGAGGGTAAGGGTGGGGCGAGGGATGGGAGTGGGGGTGGTGGGGGGGAGGGGAAGAAGAGGAAGAAGAGTCGGGGAGGGGAGCGGGCAAGGAACAGGAAGAGAATAGCGGCTGAGAGAGAGGTGGCAGCAGCAGCAGCGGAGGAAGAGGGGGGTGGGGGGAGAGGAGACGTGTTTGATTTTATTAACGTGCACTTGGGCGACAGAGAGAGTGGCGAGGGTGATGGGGCAGGGAGAGTGCATAGAGGAGGGAATGGGAGGGTGTGGGAGAGTGAGTGTGCTGGGGGCGGTGTCAGCCAGAGCGAGACGATGGGAGGAGTGGGCCGGGGAGGAGTGCGAGGGGCCAAGGCACCAGGGGCGGCAACAGCTGCTGGAGCTATGCCAGGGGCAGGAGGGAAGGGGCGGGAGGAGGAGCGGCGGGAGCTGATGCAGCAGGAGGAGAGGGTGAGGGAGGTGCGGGCGCGTGTGGCGCGGTACGAGGAGATGGCTCAGCGCCATGCACGCGACAAGGTGACGCTGGCTGCCGTCCACCGCAAGCTGGCTGCCGCCCGCGAGGAGCTCAGGCGCGTGCAGGGGGGGTGGGACTCGGCACACTCTAGTGCAGCCCAGAAGGAGGCCCTGCGGAAATGGACCAAGTTCTAGCGCCGCTGGGATAGCAGCTGTTTGTGTTGTTTGTGCACCCTCTTGTATTCCTGTCTGTTGTAGAATTTGTTTACAAATCTTCCCATTAGCTGCCCAGTAATCCTTGGCATATTGCTACACAAAACACAAGCGCGTGCCTAAACGACTGGCAACAAGACATCCCCAAGCCACAGCGAGCGCCATCCAGCTCAGGTCAGAGCAGCACGCGGCCGGTGAGGCGGGGGAAGGGGTCCTGCTTGCTGAGCACAACAACCTTGCTCTTGTGCGAGAGGTACCCCTTGACAAACCCCAGCGCTATGAGCGTGGCCACCAGCCCCTCCAGCTCGTCCACATCCACCGCCACGCCCCGCCATGCCAGCGCCCGCGCCACCACCTCCAGCCGCACCTGGTGCGCCCGCGCCGGGTCCTTGGCTCTCTGCAGCACGTGGCTGGGCAGAGGGCGGGGGAGGGCGGGAGAGAGGGGGACGAGGTTGGTGGTGAGAGGAGCGAGGTTGTGATGAGGATGGCAGATGTGGTGGGGTGATGAATGGGATATGGCTGGGCATGACGGCATGAGAAGGACAGGAGGGTGTGATGACATGGCATGTGCAGCACGGCAGGTGCAGCATGGCATGTGCAACATCTCATGGCATGGCATGTGCGTGTTACATCTTTCTGATGAGGCGGCGGTACACATGCAGCTCCAGCTTCTCCAGCAGTAGATACACCCCCGCCCGCAGGAACCTGCACACCCACATGGCAGCCAGAGCGCGTGGGCGACAGTGGTGAGCACAGGCGAGGTGCAGCGAGTATCACAAGGCAGTGGTGGTCCATGTGTGCGACAGCCATGAGGAATCACAAGGGGAGAGAGGGGTTATGGCGTGGGTGGGGGCATGTGCAGGAAGAGGGAGGGAAGGTTGAGAGAAGTGAGACGAATGGAAATGCAGGGCAGAGCTTGGCAGGGCACGACGCACCTGTCCTCATTGGCACTGAGTGTGTCCCTCAGCAACCGCACGTCGCCTCTTCGCATGGCCTGCACTATGCCCTCATACTGTCCCCATACCATGCCATGCCAGGCCATGCCATGCCATGCCATGCCAGGCCATGCCATGCCATGCCATGCCATGCCATGCCATGCCATGCCATGCCATGCCATGCCATGCCATGCCATGCCATGCCATGCCATGCCATGCCAGGCCATGCCATGCCATGCCATGCCATGCCCATGCCAGGCCATGCCATGGCAGGCCATGCCATGCCCATGCCCATGCCATGCCATGCCATGCCATGCCATGCCATGCCATGCCATGCCACGCCATGCCATGCCATGCCATGCCAGGCCATGCCATGCCATGCCATGCCATGCCATGCCATGCCATGCCATGCCAGGCCATGCCATGCCATGCCAAGGACAGGAATACAGAGTGATACGGCCGGGAAGGTAACGGGAAGCATGGGCAGGGCAAGCACAGGGGCATGCAGGCGGAGGGAGTCGGCGAAACGAGCAGCAGCAGCGAGAGAAGAGCAAATGATAGCAGAGCAGAGCGTGCTACGATGCTCTGGTCACCATGCTCTGGTCACGATGCTCTGGTCACGATGCTCTGGTCACGATGCTCTGGTCACGATGCTCTGGTCACGATGCTCTGGTCACGATGCTCTGGTCACGATGCTCTGGTCACGATGCTATGAGACGGAGGGAGGTTTGAGGGGGGAGGGGTGGCGGGAAGGGGAGCACCTCTTGCAGGTGGTGGTTGCGCAGCAGTGCGGGCGAGGGCAGGTGGCCCAGTGACAGGCGCACTGGAATGAGATAGCGCAGTATGCGCCTGCGTGAAGAGGGTGCGGGAGGGAAGGTGTCAGGGAACTGGTGGGCAACGAGTGGAGGGAACATGAAGGGCTGACGAACGACTGGGTGATGGGAAGTGTGGATGCAGGGTGATGGAAGGTGCGTGCACAGATTCAAGAGCGATGGGGAATGGTGGGGTGGTGAAGGAAGAAGCACGGTGCAGATGCAGTGGAGTGGAGCTGGAGGGGTGACGATGGAGGAGCGAGGAGAGAGATGGGATAAGGGAGTGGAGGAGGGAAGTAAAAGAATAGGGGGAGAGCGCATTGCACACCGTATGTTGAATGGTTTGGAGCGATGGCAGCGCCTCAAGGCAAAGCCAAGCTTCTCATCTGCCTGCGCGCACATAGCACAGGTTGTGGTAGTTGGGATGGCATGGATGGTGGGGGTGGCAGAGCAAGCAGGTATGGGTGGTGATATTAGCAGAGGAGACAGGCATGGGTTCGTGTATGGGCGGGGCAAGTGGTGGGAGAATGATGAGGCGTAATGTGCAAGAACGGGTGGATGGAGATGAGAAGGCGCGGGCACATACGAGCAGGAAGGCATCGTTGAAGACGTCCAGGCGCCCTGTGTAGTACTTGTAGGTCACCTGCGCGTACGTGGGGAGGGGGAGTGCACGTTGGGAGTGCATGGGCGGAGAGACACAGCAGGGAGGAGCGAGTGCAGGACAAGGGGCGAGAGTGGACGCATGGATGAGGGTTGGGAGGACGTGAGTTGCCAACAGGGGATGCAGTGGGGAACCTGATGGGGAACCTGATGGGGAACCTGATGGGGAACCTGATGGGGAACCTGATGGCGAACCTGATGGCGAACCTGATGGGGAACCTGATGGGGAACCTGATGGGGAACCTGATGGGGAACCTGATGGGGAACCTGATGGGGGACGAACCCGATCGGGGACGAACCTGATGGGGGACGAACCTGATGGGGACGAACCTGATGGGGACGAACCTGATGGGGACGAACCTGATGGGGACGAACCTGATGGGGACGAACCTGATGGGGACGAACCCGATCGGGGACGAACCCGATCGGGGACGAACCTGATCGGGGACGAACCTGATCGGGGACGAACCTGATCGGGGACGAACCTGATGGGGAACCTGATGGGGAACCTGATGGGGAACCTGATGGGGAACCTGATGGGGAACCTGATGGGGAACCTGATGGGAAAGTTGGTCACACGTGTTCTCACCTGGTCACATCTGGTCACATCTGGTCTCACCTGGTCACCTGGTCTCACCTGGTCTCACCTGGTCTCACCTGGTCTCTGGCTGGGTAGTCATCGAATCCCTTGGAGGAGTCAATGACACGGATGATGCTCTTGCTCAGGTTCAACGTGCCCAGCTGGTGCACACATGCACATAAATGCACACACACGCACATGCACATGCACACGCACATGCACATGCACACATGGAAATGTGCACACAGACGCACACATGCATGCACGTACACACTCACTCGCTCCATACATGTGCACACACACCCGCACACACAGAAGCACATGCACACAGAGGGAAGGGAAGGTTGTGGCACGGCGCACTGAGCAGTAATGGGAGGACAAATAGAGCACATGCGAGATTATGAGGGGTCAGGGTAGACAAAGAGGGAGGGATGGAGGAAAGCTGAGAGGCGAGAAGGAGTGAGAGGGAGTGAGAGGGAGCAAGAGGGAGCGAGAGGGAGAGAGAGGAAGTGAGAGGGGGGAGTGAGAGAGAGTGAGAGGGAGTGAGAGGGAGTGAGAGGGAGTGAGAGGGAGTGAGAGGGAGTGAGAGGGAGTGAGAGGGAGTGAGAGGGAGTGAGAGGGAGTGAGAGGGAGTCACCTTGAAGTAGATCTTGAAGAGTTGACACGCCACGTAGAGCGACCCCACCTTCTTAGGTCCCTTGCCCTGCCGTGCCACGGAGGGGGGGGGAGAAGCGGCGGGTCAGGAAAGAGAAAGAGCAAAAACTCCCAGGTCTACCATCTCTCTTCAATGCCACTGTGACTCACGAGAGGACACACTCTCAGCAGCGACTCGACTCACAGCGATGGCGCCGAAGACCTTCATGAGGAACGACGCTGCTGCCTTGAGCTTATCCGGTGACTTGCCCGCTGCCCTCAACTCCATGTCCGCCTGCTTCCCTGCCATGCCACACCATGCATGCCATGCCGCGCCATGCATGCCATGCCGCGCCGTGCTACACCATGCCACAGCATGCCATGCCGCGCCGTACCACACCATACAATGCCATACCATACCATGCCATGCCATACCATGCCATGCCATGCCATGCCATCACCATGCAAAGGCAGGCAGAGTTACGCCAGCATGTCATCCAGCCATGGCTGCCTAGCAGCAACCAGCCCCAGAGAAAAAGCACATTGCTATAAGCGCTACCCCCCCATCACCCCCATCACCCCCCCTCCTCCCCCTCGCCCCCTATCAGCGGCGCGCCTGACCTTCTCTGCCAGCACGCGCAGGTCGTGCACCACTGCATGCAGCGGAGGCAGCGCCCATGTGCCCTCCCAGTTGCGCAACACCGGTAGAAACAGACTGGCGCATGCGGGGGGGTGGGGAAGGGGAGAAACGGCGGGGAGACAGGGCGATGTGACGAGCAGAGGGGAGGCGAAAGGTGCGGAGACGAGAAGAGATAGGTGGCGCAGGACGCATTGCACAAAAGCTACGGGGTATGCATGGCGGTCATGAATCAACTGCAGGGAGCAGGTACGTGAGTAGCACACGGCCACTGACGATGCATTACTTCGCGGCCTGCAGCATCTCCCCGAACGCGTCTGTGAAATGGTGCCGTTGGATGGCGGCCATGGCCTGCATCAACGGCAGCAGCATCTCGCCCAGCCTCTCCGGCACTCGGTTGAGCAAACGCGCCATGTCCTGCGGAGGACGCGCGTGACGGGGGACCGCGCAAGGGAAGGTGCGACGATTAGCCATGGCGGGTTTGGAAAACGGGGGACGAGCGTAATTGTTCTTAGAGAACGAAGGTGTCTAGGCGCCTCGACGCGTACCCGCACGTGGTCGAGCCCACTGGCGACGGCTTCAGGGTAGCCTGGCCGGAACACCCTCAACAACGCAGCCAACGCCTCGCCGTCCTTCGCGTCTATCGCGCGGCTCACCGCCGCTACGTACTCCTGCACGCCGCGCGCAGCCATTGCGCGTGATGCGTAAACTACAGTTCTCTACGCGCAATAGACCCGAATGAAGCTGCTGCGTGCCTGAGCGATCGAGAGGAGTGCGTCGAACGCTTCGTTCATGACATTCTGGAGCAGGAAAGGTGGTGCTTGAAGTCTTCGCGAGTGATTAGCTCGACAGTTGCCAACTCAGAGACTAGCTGATTCACACTTCGATAGTTTTCGCTTGGAAAGTGCTGTACGCGGGTAAGTGAATTGTGGGTGAACTGCCAATTTTGCGGGGCTTTTGCGGAGCCTGCCACAGCGGGGATGGATGAAAGGTTCAAACCAGACGGAGATGGAGATCCCAAGGCAAAGATGGGGATGTACGGTGATGCCAATTTGAATTACTAATACGGAAGGAGCAATGCTCGTTGCCACCAGTCTCGCTTCGCAGAACACAACTCTCGTCCATTTAGTCCGTGAGGCCGTGCATCGAGTAGCACCCCATCGCTCTGCGTTCTCGAATATCTCCATTCCCAAAACACGCGTCGGTCAAGCGAAGGCGGGGGAGTCGTGGTTCAATTGGACCTTCGACCTTTTGCTCCTGATGGGCGAATATTCAACACCATCGTATGGGGACGCGCCTTACTGGGATGCACGATATGAGAAGGAGGGCCCTGAAAAGACGTTCGATTGGTACCAACAGTACACAGCCTTGGCTCCCATATTTGATATTTACATGGACAAAGCGTCCAAGGTGCTCATGGTGGGATGCGGCAATGCAGGTCAGTTCCTCTTCAGTTCCATATGCATGCTCGGGATCGAGCCGCGCTGTCGTGTTACCGACTGACGGAGACTGCACGAAGCTTGCCGATTTCCTTTGTGGAGCAGTTCTGTCAGAGGATATGGTCCAGAATGGATACCAAGACATCTGGAACATTGACATCTCCTCGGTGAGTTCCTCAACATGACAGTCTTACCTACCTAGCACGCTTTCGGAGATGATATTGGCTTTCCCAACGCCGAATCTGGCATGTCGATTGCAACTTTGCAGGTAGTGGTGGACTTCATGAAGAAGAGGAACTCTGATATCCCGCAGCTAAAATGTCAGTTGGTCTAGCACTCTGTTATCTGGTACTATGTACTCCATCACTTGCAGTTGTACTCTCTGTCTCTCTGTTCGGAAGATGATCCTGACAGGTCCCACTTGCTCCAGATGACACGATGAATGTTTGCTCCATGGGGTTTGACGAGTCTGCTTTTGATGTGGTTCTTGACAAAGGTAAGGCTGGAGCTTGAACTTCCAACATTGTTCTCTTTTTCCTGGTTTGCTCATAGTGCGCCAAGCCCCTTTCCATGGCTAACTGTGCCCTTGTCTTGCAGGGACACTGGATGCCATCCTGGTCAGCACCTTCCCTGACCCTGTGCCTTTGTCATTTCAATCTCTTACCTTACCTCACATCCTTGTTTCTCGTTAACTGAAACTGTTCGCAGTGTGGTAACAATTCAGTGGAAAATGCATCTGCGATGTTAAGTGAAGTCTGCAGGTGCGCAAAATATGACACCAGGGCACAGTCTAGTTGTGCGCTTCACAGTATGTCTGATAACATTGTGGCTTATTCTGTTGCAGAGTGTTGAAACCAGGTGGCAAGTTTCTTCTGGTAAGGTGCTTATGAGTTTTGAGGTATCAAGACTTCCTTTTGGTTTTGTGTGTTACCTCTCCTCTCACGTAGGATTTCATGTCCGATGCAGATTACATACGGTGATCCGCAAGTACGCTTGTCGCACCTGCGAGTTGACACGCTGAAATGGACCGTCAAAGTTCATGCCTTGCGTAAGAGTGTTTTGCTGTGTTGCCCTCAGCTGGCTAAGAATAGTAGCCTTACCCGACTCTACTGATTCAAAATGAATCTTACCTGTACGTTTCCGCTTCCGCAGCGAGGCCTGGAGCAAGTGCAGAGGTATGCCCGCCGTGGTCCCTAGTGCCTATGAAATTTCGCAGCAACGGCCAAATGGTCCCAAATGGCGAAGACTTGGAGGGTGGGAATGTGCACTATATTTATGTCTGCACCAAGGTGAGCTCCGCTTCCTAATCATCAATATTGCCAAGTTACACTACTGTGCTCTAAGCTCTCTCTTTGCCATGTTTTGCAGGATGCTTAGTAGCAATACCCAGTTTTAAAGGAGACTGATTTGCGTGGTAACTTGCACAACAGAACAGCCCAGGCGAATAGCGGTTGTGAGGACGTTTTCCCACTGGATTTGTTACCATTTAACGAGCAAGAATCTAGCTTAAAAGTTTAGACCAATAATGTGCCTAAGAAGCATTTGGATCTTATTGAGCTGTTTGGTTGGCAATCTTATGCACGGTGGGAACTGAGGAAACGGATCTGTCTATTGTCGCGTATTTATGCTGTCAACGTGTCACGTCCTTAGATAGTCCCAGATTACGTGGCTGGACCTTCCCCTACCGTGAGGGATGCTCCGTCACTCCCTCATCCCCAATAGCCCCATTCCAAATCACATTTCAATCGCGACAGCTTTTGGCCCAAGTCCCAATTTCCAGTTTGCTTCTCAGGGCTTATCAGCTTCGCCCTAGTCACCTCACCGAGCAATTGTTGGTCACTCGGTGGATTGTATCATGGCGTCTTTTGCAACAACCACCTCGACACCCGCTATGACGCAGATTAGAGCTGCATTTTTCCAAAATACGACGCTTTCGGCTCCCCGTTTTAGTCTTTTGCGATCCGGGTCAGTTGCGCGCCATTCTTCAATACGGCCAGTCATGTGCTCGCTGACGAACGACACTCGGCCAGTAGCCATAAGACATGCCGTTTCTTGTCGACCCGTTCCCGTTTCATCCACTAACATGATGCGCGAAGCTGATGACACCTTAAGCTCGCTTCCGTTCATGATCTCTGCGCCGTTTCTGCTGCAATGCCTGACCGCGTTCCCCGCGTTGGCTGAGGAGTTTTCGTCGTCGTATTCTCCAGAAAGCTACTACGCATCCCTCGGTCTCTTCATAATCTCCATACCTGGCCTTTATTCGCTCATCAAACGCGCTACGAAATCCAAGGTTGACCGACTCTTTTCTAAGTCCCCTCCACCAATACCAATGCCAGTTGCCGACTGCATCAGGAGATGACGAATCAGTGTCGCGTGCTTCGCTTGGCAGATTGTGCGAAAGACGTTTGAGGTGCCGGGTCCTGCGGAGCCTGGCGCGAAACCCCTGGCGGTCTTGGCTGGTGAGTTGACGGCGTTCCTCCAACGCAACAACTACAAGGTCATCGACATGAAGGATACCGTCACGTAAGTTCTCACTACTTCCACTCGTAGGCGTGCTGTGTATGAAAATGCTGTGCAATGTGATGCAGAATGCTTGTAAATTACCAGCTTGTTGTCCAAAATGAGTTTGAGTTACCTCACCAACCAACATGTGCAATAGCTCAGAACAACAAGTATACAAATACATGAATATGTTCAGCACAACCATTCACGGAATTGAACAGGTTGATTCTCGTTATCAAACAGTATCGTGTATGCTCGTCTTCCATGCTCGTTTTGTCACCCTGCTTGGCTATTGTGAGGAGTGCGAATTCAATGTGCTTTGTTAAGTAGTTTCTTCTCCCCGGTGCTCCACTCAAATATTTAAACCACAAAAACTGCAGATTTGAGGGGAAATTGGAGCCTAGCCGCAGCCAGGCAGCCTTTCTTGTGTTCTGCACAGCTCTGAGCCTTGCAAGTGTGGCTCTGGTGCTCACCATTACAAACCCGGAGATTGGTGAATGGTGGTATTCTCTAATCGGCATCTCACCCCTTGCGTAAGCACCCTCTCCTCTTGTTGCCCCTACCTAACCAAGCTCTTCTGCCATCAGCTTCTGTTTGTAATGTACATACCCACCGCCTTTCTACAGTTTTGGCGCGCAGCCTCTGCTTGTTTGATATTCATTGCGGTTTCTGTTTTTCCTTTGGTGTGACTGACTGCAGAGGTGTTTACTACTGGACAAAATCTAGTCGCACGGAGCAGATGCAAGTTAAGATGGTGACTTCAGATGATGAAAAGACGACCGACATTACGTTTCAAGGGGATGATGAAATTATTGACAGGTTGCGACGGGAACTGCAGCTCATGGAGAAAGGAGCGATATATGTGAAGGGAATCTTTGAAATGTAGGCGTGCATATTACCATAAAACATCTTTTCTCTGTTTGAGGGAGTCTTTTTAGTGGGTGAATTGACCATAGATGTTTTAGTGCATGGATATTGTATGTTAGTTGTTTTACATTCACTGAAGCATATATTTCAGTCTTAGCAAGGTTTGCACAATGTTGCGTATTGATGTCCTCCCAAAAAAAGCTAGTAGGATCTGTATAGAGGTTTCGATATGGAACAAGATTTAACCAAGCTTTTGGTAAATTACGTAAATTTTCTACAGAACCACCTTCTGGAATAACTTCATTTACTTGTATTGCTTCTAGCTTCACTCACCCCACCGCGAATCTCGCTGTTGAATATTCTCGTGCATCATAAACCTAACTCCTAGTAGAGAGGAGATGGAGAAAGAAAGAGAATCTCGCGAGATTGACACCAGCTTCTAAAGTTATAAACCTCTTTCAAAGTTTGCCGTATCCTGATGAAAGCAAATCCGTCGGCGTGCATTGCGTAGGAAATAATCGAGCATTGCTGAACAAGGCGTTGCCTTATTGCCGTGATCGCACTCTCTAGAGCAGCCCATTGACCCTTGTTGCCCTACCCTTCTCAGCGCCTCAGGCAGACTTTTCTCGCGAAGCTAGTGTAGCGATTAAAAGGAATGGCAAAGGAAGCCTCGAACGCGGCAGTGGCACTTCCGGATAAGCTCGATTCCAGCAAGCTTGTAGCAGAGACGGTCGATGGCGTGGCGGGGGAAATCCCTGTTATCGCGTACACGGAGAAGGTCGGCTTCTCACTGCCTCGTTTGATGCGTTTTGCTCCCGAGTGCTTCCTGACATTCGGCTCATTCCCCCATCCCACATGCAGGTCTTGGCAGAGAAAGAAGCGAACCTAAGAAAGTAAGCATCCATTCCTTCCCAGCCGTCTGCACTATCCCTCCGTTCATTCTGAGCCTCTTTTCATGGCCCCTAGAGACCCTGCTCGTGGTGGCTCTCATGCTAATATCCGCTCGTGCGTGTTTGGTGACGGCGGGGGCCTATCAGGATCATCCAGGACAACTACGCGAAGATCCAGGCGGTGGAGAAGGAGCTGGAGGCGCTGCACCTGGAGGTGAAGCTGACGTCGGGCGCCAAGAAGGCCGGCATGGAGCTGCTAAGGCAGAAGATCGAACAGAGCACCGAGAAGGCCAGACTGCTGCGCAAGAAGGAGGAGCAGGCCAAGAAGGTGGGGTGGGGGAGTTGGCTGTGAGTGGATTGGGTAGGGGATGCAGCTGGTAGAGGAACCGCCAATCTGTTTCTCACAGTATGTTTCAGTGTTCGGGAAAGTACTAGCCAGTTGATTCTCAAGTTTTGGCCTGTGGGTGCATGCAGGTATGGGAGGCAGCAGCAAAGTTGGTGGAGGAAGAGGAGCAGAGGAAGCAGCAGCTGTGTGATGACCTCCGGATGATGGTAAGGCCCCTTGGCCTCTTGGTCCATCAATGCAATCAAAGCAACTCCCGCTGGAATCAGCCTGCTTGTCCTTATTCTCCCACCTGCATCGCCCGTGCTGCATCCATTGTCGCAATGTGCCGCCGCCCCTGCCACCCTCGTGCATGCATCACATACCAGGTGCAGCAGAACGCCCTGCAGCAGTATGAGCGGCTGGAGGCACTAACACACAAGCTGGACGCACTCAACCCCGAGATGAGGGGCCCCGCACTGGAGGCCATCCAGGGCCTGCGCGCCAAGATCGCCCCCCACGGCGTCCTTCCCGTCTATGTGAGCCGCTCCGCCCTTCTCGTGTCTTCCTTCTCCCATCACCGTTGTTCTCTACCCTCCATGTGCATGCCGATCTGCTTTCTGCTCGTCGTTGCTTATAATGTAGATATTGAATGATGTGTTCCCTGGTGTTGTTTGTTCATATCTGCAGACATCGAATGCTGATCCAGCAGCGCAAGGCAGGGAAGCACCTGCGTCTGCCCAGGGCACATGCGCCCCATTAGCCGACCCTGCGGACGCCACCAGCAGCACAGCGCCCGCGTCAACGGCAGATGCTCCTGCCACCACCCCCAAAGCCCAGGGGAAAGAGGGGGACGCGCAGAGCCAAGGGCAGGAAGGTAGCTCTGGGACCACAGCAGCAGCAGCAGCAGCAGCAAATGGCAGTAAAGGAGCGGATGGAAGCGGAGCACCAGCAGCACGGCTGTCCATAAGCCGTGGGAGAGGCAGGGGGCGGGGGAGGGGGTTGATTGCCAAGGGGGGAAACAAGGCGGGAGGGGATGGGCAGTGGACGGGTGCAGGGTTTGATGTGGAGGATGAGAGCTTTGCGTGACTGCACTGCCATGGCAAGCATGTTGACACGCTCTCAATAAATTTATTCCCCTTTCACAACTTGCAGGGAACAGGCTCCTAATACAGTACAACGGTATGGGCTGGTCATATACACATGATAGCAGGTGCAGAAACCATGTGGTTCTGCAAAATTTTCTTGGGTCCAGTGACCAGCAGGCGTTAAGTCAATCAATGCGCTTGAGGCGGGCATCAAGGTGCTTCTGCATGGGCTGGGAGGTGGTCTCCATATCCACAGTGTACGCCAACACGCCCTCGCCCTCCAGCTTAAAGTGCCTCACTATGCGCCGCACCTGCCCTCCGTCATACGTGCATGAGGGGAGGCGTGGGATGAGGAGGCAGGATGGTGAGAAGGGGGTCATGGGCATAGCAGACGTGGAGGAAGGAGGTGAGGTTGACGAATGACTGACGGGGATGGAGAAGCGAGATTGATGCGGAAGGGTAGAAATACGTGGGCGAGAGTGAACAAGACATTGGGGTGTTGTGGTGGAGATCGATGGGGATGGGTGAAGAAGAGGCAGCGGCGGTGTGCACCTTGGTGGCGTTGCCAACGAGCTCGCTCTCCACGTCAATCGTCTTGGCCTCCGCGTCATACCTGCCCTTCTGCTCGTGATCAAGGGTGGCGTTAGGACGAAGGGATGTTAGGGAAGCGCGGCATTAGGAGGAAAAGATGGACAAATTCCAGTAGCGAACCGCCGATTGTTTTTCAGACAGTGGTAATCAGGAGAGCGACCAAAGCGGGGGCTTGAAACCTGGCAGCAAAGCAGCAGCCCACCTGCACTTCAGCAAGCCCTGTGCTCTGAGCAATCACGATCTCCAGCGTGCCGTCCGGCTTGGGCCGCCAGAACCCGCTCTCCGCGTGCATCGGCTCGCCCGACTCCGCGCGCCACGTCTTCTGCGCGTACGCCATCGCAGGCTGCAGCGGGAGACGCGGAAGGGGTGCGCGGAGCGGGGGAGGCGCGAAGCTCAGATGCGAATATTAAGGCATAGGGTGCTGGGAGGTATGGGCGCGATAGCACGACACGTCATTGAGCTAAGCGGGTGGTGCGTGCGGCAACATACGACGGGTGTTCACCTTGCCGGCATGCGTGAGGGTGATTTCCTCCACGTATCTAAACGAGTTGATGGTCGGGTAACCGCCCTCGCCCTCGCCACGCCATCGACCCAGCATGAACGCGATCGGCTCCAGCGCCGGGTGCAGTGGCGGCGGGCCGCCTGCCATTGCACGAGAACGTTAAGCTCGGATGGCGGCGGTAAGTGCGGCGCGCGTTGCAACAGGAATGGGCGCGCAAATGGTGCGGATGGGGGGAGATGGATGATGGTGGCTGGGGAATGTTGCGAGCGCGGAGCAAAATGGAAAATGGGATTTGTGCGAAACTTGCGAAATTGGATACGCAAAGATGCTTGAGTTTCGTCAACTAAGCCGACAATGACCTCGCTCACACCCACGTGGCAAGTCCAGCGCATTTACAGATGTCGGAGCTGCCAAATCGTCACGGTCCACCGTCAACACAGCCAGTCCCCGTGACTGGGATCCTCACTCATTTCCACTAACATTGGGTTGGTCGAGTCGCGGCAATTTTGAGACTGCTACGATATGCACTCACTACACCATCTTGCCCAGACACATAAATTCCTCAGATTCGTCCATAGAAAGTTGCAAGCTTCCCAGCACTCACGAATCCACTTCCATGGCTTCCACAGTATTATCGCAAAGCCTTTCTGGCACACACGCATTGCTTACTAAGTATAGCATTCCAAGGAATTCGAAATCTCCAATAGCAAAGACGCGGGCCATCACGCCACTAAATGTGGGTGGCCGCTATCCACGGGCCGTGCAATTCCAAAAGAACGCAAGTCCGGTCATGGCGGCCATCAGCACCGGAAAAGAGGAAGTCGCCTCACCGTCTGAGACGGCTGAGCGCCCTGAACGGATCGATGTCAAGCCGACAGAAGTAGTCATCTTTCAGGTAGGAAAAAATTGAAGGCCTGTTGCTCGTTCAAAAACGTTCCCGCGGTCGTTTCTCTAACTTCATTTCCGCGCCATTCTCAGGGATTCAACTGGGAATCGTGCAATTGCAACGAAGGATGGTATCAACGACTCATGGACCTGCCAGAAGAGCTCTCCGCAGCGGGAATCACGGACGTCTGGCTACCACCGCCCAGCAAGTCAGTGGCTCCTCAAGGTGAGCAAAGAGTGAAAACACTGCAGACGGTCGCCTTTTACTTGCCAGCGCTTCGCGAAGCATCTCACACTCAATACACCTACGTGCAGGATATATGCCAAGCCAGCTATACAACCTTGACGAGTCCCATTACGGAAGCGAGGAAGAACTGAAGGAACTGATCGGACGGTTTCACGCGGCGGGCGTGAGGTGCATCGCGGACATCGTGATTAACCACCGGTGCGGCGACAAGCAGGACGAGCACGGCTGCTGGACCATCTTCGAGGGCGGCACGCCCGACGACCGCCTCGACTGGGGCCCTTGGGCCATCACGCAGGGCGACGCGCCCTTCGGCGGCCATGGCCGTCCGGACACAGGCGAGGATTTCCCGGCAGCTCCTGACATCGACCACACGAACGAGCGCGTGCAGCGCGAGCTGACGGAGTGGATGCTGTGGCTCAAGAACGACGTCGGCTTCGACGGCTGGCGGTTCGACTTCGCCAAAGGATTCGCCGGCGAGTTCGTCGGCAAGTACTGCGACGCGACGTCGCCCGCGTTCTCGGTTGGGGAGCTGTGGACGACGATGAATTACGACGGCGAGAAGCCGGGCTACAACCAGGACAGCCACCGGCAGCAGCTGGTGGACTGGGTCGACTCCACTGACGGCCGCTCCACCGCCTTCGACTTCACCACCAAGGGCATCCTGCAGGAAGCCGTTCAGGGCGAGCTGTGGCGCCTCCGTGACCCCAACAACAAGCCTGCAGGTGTGTGGGTGTACGAGAGGTGTTGCTGCTGAATGTGAATATTTATATTATGATTTATATTATTCCGGATGAGTCTCTTACCGTGTGAATGTGGTGCAGGGATGATTGGGTACTGGCCCAGTAGAGCAGTGACTTTCATTGACAACCATGACACCGGCTCCACGCAGGGCCACTGGCCCTTCCCGCAGGACAAAGTGATGCAGGGCTATGCATACATCCTCACGCATCCAGGCATTCCATGCGTGGTGAGTACCCCTTATAAAAGTACCACTTCAACGTATCATGAAAAGTTTGAGAGTAACGAATGGCCTGACACAATGATACGCGTGTGCTGCAGTTCTATGACCATTACTATGAATGGGGCCACAAGGAGGCCATCAATGCACTCCTGGCTATCAGGAAGCGCAGTGGGGTGCACTCCAAGAGCAAGTGCAGCATCATCACGGCTGAAGATGATCTATATCTGGCTGACATCGATGGCAAGCTGGTTGTTAAGATAGGCCCTCGCTATGACATTGGGGACATGGCTCCCAATGAGGCAGAGTTCCAAGTGGCTGCTTTTGGGGATGGCTATTGTATTTGGGAAAGGTTGCAGCAGGAGGCAGGTCATGACAAAGCAACACCATGAGTATAAAAAGGGATGTTTATACATGTGAATAAGGCTATGTACGACCTATCCTGTACATGCACGAGCACCAATATAATATGAGCAACCTTGCCTACTATGGCATGTTGGAAGCGAGCCACCAGAACATGTTGGACATGGAGTTGCCATCATCAAAAGCACCCAGAGCAGCAATGTTCGCCCTGGCGCCATGTGGGTCGTACAGCGCCTGCAACGCCCATGCAAACCCGCGCCACTCGTCCGTGGCAGCGCCACTCAGCACGGGTTGCGCCCACTCCACGAGCTGCTTGGCGAACTCCGGGTCGGGAAATAGGTGCTTGAGGTAGGGCGAGACAGGCAGCACCTGGATGCCCAGTCGCTTCTCCATGTCCGCCGGTGGGGCGAACCACAGCGCTGCGTCGCGCTTGGTGGACCACAGCACTCCCACCACACGGTTGGCATCTGCAAACACCGCCTCGTAGCCAGGGGTGAGGGACGGATCCGGATTAGACGACGCGAGCGGCACGTGCATGGGCGTCTGCTCGGCGAGCGCCTCCACGGCTGCGAGTGTGGCGCCAAGCGAGGCGAGCGGCTGGTCGCCCAACACGGTCGCCAGCAGCGCCCCCGCGTAGTATGCATTGACCGCCTCGCTGAAGCTCTCCTGGTTGCGCCCGTCACCAAACTCAAACAGCCCGCTGGCCCACGAGTGCAGCGCATACGCGTCAAAGTGCCGCAGCCTCGGGAATGCCGCCGTGCGCTCCGGCGACATATAATCCGACATCAGGTCCTTGAGCGCAGCTCGGTACTGGTCGCGCCACGCGGGGTCAAACTCGGCAACGGCGGCAGCGGCGTAGAGGAAGTAACCGTAGTGGAAGTGGTGGTCGTTGTACATGCCCGCGCCAAACTCCGCCCCCTGGTCACGCGACCCCGCCTCGCTCACCACACCGCCCCACGTGGGGTCGTACAGCAGGCGGTTACCGGGGAAGGTGCCATCCAGCCATGCGGAGAGCGCGGTTCGCAGGGGCGGCAGCACGGCGGCCAGGCTGTCATTATCTTCCACCTGCTTCGCAATGAGTGCCAGGCGGGCGGCACGCGCTGCTGCCTTGCCGAAGGAGTAGGTGGAAGGGGAGGAGAGGGGCGGCAGCGCTGCCACATCGTGCTTGAGGCTGCCCCTGAGCTCGTCCAGCAGCTGTGCGTCGGACGAGAGCGGCCCCGAATCCCACGTGCACGGCCGATTGGGCACGTTCAGGCGCCACACAGCCCCCTGCACGCCCACCGCGTGGCCGTCAATGGTGGGGTAGGCCAGCACTGAAGCGTCCGGCACAGACGCATCTCGCACGGACGACCGCCGTGCACTGCCGCGTGTGTTGGAGGAGGGGGCGGCAGACATGGGGTTGTGGTGGCCGCGGAGGGCGCCCATGACGCGGGAAGGGGAGCCGCTGCGGCGACGGCGGAGGGCGGAGGCAAGGATGGGGCTGTGAGCGCTCACCTCCATGCGGCGGTGCACTGCTCACGGGGGAGAGAGGGAAGAGGGGGAAGGGAAGGAACAAGGGAGCAGGAAGGTTAGTTTGACGGACAGATGATGAGGGCTCCCAGGTGACTGACACAGCAGCACACATGGCAACACAAGTGGCAGCACGGCGCAACTCACTTGGCAGCGAGAGCATGAGCAGCGGCGCCTCTGTCTCGCCGTCAGCCAGCTCGCGCCACTGCTGGGTGCGCCAGGAGTACTCGATGAGGAACTCGCCCACGTGCGCGCTGCCCCCCAGCGGCACCGTGGGCACGTGTGCGTCCAGCACCGCCTCCTCGTCCTGTGGGGAGGAGCCCGGCAGCAGTGCCACGCGCATGGTCCCCGTGAATGGCGCGTCCGCCACCAGCGCTGCCCCGTCCTGCCGCATGGCCAGTGGCGACGATAGGTACACCAGCCACGTCTGGTGAGGGGCGAAGGAGGGGTGGAGAGAGGAATTGAGTAAGGAGGGGGAGGGGGGGGTGGTGAGCACAAAAGGCGAGCAAGCGGATCGGGGAGATAGGTGGGACAATGAGCGAGTGAGAGGTGTTTGAAGAATGTAGGGAATCGGGCTCGTGCTCGTGCGAGAGTGGGAGCGGGGAGCTAACCTGGCCGTTGTTGAGAGCGACGCGGTACTTGGTGCTGTCACTGTTCGCCTCCACTCCCGTGATGGCATGGATCGTCGACAGCATGGGCGTCGCGGGGGGGCCGCCCGGGGGGAAGATGAACGTCAGGAAGGGGGACCCGCGCACCAGGGGGACTTCGAGCGCGGGGGGATCGGAGGGCGCGGAGGAGGGCTGGCGGAAGGAGAGGGTGGCGGAGAGGTCGTCATAGGCGGAGAGCTGGTGGGGGGGAGGCCCTGCAGCGTGGAGAGCATGAGCGCCGTGACGAACGCCTGCACTATGTACCCCGCCTGGGGGTCGCGCATCGGCAGCCCCCACGCAACGCGCCCCTCCGCGCTCTGCACGAGGTACGGCGTGACGAGCTCGGGGTTGCCGCCCTGCCCCAGCACCAAGTTCTGCCACGGCGCGTTCGTTGGGTACGGCGCCTGGGGTCGGGGGAAGAGGGGGAGTTGGGCAGGATAAGGGGAAAGCAGTGGAGAACGCACGGGAGCGGGGAAAGACGAAAAAAGGAGATGCGCCGAGCCGCCGGCAAGGAGCAGCCTCCGAGTTTAAGAGGGCACTGGAGGCGGAACGTACGCGCGCGCAGATGGGGGAAGCGGAGAGCGCGCGCAGATGGAGGGGGGAGGGCTGGGAAACTCACGGTGAGGTTAGCGGACCAAAGGGCGGAAGGCGCGGGAACCACAGTGGAGGAGAGCGCGGGGAAGGCCGCCGTCGCCATGGCGGCGGGAATGAGACGCGCACGGAGTGCGGCGGAGATGACAGGAGGAACGAGCTTGGCGGGGTTGGCAAGGCAAGGCTGCACGCTGGGCGGGTAGGTGCGATGAGGCGTCCGCCGTGAAGGTCAGGTGCGGCGCTGGATTGGTGCTGCTGGACGGAAAATGGCTGCTGTGGTGATTCGTAGACTCTGTGATCGCGGGAGCTACTAAATATACCACTTCCTTGGCAGCATCGCGTGCGTCCTGGCCGTGGGATGTCGCGTCCTGCGATGGAAGTGGCGCCATAGCGCCGGACGCTGCGGACCGTGGGGCCCTCGACACGCGAATCAGTCGGGCACGCGAAACTTGAGTCCGCCACACTGCTATCACAGAGTCGCGAGCTCGCACTTCAATCTCCAATGGTCGTCAACTTGTCCACAGTAATGCGGTACTGCGGTAGCCATGGCTGATTGAAGCCACCTGCACTGGTCCAACCCTGCGCCATCTATTGCTCTCCGCTGAACCACCACACAACGCGTGCAGTGCGGGGTAGGGAAGGCACAGGACCACCAGAGCTCGCCTCGCCTGTTACCCTCTTTCAGCAAGGCTCTGTTGCGAGGTTCCGTTCGGACCCTAACGACGAGAGCGAAAACAGGCTGAGACGTCGTTAGTCTCGCAACCACCCTGTTCTTCGAGGTGAAGACGTGCGGGCCGTTCGCGCTTGTCTTCGTTTGAACCAATTCTGAAATACTACTCGTGAAAGTGCAGCCACGCTCCACCACACTACAAGCCAACAATATGAAGTTCAAATCACAATGTTGAATATTGAGAGTACAGCAATTGTCTGACTCTGTAATAGTCGTCACACAGCGAGCCTTCAAGTACAAGCCTGTGGTCTGGAACCTGCACAAACACCACCAACAACCGTTAGTGGGGGTGGAATAAGTGATGCTGCTAGCAAAAACAGTATGGAAAAGCAATTCACCTTTCTAAGAGCAAGCGAATCGCCACACTTGAGAACAGCAGATCCTGCTGCTGCTACAGGGGCCGACTCCACGAACGCAGCCTGCACCAAGAATCACGGGTAAGCCAATGAGATGTGGTAGGAGTAAGAAAGGTAAGAGCGCACCCAACACAAAGATTGGCATCACATAGAAATAGGCAGCGTAACACGCAGGCCAAGGGTACCTGGAGTCCCTGGGCTTGCAGCAGCACTTTGAATTCCGAGAGCTTCACATCACCCACCATCACCGCCCGCCGCTTGGCCTCCTCCCCATCCCCCTCCAGGGGCACCAGCTCCATCAGTGGCCGTGCTCCCCCCCCACTCGCCCCTCCCTCCTCTGCTCCCTCTCCTCCCGCTCCACCTTCCCCCTGCCCCTTTTCCTCCCCGTCTGCCCCTTGGCCTCCTGCCCCTGACCCAGAGGGCGCGGGCAGAGGGGGCCCGGTGATGCGCGGCAGCAGGGAGAGCGAGGCGGAGGGCGGCGCACAGGAGGAGGGGTGCAGACGACCCTCCACGAATGCCACCTCGTAGTCGTCCCGTAGCTGGGAGGTGGGGGGGGAAGACAGAGGGAGGGGGGCATACAGGTATTGGGGCAGGGGATGTCACCTGGCGTGCAGCATGTGCTTGGGCATGTGTGCGTGTGAGATGTTCTAAGTACTGGGGAAAAATGGCCAGCGCACCCATGCATGTGCATGCATGAGTGTGCACATGCAGTGGTGGCACGGTGCAAGAGCATGAGGCAGCGAGCAGGCAGTGGCGTGTGTACCTTGTGGAACTGCAGTCCCCTCAGCAGGTCGTCACTCAGCTTCACCTGCGCTCCAGCACACATGGCAGAGAGGCACATGGCAGCACAGGCGAGGAGGGCGGAGGAAACACAGGATGAGGGCATGCAACGGCCATAACTCCTTGCACCCTCGTGCCTATGCATGCTACCAACCATGTCACCATGCAACACCCTGCCACCACAACACCCTCCAACACACTGCTCCTATCCTTACCCACCCCCACTACCCCTCTTCCTCCACAACTACTGCCCCCCAGGTGGGTATGTGGGTCTCACGCGGAAGGTGGCGAGGTGGGGAGTGAGGTCGATGCTCTCCCCTGCACGGGGCGCCATGCAGTCGCTGCAGATGCCCGCCTGCTGCATGGCCGCCCTGCCCTCCTCCGTGCCGTGCACCACCACCTGCCACCACACCACCCACCACAGGGGGCATGCGTGGGGGAAGAGGAAGTTGGATACATGATGGGGGAAGGGCTTCAACGATAGGACAAGGGGTTTCACTAAGACACCCCAAAATGGGGATACAAGCAGGCAGACAGGATGACGAAAGGCGGAGGCCATACAGGAACACAGGAGCAGGGGAAGAGTAGTCCGGGTGGGAAGGGTGACGCACGAGGGAGAGGGGGTGGGTGTGGGCGAGCATGGTGCGCAGGGAGCGGCCGTCCGCCAGCCCCTCATAGTCGATGGAGCGGATGGCGCAGTGGACGTGCACGGTGACCTGCTCCACGCGCACGCGGCTGGGCCTCTCCAGCCCCGCCAGCACGTCCTCCGCCTCCGCCAACGCCGCCATGTCCACCCCCGCCGCCTCCATCAAGCTCACCGTTGGCTGGGGGCAGGGGAGGAGGGGAAGAGGGAGAAGGGTGGGAGGTGGGGGGGTGAAATGGAATGGGAGTGGGAATGGCTTGTGGGACGAGCGACTAGTACGCATGCAGTTGATGTGGACGCGATCGGAACAATGCTGCTCGCTGCTGTGCTCACATGGCAGCGAACCTGTGTGCTCCACTCACTGTGTCTCATTCTGCACACCCATCCATCACAACAGATTCACCCAACACACCACCTCCTCACCATTCCCCAACAACACGCCCCACCTCACACCCACAGCCTCATGTGCAGGCCCTCTTCCCCCCCTGTGAGCCCTCACCCGCATGGGGCCGCGCATGTGTTCGACCACAGCAGCCAGCCCATCAGCGTCCACCACCTCGCCGTACTCGTCCCACCGCCCCCCGCCCCCCCCGCCCTCGCTCCAGGGGAACACGGGCCCTGCAACCCACCCCTCCCGGTGCTGTGGGCGGGGGGCGGCGTGGCGGGGGAGGGCGCGGGGGAAGGGTGCGAGGGGCAGCGGGGAGAAGCCCTCACAGAAAACGTCCGAGGGGGGCCGCGCGGTCACAGGGGACGGCTCTGGTGGTGGGGGGGAAGGTGGGGGAGAGAGGGCGAATGGAGAGGAGAAGGGAAAGGGGGTGATTGACGTCACTTGCCGGACAGCACCAAGGAAGGACAGCAGCTGCTCTCACACGCCCATCCACCCACCTGCCCCACCAAACCCACCTGCCCCATCAAACCCACCTGCGTCATCCTCATCCACGACCTCCCCATCCGCCTCATCCTTCGCCTCCCCCTTCTCCCCTCCCTCGCCCTCCCTCTCCCCCTCCCCTTCCTCGCCCTCCCCCTGCCCGTCCTCGCCCTCGCCTCCTCTCGCAGCGTCCATGGCGGCCTGGTGCTGCTGGCGCTGCTGCTCCTCGTACGCCCGCAGCTCCTCGCCCTCCAGCGGCACGCGCTCGCTCATGCTCACACTCACCACCGGGAACCGCACGTCCTGTGCGTTGTGTTGTGGGGGGGAAGGAGAGAGGGGATGGGGAGAGTATGTAGGAGCCCTTGAGAATAGGCTGAGAGCGGGAAGGGGAGAGAAAGGAGTAACAAGTGTGGTGCGAAAGGAAGGAGAGCCGGCAGGCACAAATGAGGCGGGCAGGCAGCAGGAGGGGCGCGCATGCATGCATGAGAGCATCCAGCCAGCCAGCCACGCGGGCGGGCGGCACCCACGTTGGTCTGCAGCGTGTGGGCGAGGGAGCCGGGCGGGGCGTGCGAGGTGAAGAGCAGGGTGTTGCGCAGGTCAGGCGCCCAGCGCACAAAAAGCGCACGCGCGAAGCCCGCCTCGAGACTGGCCAGCGACGCCAGCACCACCTTGGGACCCGCCACCTCCTCCACCTCCTCCACACTGTGACACAGCCGGATGTACCTGTGGCGGGGGGGGGGAGGAGAGGGTATAGTGGGGAGAAAGTGGTCGGGGAGAAGGGGCTTGGGGAGAGAAGGGGAGATGGAGACGCGGAGAGGAGCATGGTGCGGGAAAAAAGAATGTGTTTGCGTGCAATGCTGGTGCGGACTCAATCACAGGGAAGAGAAAAGGGGAGGCCGAGGGAGGTGAGATGGGACGAAAAGGGGCGAGAGAGGGCGAAGGTGGCAGTGGGCACTTGAAGTTGAAGGGCGAGGTGCGCTGGGCGTCGAAGTGGCGCGCAGTGGAGGGGTTGAGCCATTCAAGCATGGCCTTGGCGCCCTCCACCATGCTGTAGCTCTCCCCCGTCGCCACCACCACCGGCACCTCCCACCCCTGCGCCGCCCACAGCTGCTCGAGGTGCACGAGCAGCTCCAGCACGCGCCCGCCCGTGTCCACGGGCATGAGCACGCTGCCGCCCTCGCCCACCGTGCTGCTGATCGCCTCCGCCAGCTGCGCGTCGCGCGCCTTGCGCTTCACGGGCGCCAGCAGCGCCGTGGCGGCGTCGGCAATGAGCACGGCGGGGCGCACCACGGCCGTGTCCAGCACCGCGCGCCCCAAGATGCGCTCCTCCCTGCCATGGCGCAAGCACACACGGACAGGGCGGAACGTGTGTGCACCCATGCGGCACATAATTTGCAAATGCAAAAGGGGGGGGGGGGGGGGGGGGGGGGGTATTTTGGTCACACAGTATGCATGGCACGCCAGGGCAAGGCAGAGAGTGCGTTGAGCGCGTGCAGCAGTGCGCACCTGTGGTTGAAGGCGACGGCGTACACGATGTCCTCCGTGTGCACGGATATCCGCCAGATCGTGCCGCCCAGCAGGTGCCCCGCCGCCAGCGGCGTCACGCTCACGCCCTCGCGCTCGTCGCCCACGCCGTGCGGCTGCGCGAACTTGAGACGCACGGCGCCGTCAAACGCGGCGTCCACGTCGTCCAGCGAGAACAGCTCGAAGTCGCCCGCGCTGCGCCGCGCGAGAAACTGGTCGTACAGCATCAGCTGCGCCAGCCGCGCCACCGGCACCGTGCAGTACACGGGCGCGCGCAGCCCCAGCTGCGCATACGCGTACGGCAGCGCGCCCGCGTGCGCCATGTCGGGGTGCGAGAGCAGCACGGCGTGGATTGCGGGCGCGACGGCGCGCAGCGGCTCGAGCAGGTCAGTGTCGAGGAGGTCGGTCCAGCCGCAGTCCAGCAGCAGGTGCAGCCGGCCGAGCCGCAGGTGGTAGCACAGCGGCTCGTCGGCGTGCGCGCCGTACAGCGGAGTGAACACCACTCCGCCGCTCGGCATCGCGCGCGCTGCTCCTGCGCCGTCCGCGACGAGGGGCGCGGAGGACCCTCCAGCGTCCAAAGCCTCCATGGGCGCGGGGCCCATGGCGGAGCAAGGGCGGCGGAGAGCTAAAAAAATCGATGCGCGAAGGAGTCTCTGCTGTTCGTGCGGTACGAATGGGGAGGAACGGCCGCAGCGATCGGTTGACGAAGTCAGGGCATTGCGGCCATGGCCATGCCTCGAGGCAATCTGAATACTAGCTTCGCTGCGCGATCAGTAGCTACGTGCGAGTGAAGTGGAAAGTGAGGCCTGACTGGGTGCTGCGGGATTGGGATGGAAAGTCACAATTGGGGTATTGGTTGGGTGTTGGTGGCCAATATCTGTTTGTCCGTCATCTTGCTTGCACACGGAAAACGCTCCAGTTTGAAAGCACACGCGCGAGTCGAGGAGGGTTAGAAGAGCATCGCGTCCCGCCGCTCTGCACCCGGGCCCAACGGTCAGCGGCACGACCCCGTGAATCTGTGCGTCCTTGTAACCCGCCCAACAGCTAGTTGCGCTCGTGGCGCGCCACACCGCAGCGGTGCTCGTCGCGCAGCAATGAGTAGCGAGCGAGATTGCCTTAGCGGGCACGCGCGCGATAGCAGCGAGGGGTGCGGCGCAGCACAGGAGGAGGCGCAGCTGCGCGCGGGGCTGTCGGAACAGCGCGCGCACGATGATACCGCGTGGCCTGCGCGAGTCCCGGCGTGGCCGTCTCCGCTGCCGTCACATGCGCCGCCGCACGCACCGGCGCAGCCGCAGGCGCTGTTCAGCGGCCATGCGGGAGGACAGTCGAGTCAGGCGCGCAAACCACAGGCCCCCCTCGGCGCAGACAGTGCGAGAGGCGGGCCAGCGGAGATAAACGGTCGCAGCGGCCCGTCACTGCCGCTGCTGGCCTTCCAACCGCCCCTCACTTTCCGCGCCACTGCCGCGCATCCCCTACCGTACTACACCGCGCCCTTTCCGCAAATTCCCCCAGACATGCGTTTCCCCTTGATCCCCGCGCCCCCGGTTCCTTTCACCCGTACGTCCTGCAGCACACCATCCGCGCCCCTTGCGCCGTCGTGGGGTTCTGCGCGCCTCCTGTTGGCTCCGCCTCTCCTGTTGGCTCCGCCTCTCCTGTTGGCTCCGCCCCTCCCCTCGCAAACTCCCCCTTCCTCCCCGCGGCGAGCGCCCCTTGTGCGCGCCCGTCTCACCATCCGCCAGCGCCGCCAGCAGCCACCTCCCCAGAGGCTGCGTCACACGCGCAGGTGGAGGTGAGCGCGCGAGCGTCGAGAGCAACGACAGTGGCGGCAGCGGAGGCGGGTGGAGATGGCAGCCGATGCTCACCCCGCACGTCCGCAGAGGGGTCCGCAGCTGTTGGTGCTGCTGGTGCTGCTGTTGGTGGTGCTGCTGCTGCTGGCGATGACCCAGGAAGCGCGTCCAGGGATCAGCGCCCACAGGGGCGGAGGCAGAGGGGGAGGGACGGGCGGTGGGGACGAATAGACAGAGCGCAGGGCGGGGCAGGGTGGGCTTCGGGCGGTCAGCAAGTGAGGGGAGAGCAAGGGGCGGTGCAGGGGGAGAGGGGGCAGCGGAAGCGGGAGTGTGTGTATGGGAGCAGGGGAGCAGGCGGCAGTGGCAGCACAAGCAGTGCGTGCAGCAGCGGGGGCACCCCGGGGAGTGGAGCATCGGCTGCAGCATCAAAGCAGAAAGAGGGGGCGAAAGGGGGCGGGCGGAAGAAGGCGGCGGGGGCGGGCAGTGAGGAGGAGCAGCGGCAGCGGCAGGCGGAGAAGAAGAAGCGGCGGCTGGAGAAGGCGCTGGCCACGGCGAACGCCCTGCGCAGCGAGCTGCTGGAGAAGCGCAAGCAGCGCCGCCGCCAGCAGGAGCTCTGGCTGGACCGCGCCGGGCAGGCCCTGGCTGAGGCTGTTGCCCTGCGCGTGCTGGTGGAGGAAGAGGAGGAGGAGGACGGGGAGGAGGAGGAAAGGGAGGATGAAGAAGGGGAGGAGAAGGGGGAGGGGGAGGAGGAAGGCACGGGGAAGGAGGAGGAGGACGAGGACACGGAGCGAAGCAGTAGCGCCAGTGGCAACAGCAGTGGCAGTGGAGGCGGGAGCAGGAAGCGAGAAAGATGCAGTGTGGTTGGTGTGGGTAGTGTTGGCGAAGTGGGCAGTGTGGGTGGTGTGGGGAGTGTGGTGGCATCAGCAGCATCAGGTGGGGGTGGGGGGGCAGTGGAGGGCGAGGGGGAGAGGGGGGCGAGCAGCAGTGCGAGTGTGCAGGGGCGTGGGGCAGCGGCAACAGGTGTAGGGGGCGGACAGGGGGATGCAGGTGACGGCTGTGCGGCTCTGGCGTGGGGCAGCATGTGCCTGCGGGATGGAGGGGACCATCCAAAGGGGGTTGTGGCGAGTGAAGGGGGGAGAAATCAGAGGATAGAGGGGGCAGGGGGGGCAGGAGAGGGAGCGGGGGAGGTGTCAGAGTCGTCCCACAACTCAGTGCACTGGCACACGGGGAAGGCCAGAGCGCGCGGATTGGAGGGTATGATTCAGAGAGGGATTGATAGAGCGGCGAGTGAGAATGGGACGTCAGGGAAGGCAGGCAGGCAGCTGTCACCAGCTGCTGCTCCCGTTGGCCCCGGCAGTGAGAGTGGGGGGAAGGAGAGTGCTGGAGGTGGGAGGAGGAGGAAGGGGGACGGAGGCCGGGAGTGGGGCAGTGCTGAGGAGCAGGAGGTGGAGGGAAGGCTGAGGGGCGCTCTGTTGGAGCAGCTTGCTGTGAACCGCCACTCCCCTGCTCCTACACCCGCTGCTGCCTCGCCTGCTGCCAGCAATGGGGCTGCCCCAGCAGCACCAACCACAGCTGCATCAGCCGACGCAGCAGCATCAGACGCAGCAGCAGCAGCAGCCACAGTAGGAACTGCTGACTTGGGGGCGGGAAGGCGAGAAGGGGTTGTAGGGCATGTGGGGTGTGGCAAGTCAGGCGAGTCCAACAGGTCCGGAGGGCCAGCAGGAACAGCACAGTCAGCCCGAGCAGGGCGAGCAGGCCCAAGAGGAAGTGAGGAGCAGCAAGGAGAGGAGAGCAGCAGGGGGTGTGAGAGGGATGGTGGGCGGGTAGACAAGGCTGCAGCGGGTGGCAGGGCGCGGCAAGAGGCAACACACGGTGACACAGCAGATGCTCTCATCACCCGCCTCCTCCTCCACCCTCCCACCTCCTCCCCCTCCCCCCATTGCTCGCCCTCACTTGCGCCCGCTCCTTCCCCATTCACGCTCTTCACAGGCCTGCAGCTCTCAGAGCTGCATGTTGCTGTCAACAGCATTGCTGCCGAGCCTGCAGGTCCGGCAGCAGGCTTGGCAGCAGGAATTGGGGAGTGGAGTTTGAATGAGTGTTCGTTAATTCAGCCACACAGGACGACTCATGGAGCAAATCTTGCTGAAGGAGGACGGGAGGGGCCGGGAAGGGCAGGAGCTGGGTGTGAGGGGGGGCACATGGTGGGTGGCGTGGGTCTGGCAGCTGGGCTGCGTGAGCATCGTAAATTGGCGGCAGGGGGCAGCAGGGACAAGGGCGAGCAGCAGGAGGAGAAGGGGACCACGACCTGGCCACATGCAAGGGGGATGCGGAAAAAGGAAGTGGGAGGAGGGCCTTTGAGGTTCAGGAACGTGGGCAGTGGTGGGAGGTGGATGGAGGCTGCAAGGGGGAATGAGGTGGGGACAGAAGAGAGGGAGATGGCAGCAGGAATGGCGGCGGTGCAGGCGGTGGCAGCAATGCGTATAGCAGAGGAGGCGCGGGCAGAGGCACACGCCGCCAGGCAAGCAGCACAGGAGGCTGGGGGGAGAGTGCAGGCCGAGGATGGGGAGCAGAGCGTGCAAGGGAACGACGAGGTGAGACGACTGTGTGATGGCCATGCAGCGCGTGTTAATTGAATGCAGGAAAGAATATGTGTTGAAGAGCTTCTTCGTGCTCCCCACCTCGTTCGCATCCTCTCTGCCTCCATCTCGCCCCTGTGCTCCGCTGATGTGTGTCGTTTGTGTCCCCTGCATGCAGAGCGAGGCGATGGTGGTGGAGGGGGGGCCGTGGGAGCTGAGGGCTCGGCTGCAGGAGACGGAGAGGCAGCTGCAGGAGAAGACTGCCCGCGTCTCAGAGCTGGAGAGAAGCCTGGAGGTGAGGGGATGACAAGGCCTAAGAGTCAGGTTTGAGGATGGTAGACAGACTCCTTATCATTCCCTCTTCCCTTCCTCTCCTGGTTGCTGGATTTCACTCGTTCCCTCCATTTCACCTCCTTGCTGTTGTTACCCCATGCCTGCTCGTCCCCATCAGGAGATGACTCAGTATCTGCAGAACCTCAAGGCCATCCTGCCGGCTGTGCCTCTCGCTGCCGCTGCCTCGCCAGCTGGCTTGGGCCCGTCGCTTGCTGCTGTGCGTCGAGGGGCAGCAGGGGCAGGCGTGCAGGAGGGAGAGGCGGAGGGGCAGGGCGTGGGGGCACCAGAGGGCAGTGGAGGGGAGGGGAGCTGTGGCAGTACTCGCAGTAGGTGGTAGCGATGCTTGTGTGGTGTGTTGGCTACACCTTGTGCATGTCTTGATGTTGGCAACTCACTACTGGAGCTTGTATCATGCTCTGATTCTCGAGCATGATAAGCGCGGTTCCTTCTTTCAACTTGATGCAGTCCTGTTGTAGCAAAAAATGGAATTAGTCATTATTAATGCAATAACAATACAAAGCAGCAACACTGATCGAGGCAAGTGGAAACCAAGCAAGCTGTTGGGCCTGAATAAAGCCTGGACGTGGTTAGGCCTGAATGTAGTCCTCCACCTGCTGTGGCTTGTGCCGGATGGCAAAGACGGAGCGAGCAAGCGAAGCCATGGCAGCACCAATGATGCCGGCATCGTTCTTCATGGAAGCAGGCAGGATGGGCGTGCCCTTGGGCAGCTTCACCAGGTGCAGCCACTGCTCGTGTGCATTGCTCACTCCCCCTCCCACGATCTGATGCCGCACACAGACAAGCATATACATAGATAGAAACAAGACAGCAGGGTGAGTCAAACTGAGGCACAAAATGTGGCCATTCAAGTGAGGAGGTCAAAGGAGGCCGGCGGGGTGCTTACGAATCTGGAGGGCCAGAAGAGCTTCTCAATGTGGCCCAGGTACCAGGCGACCTTGTCAGCCCACTGCTGCCACGTCCACCCATTTCTCTCCACCAGCACGCCTGCTGCTGTTGCCTCTGCCTCCACTCCATCCACCTCCATGTGACCCAGTTCCAGGTTGGGAACCTGCACTCAGCCAGCAGGGGGGGCACCGTAAGACATGAAGCATGGATGGAGTACGAATGGCATGAAGAATGGATGGAATCAAGCAGGGAACAGGCATGGGATGAAGCATGTAGTATGCATGCGAGGGTCTTTCGCACCAGAATGCCATCCACGAACATGGCCGTGCCAATGCCGGTCCCGAAGGTCACAATGAACACCACGCCGCGCTCGTTCTCCCCGGACCCTGCACCGAAGCCCAGCTCCGCATAGCCAGCAGCGTCGGCGTCGTTGACCACCGTGACTGGTAACCCTGTTACCAGGCTGAACAAGCCCTCCACGTCCGCTCCCACCCAACTGCTGTCGACTGACGCACACAGCCCAGGAATACGAAAGAGACACGGTTGAGGAACGAAGGAAGATTCCATCAGAGCGTGTCAGCGTAGGAACAAAGAGTGGAGCATCAGGATTGAAGAACGTACTGTTCGCGGCTGTCCATGTGGTCCCATCCTTCACCACTGCGGGTACGCCAATCCCAACGGCTCCTTTCCACTGCACGCACAATGACTTGAAAAGCATACTATGAGTGATCTGAGAACGAGCAACAGGTCCTACTTAGTAACCACTCGCGTGAAAGGAACACTCTATTGACCTGAAAGTGTTTAGCACACTGGTTGACGGCGTCTGCACATGCTTCCGGTGTGGCTGGGTTGGGTGTCAACACGACAAACCGTTCCGCTAGCAGCTGACCAGTCCGAGTGTCAACCGGCGCTGCCTTTATGCTTGTTCCGCCGATGTCTATACCAAGAATCTTGTGGTCGACGCCGGTATTTGGCTTACTTCCACCACTGGATTGATTATGCATCGAACTGTGGACCTTTATGTCTAGCTTTTCCGTCTGCATGACTGATACTGACAAGAATCTACGGCGTGATGTGGGTGGAAAACGTAAACCGTTTCTGCACGGTTGGATCTTGTTCGATTGTCTGAGTAGAGTAGCGCTGTGTGCAGGGTCAATGGCTGTAGCCTTTCCCGCAAAACAAGCCATTAGGGAGAACTGGCCTCCCTGCTACACAGATCGTTCTGGGGATTATCTTGAAGCTAGAGGTGATCGCAAGTTTGAAAGCAGCAGATGAAAATGGTTGTGCGTGACCGTCACTCTCTCCACCCCTCGCGACATTGCCGAGGGACACAGAAGCTCATCGCACAGCGCCTCCCATTGGCCGACTCCCTCAACCATTGGCTTGCTCCTCTCTGACTCGGCTTCACGGCAGGATGGTCTGTGCATCCGAAGGGGATCAACGGAGACGATGCTCAGACAAACTTGCTCGCATCTCCAGACGCGCGGGGACTAACAACGAGAGGACTAAAACGACATTTTGTAACATTTATACAACTGAGAGACTGCAAAACTGTTGGATGCTGTTATTCTATTACCGTATCTGAATCATGATTTAGTGCAAATTCTTTTTTTCCTTGCTGGCTGATATGGGTCTATAAATTACCAACCGTTCTTATTCCCAAATTTCAAATATTCCATATAAAATTTTATATTAGTGGCCAATAATGAGGGCAATATGAGGGCATGGCAAATAATGAGTATAGATCATTAATGTATAATTGGTGCATGTAAAAGACCATTAGCCTACCTTATGCGCTCCTCTGATCACTCAGGAGCGAAAAAGGTTTTATTCCCTACACCGCACATGAAAATACGGTATGATGTGCTGGTTTCGATGACTCCGTTGTTGTGACATTTGGTTGACAGGCCCTTTCGTGCGGATTTTAACCGCAACTGTCACTTTTCATGCCACGCGTCACAAACGTGACCTGGAGCGCCGTGTCATTGGCCATCTGCCGTGGACGGATCTATCCAGACCAGCCTCACTGCTGAGAGCTCAAAGTAAACTACCTTGGGCTCTCATTTTTGATCCATCTGCAACCTCCGCTTCCAAACCTCAACCCTAGCTGCTACTCCAGCTCGAAAGCTACCACTCCCCACAGCAGCCATGGCTTTCGCTGTCAGCAGCCAGAAGGTACAGCTTGCTGTTTTTAGGTTAAACAAAGCTTCTTTAGTTTCTTCACGTACTGACGCCGTTTTCGCTTCGTCCTGCAGACCATTGCCACCTTCACCGGCTTGAGAGCCGCCCCCGCGAAGGTTGCCGTCGCCAAGTCCGTGGTTTCCTTCACCCCCCGGGCGCAGAGGCTTTCCATCTCCTGCGCTGTACGTCTTTCCCCATTTCACTCCCTATGTGCCTTGCCGCCCAGTCCCCGTTGTTCTGGGTGCACGCGTTGATATGCGCAAATGGGCCATTGTAAGTTCTCGACCGATCTCCTGATTGGCCGTCGACCTTGTCTTGGTACAGGCGTCCCCAGACACCCTGAACAAGGTGCGGGGCATCATTGCGCAGCAGCTGGCCGTTGAGGTGGAGAAGATCACCGCCGATGCCAAGTTCGTCGACCTCGGCGCCGACTCCCTCGACACCGTGAGTGCGAACCATTGCTTAGGCTTTACTCCCGCCGCAGCTTCGAGTGGACCGCGCGCTTGGTGGTTTTGTGGTCGGTGTAGTTGAGAGCGTGGCTGTTTTGTTGTCCTGGCAGGTGGAGATCATGATGGCGTTGGAGGAGCAGTTCGACATCACCCTGGACGAGGAGGGTGCTGAGAAGATCTCCACCGTTCAGGAGGCCGCCGATCTCATCGAGGACCAGGTTGCCAAGGCTTAAGCCGTCCTGGTATTACTCCAGGACCTTTTTGTTGCCTGACTGCTGTCGTTCAGTATGATATGTTAAAATGAACCTAGAAATAAACCAAAACCAGTTTTAGCCACACACGTATCACAAAATGCACTCAGCAGTTGGTACTGAATATATAACTAAACGCAACCACATCTCTACAACTTGAAGCCTGTAAAGAGTGCCACAACACCACCTGTCATGTTCTCGTATGACACATTTCTGAATCCTGCTTGCTCCATCATGTGAACAAATCTCCTCTGAAGGGGACATGGGGAAATGAAAAGTGGACATTTGTCAGTGCATGGGTGTGTGTACGGTAGTATGCAATATAGGTGGGTGGGACTTTCTTTAGAGGACACACTACCTGGGTTGGGAACTTGCGAATGCTCTCCACCAGATACTTATATGATGCCCTGTCCCCAGTGACTGCCTGGCCAATGGCTGGAATGACATTGAAGGAGTACAGGTCGTAGCTGGGACAACAGAGGGGAGGGTAGTGTGGGAAGGGTGGGTGGGAGAGGATTGAGTATAGAAGAATATAGACAAGCTCTCCCTGAATTGCATGTGGCACCAATTCAGGTAAACCCTGATTCTTAACCGTTCAATCGCACAACTCACAGTGCCCTGAAGAGAGGGTCCTCCACATGGCTGAGCTCCAGACATGCAAACTGGCCTCCCTTGCGCAGCACCCTGTGCACTCACATGCATGGCAGGGAGGGGGTTGCAGGGCACAGAGACAAGTGGGAGCACAGATACAAGGGCAAGGTGAGAGGCACATGCATGCAGACAGCAGGGCAGAGGAGGCGAGGGCAAGGCAGGAAGCGGAGGTGGTGAGTGGTATGGTGTGACCTGTGGGCCTCAGAGAGGGCGCGGTGGATGCGCGTGACATTGCGGATGCCAAAGGCAATGGAGTAGGCGTCCACACTGCCGTCCGCCACCACCGCACTCAAGTCCTCCGCATCGCCCTGCACCCACTCCAACGCTGCATCTGATGCCAAGCCTGGCGGGGTGGGAGGCGGTTGTGGCGGTGTGGGGAGGGCAGAGAAGAGGCACGAGTGTGAGGGATTAGGTGTGGAAGCTTGGTGGCATGGGGAGGAGCGAGCACGTGAACATGCGTGGGGGGTGATGTGTGCTGTGTCGTCTGCAATGGCTGCTGAACTCCAAGCTTTCTATTTCTGGGCTGCCACACCTTGCTGCTGCGCCCTGAGCTGCCCCACGCGCAGCATGTCCGCATTGATGTCACACACTATCACCCGTGCCCCCCTCCCCGCCCCCTCTCCCTCCCCCTCCCCCCCGCTCCTCCCTGCCCCTGCACCAGCCGCCATGCGCCGTGGATCCGCCTCCGCATCGCGAATGGCTCTCAGCACACGGAATGCAATGTCGCCTGGGCGGGGCAGGGGGGGAGAAGGGGCCAGGGATGAAGGGGTGCATCTTGTGGTGGGCATAACATCAAATGCTGAACCTCAGCATCACCATGCCCCCATGGCCCCATGCCCCAATGGCCCCAAACCCCCATGCCTCCATACTCCCATGCACCCATGCCCACGCCCATGCCCCATGCCCCCATGACCCCATGTGCACCTGTGCCGCCCGCCACGTCGAGGTGGTGCATGTGGGGGAAGGGGTGCAGCGCTCGCACCAGCCTGGGGCACAGAGGGGCAGGGGCGCAGAGCAGCAGAGGGCGATGGGAGCGGGGAGGGACGGCAGGCAAGGTGAGGGCGGTGGGAGCAGAAAGCCGGCGGATGTGCAGGAGCGCGTGTCACGGCGAGGCAGGTCGCGCACCTGTCCTTCCACAGGCGATGCAGACCCCCGCTCATGACGTCATTCATGACGTCATACTTGTCCGCCACCGACGAGAATACTCCCCCCACCAGCACCGCCTTCTCCTCCTCGCGCACCGCGCGGTACCCTGCCCGCCCCGCCATGCACCATGCGGAATGCGCGTCGGATTACACGAGGTTAGCGATAATGATGAGGTGAATGAGACGAGCGAGAGGCACGGCGAGGCACGGCGGAGATCGGCGCAAGCGGCGGGGCGGGAGGGGAAGCGGCCTACCGAAGTGGGTGGTGGCGGATCCGCTCTGCTCCCCGCCCTCGCCCGCCGCTGCCCCCTCCACACCCGCTGCCTGCGCCGCCACGCTGCCCCCCGGCCCCTGCGCTCTCCCCCCCGCGGAGTAAGCGCGATTTCCGGAGGGGGAGACAGCGCCATCCGAGTAAATCTGAACAGCAGACGAATTTCGATTCGATCCAGTGGCGAGGGGTGGCGCGGATGTTGGAGAGTGCGAGGCGATAGGGGAAGCGAGGCGAGCGGAGACGAGGCGGCGAGCGGAGGAGGCAAAAGCCCTCCGCGCGCCGATGGCCATGGGGGGCAGGGGGGTGATGGGGAAGTGCGGAGGAGGACGGAAGAAGGGATGGGGTTCTGGAAGGGGTTGGAAGAATTGGCGTGAACAGGACGATTTACATTCGCGAGTGCGGCCGCCCCGCACTCCAATTCGACCCTGCTGCTCCCACCCTCACGCCGCGCACACGCCGCCCTCGCTTGCTCTCCCTCTCCCATCCCTCCTTGCTCCTTGCTCTCTTGCGCTCCACGTTCCCCGTACTTTCTGCGAGCGTCGTCCAGAGGAAATTTGGGTCGACGTTGGCGGCGGGCATGGCGGCGCCCGCAGAGCGGCGCGCGGAGAAGCGGGTTCCGCGGTGCATCAAGTGCCGCGTGGCAGACGCGGCGGCGCTGGTGAATCAGACGGAGGCGCTGTGCGCGGCGTGTCTGCGCGGCGCGCTGCTGGGGAAGTTCAAGTCGGCCGTGAATGGCGGCAAGCTGGTGGCCAAGGACGATCACGTGCTGCTCGCCTTCTCCGGCGGCGCCGCCTCCAGGTCACGCGCACTCGACTCCCGCATGCACTCGCCTCGCCGCTCTTTCCACGGCCGCCCTCGCATGTTTCCCTCCGTCCGATGGAAGCTCCTTTCAATCCTGGTTTGATCCTGGTTCGAATCTGATTTGATGCGATCAATGCAGGTGCGCGCTTGACTTTCTCCTCGCCATACAGTCACCCCTCCTTCACTCACAAGGAGCCGCGCCGCTCGGCGCGCAAGGGGCGGCGGCGAGGGGGCGCATTCCGTTCCGCCTCTCCGTTGCCTACGTGGACGAGCGCGTGGCGGTGGGGAATGACCTTCTGCCACGTGGCACTGCTGACGGGCTGGCAAGCGAGCTGCGGGACATCGTGCGCGACGCTGTGGCGGCGCACAGAGGCGCACGCGACTGCAGCGGGGGCGATTGCGGGGAGGGGGGAGGGCGAGGGGCGGCGAGGGAGGCGGGGATGGGGGCGGAGAGGGGGGGCGCGAACGACGTGGCATTCCACGTGGTGCGGCTGGAAAGCGCGCTGGCGGATGGGGAGGGTGCGCCCATGGAGGGTGACGGGGGAGAGGGGGAGAGCAGGGCGGAGGGGCTGGCGGCACGACTGGAGGCGGTGGTGGGCGGGGCAGCGGAGGCCACGGGCAGGGAGGACGTGGTGGCGACACTGCGCATGGACGCGCTGATGCTGGTGCGCTCAAGGGGGGAGGGGGGGGGGAGTGTGTGTATGTGAGCACGGATCAGACGCATGGTGGTGTGTGTTGCACGCATGAATGCACGAGCCTTGTTCCCGGCGCTGCTTGGCATCTCACTCCACTCCACCCCCCTCCCATCGCCCTCCCGTCTTCCCTCCTCTCCCCCCCCCCCCAGTTGGCGCAGCGGGTGCAGTGCAGCAAGGTGGTGGTGGGCAGCACGGCCACTCGCCTCGCAGCGCATGTCATCGCCGCCACCGCTAAGGTGCGGTGGGGAGAGGAAGGTGGAGTGGGGTTGAGGTGTGGGATGTGGGTGGATGGGTGCTCTCGCTTGTCGTCGCTCTCTGCCCAGCCCTCACTCCGCCCTCCCACTCTCACTCAACCCGCCCATCCTGTTCTCCTGCCTCCTCCCGCCATCCCCCCCATCAGGCGCAGGGCTATGCACTACCAGCGGACCTGGCAGTGTGGGACGCACGTCGCGGCGTGCCTGTGGTGCGGCCGCTGCGCGACTGCTCTCTGCGCGACCTCGCCCTGCTCGCGCACCTCTCCCGCCTCCGCACCGCCTCCCTCGCCACTCGTGCCTCCCTGCGGGGGGGCGCAGGGGGCGGGGCAGCCGGGGGCGCGGGGAGCATCAATGCGCTGGCGGCGTCGTTTCTGGAGGGGATGCAGAGGGAGAGCAGCGGGCGCCAGTTCACCGTCACTCGCACCGCCCTCAAACTGCAACCCTTCCCCTTCAACCTCCCGCCCTCCCTCGCACTCCCTTCCCCCACGGCTGCTGACAACCCCCCTTCGCCCCTCTGCGCCATCTGCCTCGCCCCCCTCCCCCCGCCTGCTCTCGCCCCCCCACCCCCGCCTGACCCCCCTGCGTCTGCTGTTACTTCACCAGCCGCCGCCCCTGCCCCACCCCTACACCCCCCCACTACCCCTCTGTGCTGCAGCTGCCGCTGGGGCGTGGTGGGAGCAGGGGGGCGGGTGGGGGCAAGGGCCGGGGAAGGTGGAGCAGAAACGGCAAGGGAGAACGGGGAGGGAGGACGGGGGAAGGCGGAGGAGGGAGGAAAGGTAGCAGGTGCGGGCAGAGCAGGGGGGGTGGCGGGGCTGCCAGAGGCGTTTCTGGCGCGGGGCAGGGCGGGCAGTGCCAGCTATGCTCACTGGCTCAGGCAATGCGAGAGGTGAGCGGGCTAGGTGAAGGAGTCTCGGCACGGTGCTTCCTTGGAGCTCTGCCTCCTCTTGCCTTGCAACCTGTTCCGCATGCTCACTCATGTTCTTTTGTGCAGTGGGACATTTGTCTTACCTCGCATGCCCGTGTGTGCCATGTCCCCCGTGCAGGAGCATGATCACAGACTGCCTGCTGGAGGGCGACTGACGCACGTGCACGCATGCACTGCCATGCGTGCACTTGGGGCGCTTATGCCATGGCACACAGGCCGCATTGTTGAGTTCTTGCTTGGCTGCACTATTGCATGGCTGGCAGCACTGAGGTGTAGGTGTTGTAAGGATCAAGTGCCGAATGCCGTTCATCCTTGGCCACGTGTGTTCAGCTTAAGAGCAAGAGTGGGGCAAATCAGGGAGCCACGTGGGCTCACCATGCCATCCGCCCGCCACACCACAACCTGCCATCAATGAACCCCCCTTCCTCACAAGCATACGGGTCTGGCCCTCCAAGCCCAAGCCCACGCTAGCTCTTATTCAACGTAGCATCACGCAACGGTCGCATGTTGCTTGCCCCTACGGCACAGAGTGGGCCCAATCTGCTAGCTGCCCATGTATGGTGCATCGTGTGAGTCGTTGGGTGCTTGGACGCACACAGGTGTGTGTGACATAAATTGATGGGGTTGGTTGGCAGGTGTCGCATTTGCCAGCCAAACATTGGACTCACGCGTTCCACGTTTCACACAGTGCCTTCACATTCAAGCTGATTCACACACAAAATATTCTCTGCCATCACTAGGTACCTTGATCATCTCCTCCTCCTACCTCCACCCTTTCCCCGCTTCTCCTTTCCGCCCCTCTTCACCCCAGCATCCCCCCTCACAGCGTCCAGCAGCAGAGCAGCGGGCCCCGGCAGCCCCCCCTGCAGGCGCTCCGCCATCTGCAGGCTGCCCACCACCCGCCGCGCCTCCTCCTCCTCCTCCTCCTCCTCCGCTGCTCCCCCTCCCCCTCTTCCTGCCCCTGCCCCCGCCCCTGCCCGCCCTGCCCTGCTGCTGCTGGCCTTGGGGCGCTGAGGGGGGGAGGGGCGAGGAGGAGAGAGAGGCACGGGGAGGGGGGTGGGGGACATGTGAGAGTGCGTTTGAACAGTCACGATGGGCATGTGTGCGGGAGAGGGCATGCGGCTGTGCAGGCAGGCACAGCCGCCACACGCTACTTGCTCGTACCAAGCCGCTCACACGTACCTGGGTGTGCGGCGGCAGGGGCAGCGAGGAGGAGGGCACATGGGTGGCGGCGAGCTGCGCGGCCATGGCCTTGGAGTAGAGCGCGTAAAAGTCCTCCCCTCCCGCCCCCCTGCCCCCACCCCCTCCCCTGCTGCTGCCTTCCCCCACCCCTCGCTTCTCACTCCCTTTTCTCCCTTCCCCCTCTTCCTCCTCCACCACTTTCCCTTTGCCCTTATCTCTTCTCTTCATCTCCCCTTCCTCCCCTCTCTTCGCCTCTCCACCCTGCTTCCCCCGCTGCCCTGCGCCCCCGCCAAAGAAGCCTCGGCGCAGGCCTGTTGCCGCGCCCCCCCTGCCTGCCGCCCCACTGCTCTCTCCCGGCCCACTCTCACCCCTGCCTGCACCTCCACCGCCCACCACCAATGGCCCCGAGATACGCCCCATGCTCTCCTCCTCCCCCTCCCCCTCCTCCTGGCTGCCCGCGTCACTGGCGTCCTCCCAGTCGCTGTCACTGCCTGGCTCTGAGCCCACTCGCACGGGGGGAAGAGGGGGCACACGTGATGGGAAATGCTCAAATAAGGCTGGCGACAATCGTGTAGCATATCTAAAAACCCACAGGCTTTCGTGGACTAGGTGCAACCTCAGCCAGTTACAAGTCTCCTCACACTCGCTCCCCATGAACGATCCGGTTAACTTCCCATCGCATACTTCTCCTTCACCAACCCAACTTGTCTGTGTTAGCGAGCGGCTGAGTACCTGTGCTACAACATCAAATCCAACTGCTCACTCGCACAATCACGGATGGGCACAGATGCACAGAGCAGGGAGGGGGGGAGGGCGACCTGAGAAGAAGGCGGACTCGCTGTGGTCGTCCTCCTCGCCCTCAGAGCTGCCATCGCCTCGGAACCCCTTCACCTCCTCCTCGCTGTACCGCTCCATCACCCCCTCCAACTCCTCCATAAACCTCTCAAACTCCCTCAGCTTCTCCCGCCCCATCACCACCTCGCCGCCATCCTCGTCACCATCCTCCTCTTCATGCAATCCCACACCACCCTCCACACTCACCCGCTGCACTTCCTCCCTCACCTCTTGCCCGCCCTCATCATTCCCACCATTCTCCTCCCCCTCACTCCCCTCCCCGCCACCACTCTCCTCCTCCCCACCACTCCACCCCCTGCCACTCTCGCCCCCATCACTGTCATCACCACCCCCCTGGGCCTCCACGCCCTCAAACCCAGACACGCCAGCCATGAATCGCTTTAGCCGCTCCAACAACTGCCCCGCCTCCTCCTCTCCCGCCTGCTCCTCCCCCGCCTCCTCCTCTCCCTGCACCTCCTCCCTCTCCCTCCTCCCCGCTTTGCCACTCTTCCCTTCCCTCCCCCTCCCCCTCAACCCAGCTCCCCCCTTTTCACGCCCCCCCTTGCGCCTGCCCCCCTTCCGCCCCCCCGCCTGTTGTTTGCTCAAGCGCGCCTCCATAGCGTGCACAGCCTCACTCATCCACCGCTCGCTGTCGTCTGCCCGCAGCGCTGCGCGCGGGAAGGCTGAGGGGTGCGGCGCGGGCTGGCCTGCCAGCACACAGTAGATGCGCGCTGCTGGATCACCCGCTGTGGCGCTGGGGAGGGGTGGGTGAGGGAGGGAGGTTCGAAGAAGAGGGAAGAGGTTGGGTGAGAGCGAGACGGCACAGGCAGGTGGGGTGTTGAGAGCGTGGGGCAAAGCAGGGGAGGGGAGAAAAAGTGGGAGGGATTGCAGTGTGAGTGAGCGAAGCAGCATCCCTCCTCCTCAACCCCTCCCTCCCCTCCCCCACAACAATCTCACCTGAGCTGTGCAAACTGCTGGACCGCTTTGAACCGCTTCTCCATCTCCCTCTCTATAGCCCTTCTCCGATCCTCCCCCACTTCTCCACTCGCCCCCTGGTCCTCGCCCCCCACAGCAGCCCCAGCGGCAGCAGCGGCAGCGTTGGAGGGAGCAGAGGGCGGGCGGGGGGAATGGAAGAGCCCTGCCTGTGAGAGCCACGGCAGCAGGTCGCTCCACTCGCATAGCTCCGCCCTCTCCCTGCCCCCACCGCCCGCTCCATGGCCCTCGCCCCCTGCCATCCCTGGCGGCACCACCACTTTGTCACACTCGCACACACACACCTCCCTGCTCTCTGATGCTCCCTCCACACCCCCTTCCCCACCCTCTCCTCTCGCGCTCTCCCTCCCCCCTTCCCCCTCACCTCCGCCCTTGCTCGTGCCCCTCCCCCCGCCCCCCCCGGCCCCCCCCTGCGCGAGTAGGTGCAGGCCGAGGGCGAGCTTGCAGCCGAGCAGGGCGGAGGGATAGAGGGGGTCGGAGGGGAAGGGCAGGGGGAAGGCGCGCGGGGGGGAGAAGGGCAGCAGCGCGAGCTGCGCGTAGCAGGTGCGGGGGAGCCCCACCATCACGTCCACCAGCGCCACACAGGGAGGGGGGGAGGGCGCAGGGACGGGCGTGCTGGGGGAGGCGTTGGCGGATGTGGTGGGGGGTGCGGAGGGACGGGAGGATGCGAGGGCGCAGGGGCAGGAGGTGTGGGGGAGGAAGAGGGGGAGGGGCTGCGAGGGATGGCGGGAGGGGGATGGTGCGAGGGAGGGGGAGGAGGGCGCACGGTCCCTGTTGAGGAAGGCGTGGGCTGCCAGGGTGGCCAGATACGGGTCCTGCTGTAGCACCTGGCGTGGGGAGTGGGGGGAGTGGGGGGAGTGGGGGGAGAAGGGGGAGGAGGGTGTGGGAGGAGGAGCAGAGATGGAATGGGGCCGCATAGCATAGGGTAATGGAGGCGAATGGGGAAAACACACTGCTGACTGGGTGGGGACACGTGCACTGACCTGTGCTGCACGAATGGGAAGGCGACACCTGGCGGTGTGCAAGGCTGCCAGCGCCGAGTCTGGGAGCCCTGCCATGCGGCTCATCACAGCACTGTGAATCTTCTCAGAAGCTTCCGTGGGCTCATCGGCACTGCGCATGGCGGCCAGAGCCCTGTGCAGTGCAGCGGGGCGGTAGGGCGGGCGGCGCAGACAAGGATGCACCAGATGCAGGCGACCCTGGGGGCAGGGGGCGGACAATGGGGAAAGGAAGGGTGGAGAGGAGAGAGTGTGTGGGGCGGATGGGAGGAGGTGAGGGGTTGGAGCAGAAGGAGGAGAGCGGGCAACAGCAGAGTGAGGCAGCGACAGGAGGGCGGGGCATGCTAGGGGGCTGGGCGGATGGGTGCGGGGAGCACCTGGCGCAGCAGGAGGCGGTTGCGCGCACAGGAGGGCGCGATCCACTTGGGCAGCACCGTGGCCGCCTCGATCAGCACAAAGTCCCCGTCGCCGTCGCGCACTCCTGGGGGTGTGGGCGGGGACAGGGGGGACGCATGCATGGGGAGATAAAGTGGGTGGGGCGGAGCGGAGCAGGGAGTGGGAGGCGTGGTGCCAGACCAGGGCTGCTAGTGTGCGCATGCAGAGGCGTGGGGGGGCACTGGCATGGCGGACGAGGGAGCGCACAGCATGGGCGGAGGGAGCGGGAGGGCGCACGTGAGCGCGCGTACGGATGGAGAGGAAGGGGAGGCAGGCGGAGATGCGCAGCAGCAGCCACACCACCACCCACTCGTCCTCCACACTCGCGCCGTACTGCGTGCGCCCGTACAGGTGCGCCGGCACGCCCCCCTGCATTCTCTCCCCCGCGCTTTTATCCGCTCCGCCTTTACTCTCCGCCCTCTCCCCCTCCGCCCTCTCCCCTTCCTCCCCCTGCCCCTCGTCCGCCTCCTCGTCGTCGTCCTGCAGCCCCCACGCCACGCCGCCGTCCCTGTCGCGCCATCGGAACGGCGGATCCTCCTCGCCCTCCCCCTCTTCGCCGCGCACCGCCTGCTCCGCCGCGTCTTGCGCGAGGGGCGGCGCGGGCCAGAGCTGGAAGGGGTCGCGGTTCCACCGCACGTCGCCCGCGTGCCTCGTCGCGACGTCGAGGCACGCCACGCGCAGCGCCTCCAGCCCGCGCCGCACCGCCTCGTCGCTCGCCGCCGCCTGACCCGGCGCGAGGGGCGGCAGCTCGAAGGAACCTGGGTCGGGGAAAATGGCGTACTCGACCGTGTCGTCCCGCCAGCCCTGCGCGCGCGCCTGGCGCAAGATGGAGTGGATGCCCATCGCGGGGAACCGCGGGGGGCGGCGGAGTGGGGAAGTGCGGGAGGTCTGACAATCAGGATCAATCGTCGTTTTGGTTAGAGCTGGTTTTATAGGTTTCACAGACGATAAGCGTGGATAGAGTGTGGTGGCGGATCTATCCTTCAGATCTTGGCTGTACATCGCCCTAAAAAAACATAATAGTAATTATAAAAACTTTGATTTCAATATTGGTGTTGGGCTATTGTTCTGTACGGATTAGATAATCGATTTTCTTGGCAGTGATTAAAATAATGTGTCTACTCGAGAGAGAACTGGGTAGTGCAAACTACATTGAGTAAAGCACTATGCTATCGGGGGCGAGTGTACTTATCCGCGAAAAGCATTCCGTCCCGCCCTCGACGTGATCGTGACGCTACCTCGATTTCGTCCACCTCCCCTCCTCGGTCCTTCCCAGCAGTCAGTCACTCTCTGCCCAGCACTAGCTCCACTCGCCCATCGCCGCGCCGCCACCCACAGCAGCCCAACCCATCCATGACCTAGTGACTCATTCCCCTCTCGTGCCACCTGCCATGGTTCTTCCTAGGAGAGCAGTTGCGATCATTGTTACGCCTTTCACATTGCTCGTCTTGAAATAGGCTATTTCAGCATGTTGGGGTCACTCCGCATCTTGCCGATGCGCCGTCTCGATTGCATGTTCCGCCGTTAGTCTCGGCGAACGTATTTTCTGGCGGCATCGCGGCGTGGTTCGGCTTCCCGTTATTACTTGTCTTGATCGCGATTGCGATCGCGCGATCTGGAAGCAATGTCAGGGTCGGATGACGATGAGGTGGTGCGCGTGAGTGAGTCCAGCGACGTCGAGTGCGACGGCGACGACATTTGCGACGAGGAGGACGACAATGACGACGGCGATGACGACGATGGCGATTGGGACGAGCAGGAGGGCAGCTCGAGCGGAGAGGAGGGGGCAGGGGGCCGGAGGAAGCAAGGCAACGGCAAGGCGGCGACCAAGGCAGCTGCGACCAAAGCAGCGGCGACAAAAGCAGCGGCAGCGAAACGCGTGCAGCGAGGAGCGAGCGGCGTGAGGAGCGTTGGACGGCGAGCGAGGCGTGGAGCGAGGGGGGCGAAGAGCGAGGAGAGTGGCGACGAGGAGCCGTCAGTGGCCGCCATCAAGGCTGCCAACGTGGCGGCCGTCCTCAGGTGAACCGCTGATTCAGGTGAATAACAGGTGAATAGTTGTCTTATCAGGTGAATAACAGTCGCAGATGAATAGCTGTGTCAGGTGAACAGCTGTGTGAGGTGAACAGCTGTGTCAGGTGAACAGCTGTGTCAGGTGAGATGTTACCTCCTCGTCCACTCCCAATTCCACTGTGCTCCCCCTCAACTCCTCTGTGCTCATCCCCAACCCCTCTGCGCTCCCCCAACCCCTCTGCACTCCCCCCCAACGCCTCTGTTCCCCCCCAACGAGCTCGCAGGGGCGACGTGGAGGTGTGCAGGAGGGCGCTGCTGCCGCGCATGCTGTCCGTCTCACAGGACGCGGCCGTGCTGCGGCGCCCCTTCAAGTCGCCGTGTCCCGGCGCCACCACCAACGCCTCCCCCGAGCTGCTCCGGCGCCTCGCTGCATGCCGCCGCTTCGTGGCGTGGGGAGGGGGCGTGCACCGCCGGCCCCTGCTCGTGGCGCCCGCGGGGGACCAGGGCGAGGGGGAGGACGCGGAGGAGGGCGAGGCAGGGAAAGGCGAGGAGGAGGCGCAGGCAGCGGCGGCAGCAGAGGCGGGGTATGAGCCGCTGGTGCTGTGGGTGCCGGAGGAGGACCCCTTCCACGCGTGTGAGGACTCACAGCCCATCGCCGTCGACCCCATCCTCGCCAAGTGCCTCCGCGCCCACCAGCGGTGCGCCCCCTCCATCCCATGCGCCTCACTGCCGACCAACTTCTCCCCAATTATCCCGCAGAATCATCTGCTGCCCACTTCTGCTGCCTATTCTTCACATGTGTGTATCTGCGTGTGCGTGTGCTGTGTGCGTGTGAGTGTGCGTGCGGGGTGGCAGGGAGGGAGTGGCGTTCATGTTTGAGTGTGTGGCGGGGCTCAAGGACTTCCACCAGCAGGGCGATGATGACCAAGGCTGCTACGGCTGCATCCTCGCAGACGACATGGGGTGCGTGCCTCCCGACCTCCCCACCTCCCTCGCTCCCTCCCTCCCTCCCATGGGGTACAGCAATGCCATGCACCGTATGCACTCCTGTGCTTCCCTTCTCATCTCATCTACCACCTCATCGCATCTCATCTCAACCATTCTCCCTCGTACGTGCAACGGTGCGCCATCACGCCTTGCCAGGTTGGGCAAGACGCTGCAGTCGATAGCGCTGCTGTGGACGCTGCTGAAGCAGGGCTTCGAGGGCCCCAAGGGGCCACCGCTGGTGCGGCGGGCGGTGATAGTGACGCCGACGAGCCTGGTGAGCAACTGGGCGGCGGAGCTGGACAAGTGGCTGGGCGCCCGCGTGCGCTGCGTCGCACTCTGCGAGGCCACCCGCGCCGACGCCCTCAAAGGCATTCAGCTGTTCCTGGCGCCGCGCGGCACGCACCACGTGAGTACACGCACGTGAGGGAGTGAGTGAGTGGCAGTGTTGGGCCTGTCATGAGCGGCAGCAACTGACATGAGCCATGGTGCGCGTGGCACTGTGATGTGACCCCCCATGGCTGGCAGGTGCTGATAGTGTCGTACGAGACGTTCCGCATGCACGCCACGGCGTTCCACCACGAGGGGGCGTGCGACCTGGTCATCTGCGATGAGGCACACCGACTCAAGAACGACCGCACGCTCACCACGCAGGTAGCCGCCCTTACCACAGCGGTGCGCAATCTTGCCACAGATGATTTCCCAATTCACGTGTCCACAGTTCATCTCACCACCTGCCTGCCGCTCTGTGTCCTACATCCTCCTTCCATCCATCCATCCTCCTCACGCCTTGATTCGCCCGTTCGCTCCCCCGCCCCCACCCCTGGCCCCTGGTGTGTCCCCCTGTGTGGTGGTCAGGCGCTGGCAGGTCTGCCGTGCAGGCGCCGAGTGCTGCTCTCCGGCACTCCCATGCAGGTGCGTGCCATGCCATGCCTTGCCATGCCATGCCATGCCATGCCATGCCATGCCATGCCATGCCATGCCATGCCGTGCCATGCGCTGCTCTGCTGTACTGCCCCTGTCTCGCCCTTAACCTAACCGCATATTTTCAAAGGCAGTTGCAGGGTGATGGGTAGCGAGGGATGGCACTCCAACACACGGATTTCGCTGTGCTCTCTGCCTCACTCACTCCAACACACGGATTTCGCTGTGCTCTCTGCCTCACTCACTCCAACACACGGATTTCGCTGTGCTCTCTGCCTCACTCACTCCAACACACGGATTTCGCTGTGCTCTCTGCCTCACTCACTCCAACACACGGATTTCGCTGTGCTCTCTGCCTCACTCACTCCAACACACGGATTTCGCTGTGCTCTCTGCCTCACTCACTCCAACACACGGATTTCGCTGTGCTCTCTGCCTCACTCACTCCAACACACGGATTTCGCTGTGCTCTCTGCCTCACGCACTCCAACACACGGATTTCGCTGTGCTCTCTGCCTCACTCACTCCAACACACGGATTTCGCTGTGCTCTCTGCCTCACTCACTCCAACACACGGATTTCGCTGTGCTCTCTGCCTCACTCACTCCAACACACGGATTTCGCTGTGCTCTCTGCCTCACTCACTCCAACACACGGATTTCGCTGTGCTCTCTGCCTCACTCACTCCAACACACGGATTTCGCTGTGCTCTCTGCCTCACTCCAACACACGGATTTCGCTGTGCTCTCTGCCTCACTCACTCCAACACACGGATTTCGCTGTGCTCTCTGCCTCACTCACTCCAACACACGGATTTCGCTGTGCTCTCTGCCTCACTCACTCCAACACACGGATTTCGCTGTGCTCTCTGCCTCACTCACTCCAACACACGGATTTCGCTGTGCTCTCTGCCTCACTCACTCCAACACACGGATTTCGCTGTGCTCTCTGCCTCACTCACTCCAACACACGGATTTCGCTGTGCTCTCTGCCTCACTCACTCCAACACACGGATTTCGCTGTGCTCTCTGCCTCACTCACTCCAACACACGGATTTCGCTGTGCTCTCTGCCTCACTCACTCCAACACACGGATTTCGCTGTGCTCTCTGCCTCACTCACTCCAACACACTGATTTCGCTGTGCTCTCTGCCTCACTCACTCCAACACACGGATTTCGCTGTGCTCTCTGCCTCACTCACTCCAACACACGGATTTCGCTGTGCTCTCTGCCTCACTCACTCCAACACACGGATTTCGCTGTGCTCTCTGCCTCACTCACTCCAACACACGGATTTCGCTGTGCTCTCTGCCTCACTCACTCCAACACACGGATTTCGCTGTGCTCTCTGCCTCACCCACTCCAACACACGGATTTCGCTGTGCTCTCTGCCTCACTCACTCCAACACACGGATTTCGCTGTGCTCTCTGCCTCACTCACTCCAACACACGGATTTCGCTGTGCTCTCTGCCTCACTCACTCCAACACACGGATTTCGCTGTGCTCTCTGCCTCACTCACTCCAACACACTGATTTCGCTGTGCTCTCTGCCTCACTCACTCCAACACACGGATTTCGCTGTGCTCTCTGCCTCACTCACTCCAACACACGGATTTCGCTGTGCTCTCTGCCTCACTCACTCCAACACACGGATTTCGCTGTGCTCTCTGCCTCACGCACTCCAACACACGGATTTCGCTGTGCTCTCTGCCTCACTCACTCCAACACACGGATTTCGCTGTGCTCTCTGCCTCACTCACTCCAACACACGGATTTCGCTGTGCTCTCTGCCTCACTCACTCCAACACACGGATTTCGCTGTGCTCTCTGCCTCACTCACTCCAACACACGGATTTCGCTGTGCTCTCTGCCTCACTCACTCCAACACACGGATTTCGCTGTGCTCTCTGCCTCACTCACTCCAACACACGGATTTCGCTGTGCTCTCTGCCTCACTCACTCCAACACACGGATTTCGCTGTGCTCTCTGCCTCACTCACTCCAACACACGGATTTCGCTGTGCTCTCTGCCTCACTCACTCCAACACACGGATTTCGCTGTGCTCTCTGCCTCACTCACTCCAACACACGGATTTCGCTGTGCTCTCTGCCTCACTCACTCCAACACACGGATTTCGCTGTGCTCTCTGCCTCACTCACTCCAACACACGGATTTCGCTGTGCTCTCTGCCTCACTCACTCCAACACACGGATTTCGCTGTGCTCTCTGCCTCACTCACTCCAACACACGGATTTCGCTGTGCTCTCTGCCTCACTCACTCCAACACACGGATTTCGCTGTGCTCTCTGCCTCACTCACTCCAACACACTGATTTCGCTGTGCTCTCTGCCTCACTCACTCCAACACACGGATTTCGCTGTGCTCTCTGCCTCACTCACTCCAACACACGGATTTCGCTGTGCTCTCTGCCTCACTCACTCCAACACACGGATTTCGCTGTGCTCTCTGCCTCACTCACTCCAACACACGGATTTCGCTGTGCTCTCTGCCTCACTCACTCCAACACACGGATTTCGCTGTGCTCTCTGCCTCACTCACTCCAACACACGGATTTCGCTGTGCTCTCTGCCTCACTCACTCCAACACACGGATTTCGCTGTGCTCTCTGCCTCACTCACTCCAACACACGGATTTCGCTGTGCTCTCTGCCTCACTCACTCCAACACACGGATTTCGCTGTGCTCTCTGCCTCACTCACTCCAACACACGGATTTCGCTGTGCTCTCTGCCTCACTCACTCCAACACACGGATTTCGCTGTGCTCTCTGCCTCACTCACTCCAACACACGGATTTCGCTGTGCTCTCTGCCTCACTCACTCCAACACACGGATTTCGCTGTGCTCTCTGCCTCACTCACTCCAACACACGGATTTCGCTGTGCTCTCTGCCTCACTCACTCCAACACACTGATTTCGCTGTGCTCTCTGCCTCACTCACTCCAACACACGGATTTCGCTGTGCTCTCTGCCTCACTCACTCCAACACACGGATTTCGCTGTGCTCTCTGCCTCACTCACTCCAACACACGGATTTCGCTGTGCTCTCTGCCTCACTCACTCCAACACACGGATTTCGCTGTGCTCTCTGCCTCACTCACTCCAACACACGGATTTCGCTGTGCTCTCTGCCTCACTCACTCCAACACACGGATTTCGCTGTGCTCTCTGCCTCACTCACTTCAACATATCACACGCCCCCCTTCCTCCTTCACAACCCCTCTTTTCGTCCCTCTCTCCTCTTCTCATGCCTCATCCCTTTTGGTGCTGTGCGGTATGGTGTGGTGGGGGACGGTGCAGAACGATCTGGAGGAGTTCTACGCCATGGTGTCTTTCACCAACCCGGGCGTGCTCAGCAACGCCGCCCACTTCCGACGCCACTTCCAAGTAACACCTCCCCCACGCCCCTCCTCGCCCTCTGCACTGCACCACCAGTTAGCCCGCTTCTATTCCCCCTCCGCCCTCTTTCTCGTCCCTAATTGCTCCCATGCTGCACCCATCCCATGCTGGCTATGATCGTGTCTCGACTCCCCTCACACTGAATCTCACAGTGCCCGCGCGCGTCTCACCCCTCCCCTCTCCCCGCGCTGCCACCTGACTCCACTACCTCATCACCACGGTGGCACGGCCGTGGCACGTGCAGGCGCCCATCCTGGCGGGGAGGGAGCCGCATGCATCGGAGGAGGAGAGGGCGCTGGGGGCGCAGCGATCTGCCGAGCTCAGCGACCGCGTCAACCAGGTGGGTGGACACAGGGGGCGCGACTCGCAAGTACGCAGAGAGGGTGGTAGATGCGTGGGTGATGCGGTGGAGCCACCCGTGCACCCATCCGTGCATGTGCTGCCAGCGCTGCCATGTGCCCACTTCTTCCCCCTCCCCCCATTCTAATTGCCTCCCCTCCTGAGTCCTGACCCCTATTCCCACCTGCCTGTGTCCCATCCCCATGCCCCCTGGCCCTTGGCGCCCGCAGTTCATTCTGCGCCGCACCAACGCGCTCCTCTCCAACCACCTGCCTCCCAAGGTGTGCTCCTCCCTCCTGCCCTCCACCGATTGATCTTTCACTCGCACTGAACTGGACCTGTGAGTGTGTGTGCGCTCCTGGGCTGGGCGTGCACGTCCACCACCTCTTTCAACCTGCCCTCATCTGCCAATCTCCCCGCGGGCGTGTGTGCACGTGTCTGTGCATGTGCATGTGCATGTGCATGTGCATGTGCATGTGCCTGTGTGTGAGCATGTGTGTGTGTATGCATGTGCATGTGCATGTGCATGTGCCTGTGTGTGAGCATGTGTGTGTGTATGCATGTGCATGTGCATGTGCATGTGCATGTGCCTGTGTGCATGCGTGTGGCAGATAGTGGAGATAGTGTGTTGCCGCATGACGGACCTGCAGCGCCAGCTGTACGAGCGATTCATACACTCCAAGAATGTGAGCCCACTCATCTACTCTGATGCTGTTGATTCGCTCTTGGACCTGGGGTTGGGGTGGGAGGTCATGCTGGGGCATGCACATGCACCCCCATCATGTGCGCCCATCACTTGCCTGCCTGCCGTTCTGATGATAGTGATTTCGTGCATCGTATGGCATGGGATGTGTGCGTGCATGGCGTGGTGCGTGTGCATGCGTGCATGCAGGTGCGCACGGCACTGGAGGATGGGAAGAAGGCGCGCGCACTGGCGTCCATCACGGCTCTCAAGAAGCTCTGCAACCACCCCAAGGTGCGCGCGCGGCTTCGGGCGCACACACCCCCCACGTGGGGGAGGGGGGTTGGCAAAGTCTTATCGTGTATAGGCATGATGCGATGTGATGTGGTGGCAAAGACTTGCACACTTGACATCCCACCTGCACATCCCACCTGCACATGCCACCTGCACACGCCACCTGCACATCACCACGTAGATCAGCCCCGCACTACCTGACCTGTCACCTCGTCCCTCTCATGCCCCCCCCCACACTGACCAACCATACGTGTGTGGTGTGCCGGGTGCACGGGGTGCATGGTGGGCGACATGGGCGTGCGTGCGTGCATGGTGCGCAGCTGCTGTACGACTCCATCCGGGGCGGCGGGGCGGAGGCAGCTGGCTTTGAGGACGCTCTGCCGCTCTTCCCACCCGCCATGTTCAATGAGAGGTGCGTGCCTAGTGGCATCACACGTGGCAATGGAATGCCGGTTGGCGAGATCCCCCACCCATGCTTGCGTCACCCCTGTTGCCATCGCCCTCACTGCCGCCTTCTCCCCACCCCTCCCACCCCGCGCCCTCACTGCACCGCTCCTTGCACCGTGCGGTGGCAGGAGCGGGGCGTGGACGGGGGGCGGCGGGGCGTGGGTGCAGCTGTCGGGCAAGATGGTGGTGCTGGCGCGGCTGCTGGCGCACCTGCGCACGCGCACCACGGACCGCATCGTGCTCGTCTCCAACTACACGCAGGTGCGTGCTCGCACCACCTGCACGCCACTCGTGTTGCCCCTTACAGCCATTGTGCTCGCTGCTCTGCCTGCCACCACCCATGCCTACACGCCGCGTCTCCCCTAGCTCTCTCTCCTCCCCTCTCCCTCCCCTCTCTATCCCCTCCGGGCAGACGTTGGACCTATTTGCGCAGCTGTGCCGGGAGCATAAGTACCCATTTGTGCGACTGGATGGAGGCACCTCCGTGGGCAAGCGGCAGAAGCTCGTTCAGCAATTCAACGACCCCCATGCCGTGAGTCATCACGTCCCTGCTGCGCTCCTCACTCACATGCTTGTGTGGACGGTGGGAGGCGCTGTGTTGCTGCTCTCATAGCTCATCAATGCATGTTGTTTGCATGCGTGTGACATGGCGTGGCATATGGTGTACGGCATGTGGCATGGCATGGCATGGCATGGCATGGCATGGCATGGCATGGCATGGCGTGGCATGGCATGGCATGGCATGGCATGGCATGGCGTGGCAGGACGAGTTTGTGTTTCTGCTGAGCAGCAAGGCGGGCGGGTGTGGGCTGAACCTCATAGGCGGCAACCGACTCGTGCTCTTTGACCCTGACTGGAATCCCGCTAATGACAAGCAGGTGGGTCACAAGCGGGTGCGGTGGCAGCATAAGCATTAGTGGGATTTATTATCTGGTGGCAGTACGCAGTTGGGTCTCAGCAACAGGGGGGGACGGATGAAGTACGGAGCAAGGGGCTGGCAGGTTAAAAAGTTAGAGTTTGGCTGGATAGAGTCAGGTTGGCAGAAAGGTGGCAGGTGTGCACGGCGGCCGCAGAAGCACAGCCATGCACCGTGTTTGAGTGGTGAAGAGTCTCCTGTCCACCTGCTTCTAACTTCACCGTGCCCTTCCCCCATGCGCCGTGTGCCCTGCCACCATGTGTGTGGGTCGCCCCCCTCGGCCGTGTGTGCGAGGGCAGGCGGCGGCGCGTGTGTGGAGGGACGGGCAGAAGAAGCGCGTGTTTGTGTACCGCTTCCTGGCCGCGGGCACCATTGAGGAGAAGGTGAGCAAAGAGACGGTGAGTGCCCTGCACGTGAGGCAAATGCTCCTCGTCCTGTTTGGACCCCAAACAATTGGTTGACTTTGAAGCATGGCGTTGCTCATCCCGTTCTGTTGCCACGTGCCGCTGCTGCTTCTGTGTGTGCGTGCGTGCATGGGAGGGCTGGCAGGTGTTTCAGAGGCAGATGGCGAAGGAGGGGCTGCAGCAAGTGGTGGATAATGAGAAGCAGAGCGAGGGGCGCGCACAGGTGAGAAGCAGAGCGAGGGGCGCGCACAGGTGAGAAGCAGAGCGAGGGGCGCGCACAGGTGAGAAGCAGAGCGAGGGGCGCGCACAGGTGAGAAGCAGAGCGAGGGGCGCGCACAGGTGAGAAGCAGAGCGAGGGGCGCGCACAGGTGAGAAGCAGAGCGAGGGGCGCGCACAGGTGAGAAGCAGAGCGAGGGGCGCGCACAGGTGAGAAGCAGAGCGAGGGGCGCGCACAGGTGAGAAGCAGAGCGAGGGGCGCGCACAGGTGAGAAGCAGAGCGAGGGGCGCGCACAGGTGAGAAGCAGAGCGAGGGGCGCGCACAGGTGAGAAGCAGAGCGAGGGGCGCGCACAGGTGAGAAGCAGAGCGAGGGGCGCGCACAGGTGAGAAGCAGAGCGAGGGGCGCGCACAGGTGAGAAGCAGAGCGAGGGGCGCGCACAGGTGAGAAGCAGAGCGAGGGGCGCGCACAGGTGAGAAGCAGAGCGAGGGGCGCGCACAGGTGAGAAGCAGAGCGAGGGGCGCGCACAGGTGAGAAGCAGAGCGAGGGG